TTATTCAATTATTCGCGTTACAAGTTGCTCATTTCAATCCCTTCAAGTTGTTAGTTTTGTAATTAGTTAAGTTAACTTTTAGATAATATTAAGTTAAGTTTACTTTTATTAGTCATCAATTTTGAATGATGTACATTTAATTTTGTCCAATTTTTAGCCAAAATCTTTAGAAAATGTCATCTTATTGCAGTTTCTGTGGCCGTCTCGTCGTAACGAGCCTAAAATACGAAAAAAATGAGATTGTCAAAATCATCGTCGACATTTACAATTATGACGGGAATGAAAATAAGTTTAAACGGTTTCGAAAGTTAGTTTCGCAACTGGCTGAGCCGATCGACCGTACGAACTTCATATCAGTGCAGACCCACACTAAATTTGATCATTTTCAAATCGGCCTCCACTCACTCTACGTCATTTTGATTTATTACAAGAAGATAAGCTCGCCGGAGAGGGCCAGTAGAAGCCTCGCATCAATGAACACCACATTAAGAACTGGATCAGTAGTCCAACATGTCATTTATCAGTTGCTAGATTTCAAATGCATCCAGTTATGCAATCAGTTTATAATAGAATCGTCGTCATGTAGTCAGCCACACCGACGTAAAAAGGATGTCTCTACAAAATCCAGAAATATTCTTCTGTCTTCTGCATACGACGTCAACAAATTCAGTGTGCATGATGGTGTATGTTGCACTTATACTGATTCAAATGTGTTGTATTTGTTTCAAAATGTGGGCTACAAACTTGTGAAGAAAAAGATTGAGCTAAATAAATATCAGAACATCAAATTAATTTCACTTGTCAGTGTCACAAGAAGTAAGTTGAAGTTTTTCATCATTGGCTCTTATGAAAGCATTGGTCTGTGCACTACTGCTGAAGCTGCCACAGCTATCCCAGCTGCTTTCACAGCTACCACAACTGCTGTTGCTGCTACATTAGCTGCTGATACAGCTGTAGATGATGGTAATGATGATGATGTTGATCGGAGGAAAGATGTTGGTGTGAATGACAAGTGCATCAGCCAGGAACACTGCATCAGTGAATTGGTTGTGAGCTGCAATTATTCCGCAGATGGCGGCCACAATAATAAGAAGAAAAAGAATAATAATAATAAGAAGAAAAAGAGTAAAAAGAATAATAATAAAAATATAAAGAAAATTAATAGTAAAAAAATGAAATATAGCACTGAAGATAAAATGCTAGTTGAGGATGACGACGACGACGATGGTGATGATGATGGTGATGGTGGGGATGAGGAAGAAGCAGAGGACGATGGAGGCCTGAGTTATGAAGAGATTGCAAGCAAGCACATACCTAATGACTATGCTTCAGCTCTCACCTGCATTTATTTTAAGTGCAATGATGACGACTATGACGATGATGATGATGACTATGATGATGATGACGACTGTTTTAGAAATAATTATGATGATGATAATTATGGTTATAATATTTGTAATAATAATAATAATAATAAAACGCTAATTATGTGCACTGCACACGGTCAAATAATTTCACTAAAGAATGGAGATCTCTTTAAATTCTCTAAACTACCCGGTGATAAACATTGCAAAGATATAAAAACATTTTCATCCTACGACGGCCATAGATATTTAATTTTTCTTGCCGATGACGTCACCCCTATTTGCGTCTTTAATGAGAATTTGCTTAAGGTTAGGGTGAGGAGATGTGCGTTAAGGATGATGATGATCGTGATGATGATGACGACGATAATGAAAATGAGGGTAGTGATGACGATGATGTTGTTCAAGACGATGATGATGATGACGAAGCAAAATTTCAGAGGGCAGAAACCTTCTACCCAGGCTTAAGTTGTATGTAAGAGCAACTTTAAGCCCTGACATGAGAAAAAAGAGTTAATTTTTTTTTCATTCAAATAAAATTTGAAATATTAATAGTGAATAATAATAATAACAACAACTACAAAAATAACCATACCAGATAATGTGGACCTCGGCTAGCCAATCAAAAGCTTGCATTTCATTACTCGATGATTTCATTGGCTGTGGCTCAAAGCAGGTTCTATTTTTAGACACTCATCATCGACCAACCAATAAGGCGAAAGATCTTTTATTAGAATCTCCACAACTGACCAATCAGCAAAAGGGACGGAATAAAAGTCAGGATTTACTCAGCATGCTAGATGAAGACGATGATGATAATGATGATAATATAAATAAGGGCGGTAATGGGGATGATGACGATAAGATGGAAATAGATGATGATGATGAGGAGGAGGAGGAAGATCGTCATGATGATGATGACGAGTTCAAAGGTCACTTCTTAATTACGGATTTTTCCAAAATAAATTTTTGCAATCAATCTAATAGTGAGGTGACGAATTTTTTCCTTCTGCCTGCCTCTATTAATTTTTTTGTTCTTTTAATTACTCTTTGTGTATTTATTCATTTATTAATTAATTCATACGTTCGTTTGTTCGTTCATTCGTTCGTTCATCCATTCATTTATTCGTTCGTTCGTTCGTTCATCTATTCGTTCGTTCGTTCGTTCATCTATTCGTTCGTTCGTTCGTTCATCTATTCGTTCGTTCATTTTTTAAACTATTACTTTGTTTTTTACGAGAAACTTTTTTTTAAAACTCACTTCAATGAAGGTCTTGTTCGGGTTGTTGTCTGAAAACTTCCAAACAACAACAACAACATCATCATTCATTGGACGGCCCCAAACTACAACAACATCATCGTCGTCGTCGTCATCATCACCGTCGTCCAGATCGTCCTCGCCAATGTCCTTCATATTGCCATCTCAATTAACAACAACATCAACAACAACAACAGCATCAACCATAACAACAGCATCAACCACAACAACATCAACCACAACAACATCAACCACAACAGCATCAAAAATTCCAGAAATAATATTACAATCCCTAAATGAGAAGGCGAAAGAATGCCAGCTGAACGTAGAAAGACTTAAAATCGAAGAGACGAAAAAAATGACTCTGCTAGAACGCTTACACAGTTCAGTGGGGCAGGCCCTATCAGGGGTGATTCCATTAGGGGGAGGGTATACAGAGGGTTCAGTTGATAGACCTTTTGGGGGTACTACGGGGCAGTCCATAGGGGCGTCTAAGAGTATTGTCATCTCAGCTGATATGGTTCGTATGTATGTATGTATTTTTTGTCGGTAAATATTTTCCAATTGGTTATTTTTAAACGTAATTTTTTCCTCTTTAGGTTAAGCTGTATGATTGGGACGATAATAATAATAATAATAATAAGAATAATAATAATAATAGTGATAATAATAATAATAATGATGATGATGATGATGATGACAATAACAACAATAACAGTAATAATAATAATAATAATAAATTGTCAAATGATGATTTGGTGGTCGTTAAAAATGTGACCACCGTGCTATCAGATGATGACGACCTTGTCATCTACTGCGTCGTGAAATGTATGTCATCGTCAAGGTTAGATACAAACACACACACACACACACACACACACACGCATACACACATACATACATACACACACATACATACATACACATACATACACACACACACATACAGGGACGTATGCAATGTTAAATTATTTGTCTCTCGCAATTCTTACGATGATGACAATTCAAGGATGTCTTCAGATAGTCGGAATAAAGGTGATAATGATGAGGATGATGATGAAGAAGTTGATGATAATGATGAGGACGAAGTTGATGATGGTGATAACGGAGCTATAATAAATGATGATTGGGGTGGTGATAGTTCCGATTATGATAACGATACGGATCGAGATTATGATGATGACTGAATGTGATGACCTTTATTATACAATATTAAAAATAATTTGGTTATTATCATTATTGTTGTTGTTATTATTATTATTATTAATGATGAGTTTTTTCTCACGGAACAGCCAGTCCAGACGTGCTTACGACAAAGTCAACTGCATTCACACTAGAGTGCACCGAAAATCTATATAATAATAATAATAATAATAATAATAATAATAATAATAATGACGTCAGCAAAAGCCACAATACGTTGATAGATTTATACCTGCAAAACATTCTGAAAGGTAATATCCCAAAAAAGACTGACCCTAGGTACCCTAATTTACCCCAGGGCCGGCCGCGTCCTACAGATAAACGGGCCAATCAGATTAGTTACGTCAGTGACGTATTCGCCTATGGCGTCCAATCACATCTCGGCTATTTGGACCTGTGCTATCTTACGTGCACTTTAAAAATTTCGAGTTTAGTTAGAAAATGTAACCGTGACGGTGAGGAAATTGGTTGTGGTGGTGATAATGGTGATAATTATGCAAGAGGTTTTGGGGTATTTTTGAGTTGGGTTAAAAAATCATCATCGTCTCAAAAAGCTATGAATAGATCAGTATTAAACGATAATGATGATGATGGCGATGATGATGATGATGGTGATGATAAAATGTATTTCAAATGTTTGGCCAAGCAAGCCAAGATTTCGTTGGATGAATTACGTCGTTGTAAATTTAGCTGGGACGATGATGACGATGATGACGATGATGAGGAGAAGGATCGTAGCAAGATTTATAATAATGATAAAAACTATGAAAATATTAATTGTGGTAATGATGATGATGATGTAGATGATGATCGGATCGGTTTTTTCACTCTGAAAGGTTTGTTTTACTCATCAGCATTAATATTATTATTGTGATATTATTCAATATTATTATTATAAATCTTTTTAAAGTTAAATATTTTAAAGAAACTTGATACAAATTTCTCCCAATCCAGAAGACCTGTTCAGCTTACTAATGTCGACTTTTGAGAGCAAATTCATGAAAATCTCGACAGATCTCAGCGCAATTTCCTCTTTGGCGTCGTTTATTTTAACTAAAAAGTTGAAATTTGCGTATAACAAACGTCTGTCGTGTTTCGTCTGTGTGGACGGTGATTGTAGTTGGTTCCATAAGAATGTGGTCATAGTTCTTCTGGCAGATCATTCGCATTCCTCTTGTCTGCAAGTTTATTTCAGGTTGGTAGTGGTTCGTTGTGTGGATTATTGTTAAAAAGGTTAAAGGTCATTCTTTTTTGTGTGTTTTGGTATAAAAAACAGATACACACACGCAGCCTGTCGTTAATGTACTTGAGAACCCCCTGTCGTATATACATTGCATGTGATTTTCGGGGATCTTTTTGCATTCGAACACGGTCACTGCACCACAACAGCGGGACCAGGCACACTGCCCATCGTTATCGCTACTATTATTTATTGGAATAAATTACTAGATACAAATGTCTTCTGTTGATGTATCAAATTTTATTAAGGATGTGTGATTTGTTAGAGGTGCAATCGATAAATATGTGTTAGCATCATACATAGTGATTGATTTAATTTGATTGATTGATTGATTGATTTAATTTGATTGATTGATTGATTGATTGATTGATTGATTGATTGATTGATTGATTGATTGATTGATTGATTGATTGATTGATTGATTGATTGATTGATTGGTACCCCAGAGACCAATCAAATTTAGATCACCTGGTTCAGAAGGTCAGCCAACATTTGCCCTACGATTCAACCATCAAACTTTCATCTAAAAAATGAAATTTTTGATGAACTTATTTAATAGCTTCGGTTCTTGTTTCTTTCAAAAAAAAATTATTTGATCGAAATTTCATTTAAATATTTGTCAAGATTAGTTTGCAGTTTGGCCGTTTCAAAGTTGGATTTTTTGATTATTATTGATTAATGATAAAAAATAAAATATAGTTATTTTAGTTTTTATCGGCAGATCAAACAATATTTTAGCGTTTAGTGATTTTTTTTTGTTGGATATTAAAGGCATTAAAAGAAATTATTTTCTTGGAATATTATTGTAGCTTTTGAACGTTTCTTCTATGCTCAACGCTGTCTTGTTTTATCGCTCAGACTTACCGATTTTGTTCACGTTTTAGTAAATTGCTGTAGAATTATGTCGGTTAGTGATGAAATAAATTTAAAATATTGTTGACAATGTTTTATTTGATTTACGAAATTTATTTTAAAATTTTATTTTCCGACATTTTGTGTTTATTAAGAAAATTTTCGTTGGTTCATTTCATTTTTTTTTTGTTCAATTTTTAATTAAAATTTTCAAATTTAATAATCATTCAAGCTAATAATCCGTATGTAATTTTTAACTATAAATAAAATTTGTGACTACTGATTTATTTTCTTGTTCTCTAGTCTAAACTCGCTAACAAGTCTGAAATATTAGCAGCTGCCTCCTAAGCCAATTGTGAATTATTAAATTATGAAATGATTTTATGATGATATCGCCTTTTTACAATTCAAGGCCCTGCCATTAAATCCTAAACCCTTTCTGAATGGCCTTGTAGGCAAGCCCGTGCTGGTGAAATTAAAGTGGGGCATGGAGTACAAAGGTTACCTGGTCTCTGTTGATGGGTACATGAATCTACAGGTTCACTTAAGTTTACTTTTAATCTTTCTATTTAACTCTATTGATCATTTTATTATTTTGTGTTTGTGTTCATAATTTTTTTAAAGTTGGTTTAGCATTGATTAAAAAATTTACATTTTGCTTCATAGCAACTACATTACTACTGACAAATTATTAGACAATTGTCACCAATTAATTTAAATGAATAATAATTCAATAATTAATTGAAATGATTTCAAAAATTCTTTCAACCTGGCAGTTGGCCAACACTGAAGAGTACATGGATGGTGCCTTATCGGGGAATTTGGGAGAAGTTCTAATCAGGTCTTTCCTCTTATATTTCTCATTGTTAAATAACTATTTTTATTTAAAACTACATCTGATTTACACACTATATAATTATGGCTATTGTTAAATTCGTTATTAAATTAAATGATTTTGTTTCGTGAATATTAATATTATTTTGATATATCTATTAGTTTATATTGAAAATTTTTTAAACCGATTTTAAACGAATAAATAACTTAAAATTGCTGGCCAGATGCAACAACGTCCTGTACATCCGTGGCGTCGAAGACATCGACGAAGAAGGAGAAATGAGAGAATAATTATGCTATTTATCATTAGTTTTTATTATGATCATAATTTTTCCATAATTATTACATTTATTATGATACAACGATATATGTCACCATTATTATTTCTTTTCTTTATTACATTTTTTAAAAGTGACCGCAAGAGAAATGATTCTTAACTATTATTATTTTGTTATTGTTATTCTTCTCATGCCTTGTCTTGGGAAGTTTTATATTTTACATTTAATAATTAGAAAAATGTTATTAGAAATCTTGATCAAACGTTTCAGAAACTTGTTATATGTGCATTACCTAAGTGTGTGTGCGTGTGTGTGTGTGTGCGCATTTTCGGTAATAAAAAATGTTTTGAGAGTTTATATTTCTCTCTATTCACCTTTCAACCAACCATATTATCGAGTTTATCAGTTATTAACGTGACATTTGCATTCAGCAAACTGGCGACTCGGCCATATGCCTAATTTGAGAGATGATCAGATGGTGAATATGAACAGCCTGGGGCAGTCTGTTGAAATTGATGAATGTTCTCCTAATTTCAAAAGGGTCTCTTAACTCCTTATTACATATTTTAATAAAATTTTTCAATTAATTAAAAAAAAATTAAATAGTTGGTTGGTTGAAGATCGCCAGATAAGTACAGTATCTCAATTAACATTATGCCATACACACACATACAATAAACACATTTGCAAATAAACGAACACACAATTTTATACAAACTCATACACACATACAAACACCCTCATACGTACAAACACGTTTTCAATTTGCACTCCACTTACTGCAATGCTTTCCATATGCTACGTTTCCCATGTATGTAGGTATATATATGGATATATTTGTATGTATGTTTGTATGTATGTTTGTATGTATGTTTGTATGCATGTTTGTATGTATGTATATTGGCATATAAAAGTTGACTTCTTCGTACGTACTGTACTGTCATCTGTTGAGTTTTTAAAAGTGGATAAATAACAACTGACTTAATAGCGAAGTATGTTGTTGTTGTTGTTGTTGTTGTCGTTGATGTTGTTGTTGATGTTCATGTTGTCGTTGTTGATGTTGTTTTTGTTTTTGTTGCTGTTGTTATTGTTGATGTTGTTGTTCAAGCTGTTGTAGTTGTTGCTCAAGCTGTTGTTGTTGTTCAAGCTGTTGTAGTTGTTAATGTTATTGTTGTTGCTGTTGTTGTTGCTGCTGGTGTTGTCGTTTTTGTTGTTCAAAATTTTGCGGCTGTAGTTTTGGGGTCATCTCTTCTTCATATGGCAATAATTTACTTATTATCGATTAACTTTTGTACGAATAGCAATCTTTAATTATTATCATCATTATTATTAATGTTGTTATTATTATTATTTTTGTAATATTTATCATTTGGTATGTTATTTTTATTGACGTTGTTCCCTTGCAAGACATGACAGTTGAATCTAATTTATTGAAAGTATTTGCACTCCATCATCATCCTCCTCCTCATCATCGTCATCATCCTCCTCATCATCATCATCATCCTCATTATCATCATCGTCATCATCATCCTCCTCATCATCGTCATCATCCTCATCATCATCCTCCTCATCATCGTCATCATCATCATCCTCCTCATCATCCTCATCGTCATCATCCTCCTCATCATCATCCTCATCATCATCATCGTCATCATCCTCCTCATCATCTTCATCATCCTCATCATCGTCGTCATCATCCTCCTCATCATCGTCATCATCATCCTCATCATCTTCATCGTCGTCTTTTAGTTCGTTATCGCTTCGCAGTTGCAAAAATATTATTAATAATAACATGATCATCGTTGCGGTAATAATATAAAAATGTACGTAATAATAACAACAGCAATAATAATAATAACATCATTATCATCATCATCATCATCTTGTTAGCAAGCTTTCATCTCATATAAGCTTTCCAGCCACACATTCTTACATGGTCCGGGTTAACGTTATTAACATTTCCGGTCAATACTACTACTACTACTACTACCACTACTGCTACTACTACCACTACTACCACTACTGCTACTACTACTACCAATACTACTACTACAGCTACGATACTACAAGTTGCTAGAGGATGAATTAATTTAATTGATTGTTTAATTGTTTGTGGACTACAAACGAACGAATGAATGAATGAATGAATGAACGAACGAATGAATGAATGAGTAGAAGAAAAATAATTAAAGACACGAATGAACGAACGAAGAGACAAAAAAATGAATGAATGGACTTACGAAGTTATGCAAAAAAGGAAAATAAATAAACTTATAAATCACAATATTCCTATCTTAACGAAATGTAAATAAATTTCGCCAAATGACTGCCTGTGAGTTTGTGTCTTTGTGTGTATGTCTGTATGTATGTACGTTTGTATGTATGTATGTATGTATGTATGTATGTATGTATGTATGTATGTATGTATGTATGTATGTATGTATGTATGCATGCATGCATGTATGTATGTATGTATGTATGTATGTATGTATGTATGTATGTATGTGTACTTCGTGCAGCCCAACAAATAACATCAGCAAAATCAATATGTACGGCTTCATTTCACAACCAACAACAACAACAATACAAATAAAAACAACAACATCAATGTTAACAACAACAACATTAATAACAACATCAACAGCAACGTCAACAAATCTATAAATACATTTTCTTTGGAAATTTGTATCATAAAATGGGACGGGCTTTTATTTATAGCCAACAACATCAACAACAACATCTGCAATAATAATTTTAATATTAATTATAATTAGTATCATTATTGTTGTTGTTGTTGTTTTAAAGTTACAAATTCTTATCAACTTCACTTATCGCATAATTAGTTGTCGGCCCGCCCACCTTGCAACACGTCCCGTGTTATTTGTTGCCGGCATTTTAGAGAGAGAGAGAGAGAGAGAGAGAGAGATGAAAGAGAGAGAGGAGAGACGAAGAAAAAGAGAGAGATATAAGATAAGGCAGAGAAGAAAAATTTTAAATAAATGAAAGATAAAAAGACGATGAAAGTGTGTTTGGAAGAGAGAGAGGGAGAGAGAGAGAGATAGGGAGGGAGTGAAAAAGTAAAAAAGAGAGAGGAAGGAAAAGAGAGAGAATATGGGAAGAGAGCGAAAGAAAGTTCAGAAAAGAATTGAGACCAAAGTAAGGATGGTTGAATATTAAGTATTTACTAGATGACGATGAAGAACCAGTAAGAGAAAGAGAGAGAGAGAGAGAGAGAGAGAGAGAGAGAGAGAGGAGAGAGAGAAGTGAAACAGACAAAAAAGAAAATTGAATTGTTGAGATGTAAAAAAGAAGTGATTGATTGAATAGATAGGTGATTGAATTAAAGAAAGAATGAGGATAAATAAAATGGATGGTTGAATGAATGAATGAGTGAGTGAACGAATGAATGAGTGACCGTAGGCACAGATAAAGGAATGAACAAAAGAACAAATGAGCGTATGAAAGAACGAGCAGATAAAAAAATGAAAAAATTAGTAGAAAAATGAATAAAGTTGGATGAAGGAAGTAATAGACGAGATGTAAGAAATTGTGGTGGCGCTAAAACTTAATTACTCTAGCGCTTAATTCTATTTATTGGCATTTTGTCAATCATTACGTTACGTTGTCTGGGGTTGTTAGTTAGACCCAGCAAAGTTAACTGTCGTAATGTAATGCGTGTGCGTAATGATGATGTGTGACATCACCACTATCACCGAAACAAAATCATCATCGTCAACATCATCATCATCAACATCATCATCATCATCATCATCATCAGTTGCAGGTCACGTGATGAGAACCTCATCAGGCTTGACGGTTTGAGTGGCGAAGGAGCGCATAAAGGCAGTAAAAGCACCACGCCAATAATAATAATAATAATAATAATAATAATAATAACAGCAACAACACCAACATGAAAACTCTCGAGCTTTCGGCAAATCTTGTTAAAGCATATTTCATTTTGTCAACATCCATCATGGCTGGCGCGTCCTATTCAACAACATCAACAACAACATCAGTAACAACATCAACAACAACAACATCAGTGACAACATCAACAACAACAACATCAGTGACAACAATATTTGACATACCTACCGTAACAACAACAATAAGAAAGTTTAGAAAAGAAACCACAACTAAATCTAATACAACAACATCAAACTTTACGTTAAAAAATATAACATTGACGACCTTTAAAATACAATTACTACCGGTAAAGACATCAAAAACAACAACAACAAATATTTCACCAAAAACATCATCAACAACAACAAATACGACAACAGCAGCAACTACATCGACGACTACCACTGCGTACTTCAGCAACTACACGTCTGGTTTCTTGGTGCTGATTGTGGTTGCGGCCATACTGGGGAATGGCTTGGTGTGCTTGGCCGTCTACTGCAACAGCAAACTGAGGAACATGTTCAATTATTTTCTGGTCTCCCTTGCAATCTCTGATCTCATGTCTGCCTTGTTTATTATGCCTATGTCCATTTTTAAAACATCTACAGGTTTGCTGTGGCTGATGTTGCTGCTGTTGTAGCAGCTGCAGCAGCTGTTGCTGTTGTTGTTGTTGGGGTTGTTGTTTTTTTTCTTCTTCTTCTTCTTCTCCTTCTTCTTCATCTTCTTCCTCTTCTTCTTCTTCCTCTTCTCTTCTTCTTTTTCTTCTTCCTTTTCTTCTTCTTCATCTCCTTCTTTTTTTATTCTTCCTCCTCCTCTTCTTCTTCTTCTTCATCTTCTCCTTGCGTAGGCAGTCTTATATAGAATTTGCTAGTCCATTTGAACATTATTGATTGGTCTTTTGCTGTTGTTTGCGATGATGTGTTTGTTTGTGTGTGTGTGTGTTTGTTTTTGTATGTGTGCGTGTGCGTGCGTGTGTGGGTGTGTTTTATTTGTTGTTGCTGCTGATATTGTTGCCTTTATTGTTGTTAGTCTTTTAGTTTGTTTGTTTAATTACTAAAGATTCATTATTCGCAAGTGTATATATTTTTCGTTATTTGTTCATTCATTCATTCATTCATTTTTTCATTCATTCATTCATTCTTTCATTCATTCATTTCTACATGCATCGATTATATTTTGGACTCATGCCAGCTTATATGTTGCTTTCTCAATGTCCCTTTCTTAATAAGAATTATTGTTGTTGTTGTTGTATTTTCATCGTTCCTCTTATTGGTGGCTTTCACGGCAGTGATAAGATATATGCACTTCTTTTTTGTTCTCATTCATTCACTCAGTCATTCACTCATTCATTCATTCATTTGTCTGTTCATTCATTCGTTCATTTGTTGATTCATTCAATCGTTCGTTCGTTCAATCATTCGTTCATAGGTTTTTCTGCTCATTCGTTCATTCGTTATATCTTTGATTTACATATAACTGAAAAATTTAAAAATCTGAAAATGATGAAACCGGTAGCATACATACCGACAGAGCCGATGCAACTCCTTTGTTTTTACCGGTTCCAACCGATACATAGGTTCGAGACGTTTCCGACTAATACCGATACATAACGGAGATGCACACTTCTCAGATTCCGACTTATACCGACGCGTTTATGCACAACACTGCCAGACGTCACTGCTTATTTGGCATCACTATATCTTCGCAGAAGTTGCTTCGGCAGAATAAAAAAAAAAAAATCTGTATACTTTCATTCTTTCATTCATTTTTTGTCTCTTCAGTCATTTTTTATTCCTTTTCTAGAGTGCATTTTCATAATTTTCTCTCTCTCTCTCTCTCTCTCTCTTCTTTCCTTCTCCTCGTTCTATTTTCACTCATTTCTTTCTCTTTCATTCGTTCTCACTCTCAATATCTCTCTCTCAAACTACGTTTTTATCATCATGAATTTTCATAATTCATTTATACTCTTTACTCTACTCTCTCTCTCTCTTTCTCTCTCTCTCTCACTATCTATCTATCTATCTATCTATCTATCTATCTATCTATCTATCTATCTATCTATCTATCTATCTATCTATCTATCTATCTATCTATCTATCTATCTATCTATCTATCTATCTATCTATCTATCCATCTATCCATCCATCCATCCATCCATCCATCCATCCATCCATCCATCCATCCATCCATCCATCCATCCATCCATCCATCCATCTATCTATCTATCTATCTATCTATATATCTATCTATCTATCTAATTTTTTTTTCTCTCCCTCTTTTTTCATATATTTTTTGTCTTCCTACGTTGTCTTTTATAATGTACCAGTTCATTACATTTTCTTCTTGACCGTTCTTTCGTTCCTATTTGAAACTTCTTCAGTCAATCAAATGAGAAATGAATTGAAAAAGGAATGAGTGGACGAGTGAATGAATGAGTGAAGAAATGAGTGAATGATTAAATGAGTGAATGAATGAATGAATTATTAAATGAGTGAATGAATGAATGAATTAAATGAATAAATTAATGGGTGAAGGATAGATGGATGAACGCATGACAGCGAAACGACTTTTATGTCTTTTTTGATTGTGTTGAATAAAATTACGACGACCACGGTGATGATGATGATGACGGTGGTGATGATGACGGTGGTGATGATGAAAAAGAAGAAGATGATGATGTTTTTAATTTGAAATTGAAAGAAATTTGCATATCTTCAACAATGGACTTTCAGAGGAAAATAGTTTTTTAAAATGCTTATCTGACTATTAAGGGAACTAAATAACATCAACAACAACATCAACATCAACAGCATCATCAACAACAACATCAACATCCACAACAACAACATCAACAACAACACCAACATCCACAACAACATCAACAACAACTTCAACAACATCAACAACAACAACAAGAATGATAACGCCTCGAAATAAGAATGCAAATTTAGAAGCGTTAAGAGTCAAATATATTGCACCGCTCCCCAACATGTCTCACTCTGTACATTTACATACGTACACACATACATACATACATACATACATACATACATACATACATACATACATACATACATACATACATACATACATACATAGATATATACATACATACATACATACATACATACATACATACATAGAGGCACACACACACACACACAAATACATAAATGCATACCCATGCATATTTGATGAGAGGCTGAAATGGATATGATGATTTCGTGTTTCCATGATTGTATTAGCAGTGAATTCACATACATACATACATACATACGTACATACATACATGCATGTATACATTTAAACACATGAACAAACAAATAAACATACATACAAATATACATACAAACAAACATACATACATACTAACAAACATACAAACATATACTACAAACATATATTTGTTAAAAAATTAATTGCTGAAGCATACGTCCCATGCCTACGTGTCTTTAGTTAGTGGAATGCAAATAAAGACTGGCTGATTTAATGGGGCTCAAAATGCCGCGATGATGACGAAGATGACGACTACCGCCATAATGATGACCATTATGATGATGATGTCATGGACGAAGATGATGATGACGATGATGATGTTGGTGGTGATGATGACGACAATGAAACGTCACCACCAAAACAGACCACGTGATCATACCGAAGTTGATGTGCGTCACGTGGTACAGCCTAGATGTCCTCTTTACGTCATCGTCGATATGCCACCTCTGCATGATCTCCGTGGACCGTTACCTGACCTTGACCTACCCGCTCAAGTTTGTTTGACGTCATCTTTAAAAAGTATTTCTGTCGTGGTTTTTATCGTATACAACAATAACACAAACAACAACAACAACAATAAAACAACAACAACAACATGGAAACCATCAACAACAAACAACAATAACATCAGATACGGCCATTCAAAGAAAAAGAAGCACACGTTAATGAAGATAGCTCTCGTTTGGATCATTTCAATTTGCATCGCTGGACCCCTATTCGCCCTAACTTGGATCGACAAAGAACCATTAGTTAACGGCACCGATAATTCTAGGGATGTACCGATAAATACCGACTTTGACTATAGATACAATTCCAATTATTTCAATTCTTACAATTCCATCTCCAACAACTCTCTTCATACACTTTCATTTTCAAATACCCATCCAAATGGCCGTGTTATAACCGACGGTTTTCTAAATTACTACGGTGACGACGATGATGATGAAGATATCGCTGAGTATAATTTTTACAACTTTAAATTGAACACCTCTTCGTATGCTGATTATGACGGAATACACAGGAATAACAACAACAACTATGCCAGTATTAATTTAAATAAATACAACAACAACAACCACAACAATAATAATAATAATAATGAGAAGGGAGAAGGGCAAGATGAGGAAGAAGATAATATATACAAAGGCTGTGGGCCCGAATCACACATTTTCGTCATATCAGCGACGGTCTCCCATGCCAGATGATTTTATTTCATTTTATTTTCATTTAATTTTTATTTATTAATTTTATTTTAATTAATTAATTTATTTAAATTAGATCTCGATTTGCTGATACAACCACAAATACAACCACAACCACAAACCGCAACCACAAATACAACAGGGTATCTCATTTTACTTGCCCCTGCTAATAATGACCATCATGTATGCACTGACAGTCAGGGCTCTGCGTCTACAAGTCCAAGAAAGGCGTCGTTTAGAAGCAACTACCACAGCTGCCACAACTTCGCGGTCGTCAACGGCCACGTTAAACATCGGCGATAATTTCTCGAAAAAATCAAGTTTTTCGTCGAGTTTTCGGATCTCACCGTCTTTTCGTCGGATCGTTTTTCCAAATCAAAAAAGAAAGGCGAGCGCGCCTGCGGTGGCTTCAATGGCTGCTGCTGCCGACTGCAAACAGGATTTGTATTGTCAGAAGGTGTACTTGCGTTTGCTGTTGTTTTAAAAAATTTGCATCGTCATAATTTTCATGAAGTTAGTTATCAAAAGTTTTGTTCGTGGTGTCGTGGATAAATATTAACGATAATAATGATTAATTTTAACCAAACGATGATATATTTACACTGAAAACAGCAAAAAAACTCGCGAGTTGACTGCAGCAGCAAGCTGAGATCTTCATCGGCCAAATATAAATCTTATCAGAGTACCAAAACACGCGATGCGTTCACGTTGGCGAGTCCATTTCAAAGCTGTTCCCCCCTCGTAAGAAGCAGTAGTAGTAGTACGAAGTACAGAGCCAGGTGGAGAACTAGTCTAGACTTATTTGAACAAGAGCAGAAAAAATTAGGTGCAGCAGCAGCAGCAACAGCAGCGACGACGACGACGACACTTGAAATGAAATGTTTTCGTTCGGGTAAGGGTCTGACTCATCTGCATCAACAACACCATGAACAACAACAACAACAACTGCAAAAACATTCAAGTAGCACGTTCGGTCGGTATTTACTCGTAACAGCAGGCTCGACGAATGCCGTAAAAGATTCGAATATACCGACTTGCAGCCACTGGAATGATGACAACTCGATAGAACTCGTCGATCCGACGGTGCGTTTGAAATCGATGCCAAAGTTCGTATCGACGGATACGGTTCAATCGAATAGCGTCAGCACATCCACACTGACGACGAACGCGGCCACAAGCCCTGCAAAGTCGCCTCGAACCGCTAATTTTGACAGCCGATCAAGAAGGTTTAAGATGTGTGGGCATGTTCGAATGCTCGCGCGTGTGTATTTGTTTGTATTTTGAATTGTACACATGTGTATCCGCGCGTTTCTCTCCTTATGTAATCGTTCGTTTGTATGTATCTGCCTATGTGTATCAGGTTATATTTTGTGTGCATGTATTCGTGTATGTTATGTCCATACGTATGAATGTGTGTTTCTCTCTCTCTCTCTCTCTCCCTTATTCTCTCTCTCTCACACACACACTCATGCATTTATATAGCGCTTAATCTAGCAAAAAACACCGAGGGCATTTTCTTTGAAGCGTAATGTTAAAAAATAACGATGATGATGATGTTGTTATTATTATACTTACGTTTTTATTCTCTTTCTTTAGATAAGCAGTGTACTAACATCCTCAACTTTTAATGATGTCGTGTTTTTTCAGCTGGTGGCCATCGCATCGTGTGGCGTGTCTGTTGTGTAGGCATTCATCTTAACGGAGTAAATTGAGAAACTTCTCTTAGAATCGAAATAAAATACGCGCTTATTAATTCTCAATTTATCAGAAATTTCATGAGAAATATCATTATTTAAATATTCGCACTATAATAACAAAACAGTAGAAGATTTTGGTAGAACATTTTTCATTTTTACATTTTGGTAGAACTTAGCTAGAGATCCGTACAAAAATATCGCTGACAACGTTGAAAACAATCGCAGGTTCGAAGAGAGATGCAGCAGGTTTTCGTCTAGAAGTCAGAGTAGTGTACTATCCGCACGCAACATCAACAACAACATCAACATCAACATTAACAACAATAGCAACAACAACAGCAATAGTAGTATCAGAAGGAACCAGACCGGCCTCGATAAGGGCAGGAAAGCTGTACAAGTTGGTATTAAGATTTTTACTTGAACAAAATTTTTAAAACGTCATTCATTCATTCATTCCTTTAGTCATCTATCTATCTATTCGTTCATTCATCCATTTCCATCACTCACTCACTCAACCTCAGGTTCTCGGAATACTATTCGTGGTATTCGTAGCCTGCTACCTGCCGTTCTTCGCCCTCTACCTGGTTAGGGGGGTGTGTGACAGGTGCAGGCCCTACATCACGGTGGAGATACTGGTGGCTCTCGAGTGGGTGGCTTACAGCGCCGCCCTCATCAACCCGATCATCTACCACGTCTTCAATCCAGATTTCAGAAGGACGTTTCAGCAGTTGCTTCGTTGTCGATGTTGTTGGGGTGGCCGCTGTTGTAGTTGCTGTGGTGGTAGCAGTTGTTGTCGTTGTGGTGCCGAGAGCTGCTGTAGTTGTGGTAGTGGTAGTAGTGAGACAAGATGTTATCAACATCGCCATCTTCACCAGCGTTCCGTCGAAGAAACTCGGCAGACATCGTCAAATAAGCATTCAGGTTTCTTAAGGAGAAATCATTGCTATCCAAACATCACTGACAAGCAATCCGATCGAAGTTACAACAACAAAAACAACGACAACAACATCATCGACAACAACAACATCAACAACGACAACATCATCAACAACAACAAAATATACATACTGTCATCGACCCTGACTGAAAACCATGCCTGCTTCTGTTGTATGTGCGCTGTCAGACTCAGCCTCACCTGCTGCCAACCTTTCAAAACCTCAACTGGTAACATCGTTTAAGTTAATAGGCAAATGGCGTCGCTCAACTTTAAAACTAACAACAATCACAATAACAATAGTAACAATAATAATAATAAAAATAATAATAATGACGCCATTAGTTCCTTGGATAAAACTTGATAAATATTCAGACTTATTCTCCAAAAATTAAACGAAATAGTCGAATCTGCGGTATTTCCGTGTAAATATGTATCAAGGTATAATGTATAAGGTACACACATTTTGTTGGACAATTATCATTATTATAACTACAATTAATACTATAATTATTATTTATTGTTATCATTCGTGTTAATGATAGCTTGTCATTAAAAAGCTTTATAAAATAAACTTCTCATTTTATTAACATTACTTCATTGTTAACGAGGTGCATCGTGGTACGTACAACACGCCTTGGTGTAGTTTATTAAGACCATTCCTAGTGTTCCGAATTCACTAATTAACAACTTGTAATCCAGTTTAATGATGAACCAATCAAACGATTTTGAAACAAGCATGATTTAATTCACACACACACACACACACACACACACACACACACACACACACACACACACACACACACACACACACACACACACACAAAAGTTGATTAACAAGTAACTATAGTAAAATTACAAATAGATAAATGAATAAATAACGAAAATATTGCTAAATAAGTAAATAAATATGCACTAAAGAAAGTTTAAGTTCAAAACATTGGGTAGAGTTGGTAGATCGTCTACATCATAGAAATCGGTAACATTAGAAAATTTTTACATTTTACGGGAGAACTGCCAGAGCCAAATTGACACAAACCCCCCACACACGCACACACACACACAGACCTTTATAAATTAATAAGTTACTAAATAGTGCTAATTCACACTGAAGCCAACATGCCTAGCTAATAATGATGAGGAGCACACGTGAACCAACCATAGATGTAAACTTGAATTTGAGTGAAGAACAGAGGGGAAACATTATCAGTACTAAATTTATAATTCATCACCATCAAACGTATTCATCAATCAATCAGTCAACCAACCAACCAACCAACCAACCAACCAATCAATCAGTCAACCAACCAACCAATCAATCAACCAATCAATCAATCAATCAATCAATCAATCAATCAATCAATCAATCAATCAATCAATCAATCAATCAATCAATCAATCAATCAATCAATCAATCAATCAATCAATCAATCAATCAGTCAACCAACCAACCAACCAACCAACCAATCAATCAATCAATCAGTCAACCAACCAACCAATCAATCAAACAAACAAAAAGCAAATTTGAAAAGTTGTATATTTGAGAAAAATCAATTACCAATTTTATCTTTTCATAACTGTAGCTATAAGAACAATAATAATAAATATAATAATAAATATTATTAATTTATAAATTATAATATTTTCAAAAGATCCACATCATCGTCCTCATCTCTTGACCAGGCTAACAGCAGACTGAAGGCTTTTTGAAGCTTTAGGCAGCCGAACTGACGATGCTAGCGATGATGTTGTTGGTGAAGAGGACGACGATGATAACAAGTTTCTCTTGAAATGAGATGAAGACGATGCAAACGATGACGATGATGAGTGAACCAAAGGATGAATAAATTTTTTCGTTGGCTGGTTGCTACTGCTGCTACTTCTACTACTACCTGCACCGAAGCCACTACTAGCTGCATAGTTAGTGATGTACGGCTTGAAATTCGGTCGATGCTGCACATGTTGATGTTGCTGGTAAGTTTCATATCTTCTCATCAGGTTATCGTGCCTGTTTAAGTTTCGGCTGAACTGTGGCAAAAGCGGTTCGTCTCTTGTGGTTCGATATTTGTTTTGGTATTCGGGAGTTATGAAAGTTGAAGAGGTGGCGTTATTAGTCGGACCGGGCATCTTCATAACTTGAGGTCGCCTCGAGTTCCAGCTGACATCATCTCCTAACTTCCTCCCTAACCTCTCGTAAATCGATTTCCTGCTGCTGCTGCCGCTGCAGTTTGTGGCCGAAGATGGTGGTGGACTTAGTTGGTCTGCCACCATGCTGTTCTTGCTTAGCAGAGTTTCTAATTTGTTTTTTTCGTTGCTGGTCGGGTAGGTTGTAGTTGTTGTTGTTAGAGAGTAATTTTTGTAGTTTCGATGACTCGTTGGGTAGTGATCGGTCGGCGTTCGTTCTTTGCGATGTTCCCTGCTTGACGTTGCTGCTCTGTAATGTTGTTTGTAATGATCGGCATGGTCGCACTCGACATCGGCATAGAAGGTGGATGAGTTATGCCTGCCCAGCAGCTTGTAAGAAGACGAAAAGTGTTGCTCGTCATCGGCCAGCTCGAATTCATTACCCTCATAAATGGCATTTTTATAATTTGAATTCTTAAAACTAACAATGGCGTCAGCTCTCTCAAACTTCCTCCTTCCATCGTAATATGCACCTCTGTAGGGATTGAAATATCTCTCACCACTGTTATTGTTACCAATTTCATATTCTAAGACCTTATCATTAAATTTGTAGAAGCCATCGTTACTACTACGGCCGCTGCCAACGAAGCTACCACTGCCGCCACCGCCACCTCTGAGGTAGTAAGGAGCAGGATCGGGTAGTAGGTGTGGCCTTGTTATTGGCGGTGGCTTGTTAACCTGATCGCCAGCGTCGCCGTAACAAAATGAATTGTTGTTGTTATATCTGGTGTTACCGTTGTTGTTGTTGTTAGTTTTGGATGCTTGCATCAGTGCTGAGTTGGTGACTCTGATTTGCAAGTTTTCAAATTTTCTTCCCGTAGCATGATCGTTGATGTATTTATTCAGAGTTCTAGAATGATTTTCTTTCCGTTGGGGAGGATGATAATTTTTCGAGTTGGATTCATCGGAAGAAGAGCTCTCAGATTGGTCAGCAGAACTCTGCTGCTGCTGCTGCTGCTGCGTTTTCCTCTTCCTCTTGACGTCATCAGTGGCGTAAGGAGTTGAGGTTGATTTCTTCGCGGTTGATTTGTGAGATGTTTCATGTTTTGACTGGTCATCATCCTCCTCATCGTCGTCATCCTCATCATCGCTGTGTATGGAGCTACCATTGGACTGACTAGTATCTCGACTTCTACGATGACTTCTGCTCTTCCTGACATCTGGTGAAGACTTTCTTGAAGAAGAGTTTGAGTTCTGACCACTTCTCGACTTGATGACCTGATTGATCTTGTACTTCTTCGTGAAGTTGCCGCCGGGGCGACCCGAGTGGCGCTGGTGGTGGGGATTTTCGAGAGTGCCAACATCAATGTCATCCTTACTCCTAGCAGCAGAACTTGCAGAGGCCGCTTGGGACTCGATGTAGGAGGACGAATGGTAGGCCACCTCACTACAGCTTCTCTCAATGTGCCTACTTAGGAATACTTTCAACTGCTCGTCTATGTTTGTCTTCAGGAAATATGAGCGGGCATACTGTTTGATCTTAGTGAAGCTCGTGCAATTTCCAAGTCCGTACAACAATTCCTCCGTTCTCTTAATCACTTCAGCTAATTTCTTCCCCTCATTCAGCAACTTTATTTCATCGTCATCGTCATCAGCGTTCTTGGCATCGCCGCCATTTCCATCATCATCATCACACTTCTCGTCATCATTATTATCGTCAGCCAATGGAGGGTTAAGTTTATTTTCGTTGAAATTTCTTCTGTTAGCTCGCTCACAACTGCTTCTACCATCATCACTCGATATCTCAGAGAATGAGTTGTTGTTGGTGCTGCTGTTCCTCGCCATCTTCTTATCCTTCTGCGTCATCTTCCTTTTTCTCTTTCTCATCTTGTCGCGCGATGATGCTAGCCTCCACCCTGATGCATGCTTCTCATCAACCTCCACAGGCACTGCTGCTGCTGCTGCAGATGACTTGCGCGATGATGAGGATGAGGAGGAAATTAATGACGGTGACTTGCTAGGCTTGTGGCGATGTTTTTTATAATCAGAGCTCGCAGACTTGTGATCAGCTGGGCGTTGTTCACTGGGGCTGGTCTCGGGAGTTCCATACGAATCGGAAGAATTGCTCCTTGTATGAAGTTCAGATGGACTCTTACGATGAAGATGACGACGAGGGTGATGATGCTGTGATGATGTTGAGAGATCAGGGTCGTTACTTTTCAATGCCCTCTCATCCTCGTTTTCTTCTCCACCTCCATCACTGTGGGAGTTTTTCAAAAAAATTTGCTTGAGTTGTAGCTTTTTACGCTCCAGCTCTCTTCTGAGTTGTCTCAAGTTTATTTCCTCTTCGTCGTCTTCATCAGCGTCATCAGTGACGTCATCCTCACCACGGAGGAGGGGGTCTCTCCCGTCGTCACCATCGTCGTAATCATCACCATCATCGCTGTTGTAACGCTTTTTGGAATCAGATTTCCTGTGATGATGCTTCTTCTTACTCTTCTTTTTTGACAACTTTTTTACTTTTTTCTTTCTCTCTCTGCTGCCACCACCACCACTGCCACCACCACCACCACCATCCTCATCTGGAACATCCTGCCTGTAACTGCTACCGACGCGATGGTACCCCACGCCGTCCTCATTCTCCCCCCCACCAACATCGCTGTAACACCTGGGCTCATTCATATCGCCACCGCAAAGCCAGGCGTCATTCGAAGAATTATATTCCAGCCCTGCCGGATATGGGCTTTCGTAATTTTGGTAAGAACCATCTCTACCCCCCGCGTAGTAACCCATCATTTGGGGCATGAACCCTCTTTGTCTCTTGAAACGGCCTCCAAACGGATGAACACCTCGAAATCGACCTCCTCTATATGCAAACCCTTGATTTCGAAGATATGGCTTAGAAGCCAGGAAAAAATCACTTTGAGTTTTGAAATTTGTAGCAAGGTAGGGTGGTTGGATTTGTTGCTGCTGCTGCAGCTCTTCTTGTTTCTGCTGTTTCATTTTAAGGAAAGCCTCCCTTTTATTCCTGTATTCAATTGCTTCTTGCTCTTTCTCCGGGTCGTAGTACTTGCGGGCATCGTAAATGTAGTCTGTGTCCGGGTCGTAGTCCTTGCCTGTCACCAACTTCTTGCTCTGCCATTTCTTTCTTTTCTACAAAAGTTGTTATCATAAATTCAGGTTCAATAACTTTACAATTAACTGAGAAAAATATATAAAATGTAACAATGAAATTAATAACACAGTGCTACTCTAATATTAACTAATTGCAATTACCTTCCAATTTAAATTTTCAATTATTTATCAATCTCCTATTTTTCGAGATACCATTCTCAAGTTATCTGATTCAGATTAATTATTAACAATAAAATTAACAATAATAATAATTTTTTAAATAAATGCAAAACCTCGATGAACTCTTCTTCGGAAAGATCACAATCCAGTCCAGCCACTTTCCTCTTTCGAACAATTTTCGGATTCAATGGTTCCCTCAGGGTGCTGACAAGGTTTTTGAAATACAGTCTTTTGTTGATGCAGGGATTTAAAGCCACCTGAGCTAATGTCAGGGCCTTGTTTGATCTTTGGTACAATTGAAAAACTAAAATTAAATGGTGTAATATACAAAATATAAAATGTATATGTATATAAAATATTACACTTCTGAACCATTATTATATATAGCAATGTACATTAGCCATATTTCAAATCTTTTTCAAGTAATTTAAATTCTAAAAATATATGAAAAATTTGTAAACTTTATTAAAAAAAAAGATTGAAAATTAATTAAAAAAGTTACAACACTGTTCCAGCTCTTCGTTAACTTTTGCTTCTATCATAATCTCTTTCACAGCATCCCTGTTGAAATTATTTAGGAAAAAAAAAAAATTTATCTTCCTATTATAAAATTATATTTATTTATAATTTGTAACAGTCGTTCTAATTTAAAAAAAATTGAAAAACATTATTAAGCCTGAATGTATCCAAAAACTGTATACATGCAAGTGCTAGCACACTAAGACACACTCATGTTATAATATATATAAATCTTTTTTTACCTACAATGCAATCCAAATAAACCTCCCACCATGATTATCCATCAGTCAAGAACAAAATGGAGTAATAAAAATGATCAAGAAAGTAATATTATGCTTGAACTTTGTTATATTTGTGTGGATGGCACTCTACTAACTAAAATTAATTAAGCAAGTAACATGAACTGTTTGTTGTGTTTCTCTTTCTTACTTACTAGCTTAGCTTACTGCTTGACTGTGACTGCCCAGGTATAATTGAATGTACAGTTATTGTACAGTGTATGTCATGATGGAGACATACATACAGTAATAAGTAAATAACAGAAAAAAGAAGTGATAATATATTATGTAATATAATAGAAATATAAATAATTGATTAGTGATTAAATCTAATTTTAAATGTTCTAAATTGACTAAACAATTCTATTTTTATTTGTATTTCATTTCTTTCTAACAAATCAAAAATCACAAAACAATCTTCTACCCATAGTATATATATATATATATATATATATATATATCTATCTAAAATAGTACCTAAGATTAAAACAAATTGTTCCAGAAAAAGATTTCAGAAGGGAGTTAAAAAAGTTATTTGTTCAACAAAGGATTTACATTTAATAATCACAGTACAATCCTCTGAGGAATGTCAATAGAGTGAATAACATAATAATAATAATTTAGTTTATCTAATATATATATATATATAGTATATAATTATTTATATATCTACTAAAAAGTAGAACTTTAATTTAAAATTTTATTTTTTTAAGAAATAGAAATGGAATATGACTACTCTCTCTACTAAACTAAAGAGGTCTAAATAAAACCTTGAAGAATTAACTCACAAACGTAGCGAGGCTCTTAACTCTAATGAGAAATTAATAATAAAATGATAATTATAGGAGCGTAGAAGCCAGCACAAAAAGAAAAAAAACTAACTTCTCTAATTGATCGTCGTCCATCGCCAAACTCGATCGTGCATTACCATTGAAGAAATGTAATAAGTTAATTTAAAATTTAATGATATTTTAAGGATGTACTGATAACCGAACGGTTAAAATCTAAAAAATGAAGCACTACAAAAATATTTGTAAAACTAAATTATTTCTTAGAAGTTTTGTAATAAATAGTAAGACAAACATTATTAGATCAAAAAATGTTGATGTAAACATAAAAATTTTTTTAAATCATAGCATAGTTAAAAAAATAAGTTGTATGTTTAAGGAATTGATGCACATAGCTAGGATAAATATCACGGCCTTCGCTCACTTTCAACGTTCGAACAAGGAGCTAATTTCTGGAGGAGAATTGTAGGATGGTTTTTTTATCGTTCGAGTCAAAAGTTACGATCAATCGGTCGGGCTATTTATCATGCTTGGATCGTTGGCTTACAAAATTGCATGGATTTTAACGAGCAAGCTATATGAAATATTTACTTTACTTAATATGCTTAAAACATTGTAGTAATTCTATTTAATTTTACTTAATAGAATTATATATTATTAAATTATTTTTGTTAATTTGAATATAAAAACTGCTTTTGGTCCGGTGAAATTCGGGGGCTTACTGAAGCCGAAGGTTGGCTTACTAGGTTTGAACTATAGTCATTCTTTTTGTTTTACGCTATTCAATCATGTTAAAAAATTTTGTTTATGAAATAAACGGCCTAAATAAATCAAAATTGTTATTTGAACAACTATCTTCATTATATTCAATGAATATTTTACATTCTGCTGATGCTCACAGAAACTGGTTGCTGAAATCATACGTTGGCTTACAGCAGTGGCTTACAGGGTTTCATAGAACTCTTACGATAGCAATTTTTGGTACAATAATGCATTAAATAAATCAATATATTCATATCACAATTATTTTTGTCAGTATAAATATAGAAATTGCTTTTGTCAGGGGAAAAACAGTGGCTTACTGAAGCCGTAGGTTGGCTTAATCGGATTTTTTCTCATGTATACAATACTATGAGATAAATCAATCAAACAATCAGTCAGTCGGTCGGTTGGTCAGTCAGCCAGCCAGCCAGTCAGTCTGTCAGTCAATCAATCAATCAACCAACCGATCAATCAATCAACTAAATTGAATGAACCAAATAAATAAAAATAAAAACAAAAATAAATAAAAAAATTTGCAAGGCCTGTTCAAACTCGAACAAACAGTTAACCGTACAGATCTACAAACAATTTCGAGATTTTAGTAAAGAAAGAAAAACACAGTAGTTGCTTTTATTTGAATTCATTCAAATGACGGTTAATTAAAATTTTAGTATTTTAAATAAACAAATTATACATATATTCCCAAACCACACTTACAAATTACATACACACACACACACAAATTTTACATACACACGCAAATCACACAAACACACTTTTTCGGATGAAGTTCTAAACGGTCTTCGACTTTTTATTTTACCGTTTTGCGCGATTTTAATAAGGTTAAATGTGTGGAATCATTTTTTGCCTGTAACAGTTCTCCAATTTATAATAATATCTTTACTAATCTATTACTTTTTCAAAATTGATTGAGAAATTAAAAAATTTTGAATCATTTTTTGAACCAACAAAAAAAAAATCATCCGAATACAAACAGGGCTTGGTTTTTCTTCTTCACACTAACAACATTGCTGCTCGGCTTCGTATCACTGACTTTCTGCGGTTACCTCTTCTTAATTGGACATGCTGATTATTTCATCTGGTTTGGGACATTCATGCTAACCTTATTTACGTCTGTCTCGGCGCTGGCCTTCGTCTGCACCGTTAGTGAAGTTGTCTCTGTTCTCGTCTGTGTGTTTGTGTGTCTATATATGTCTCACTACTGAAGACCATTCATTCATTCATTCATTCATTCATTCATTCATTCATTCATTCATTCATTCATTCATTCATTCATTCATTCATTCATTCATTCATTCATTCATTCATTCATTCATTCATTCATTCATTCATTCATTCATTCATTCATTCATTCATTCATTCATTCATTCATTCATTCATTCATTCATTCATTCATTCATTCATTCATTCATTCGCTCATTCATTCATTCATTCATTCATCGATATTTAAATACTGTTTGACTGTAACTACCCACAGATAATTAGTCCATATATCATTTTCACTAAAGATACTAGTCGTAGATAATTAATTCATCTATCTTTTTCCCTCAAAGATTATTAATCTGACGAGTGGAATGACGACGAACGAGCGGGCAAACTGGGCGCGGTACTCCTACTTGATCGATTCAAGGGGTAGATTAATGAACCCTTTCAACAGAGGGTTCTTTAGAAACGTCGCCGAATATTTCAGTATCAGTAATTACGACGAGGTGGCTAGGAATTTTATTGAAGTCAAAAAGTTGCAAATTGTTTAAGCTTTTTTTTCCACACTGTTTTTTGATTTGTTTTTATGTTGATTTAATAATTTTATTTTTTAATGCTGTCGATTTTTTTCAGGTTTTTTTTTATATAAAATTTTGTTGTTTATAGGTAGCCTTGGGTTTTTTCGTATCTAGCTTTGTATAAAATTTATTTTCAATTTCATCTGTCCTTATATTACATATGCTTAATTTAAATTGTTTTTTCAATTTATTTTTTGATTATAACTTTCAGCAGTCAAACATTAATTTTTTCTAAACTAATTTTTAAAATTTTTTCAAAAACTTTATCACTTATAATGTGTTTATTATATCACTCAATGAAATATTATTTTCAACAATGATAAAACTCTAACACACACGCGCACACTTATGTACACTGATGTATAGGCCTTTGTTCGTTTTTTCATTAATCTACAATATCACCTTGCTTTTAATTTTGTAAAATTAATTTTTAAATAGTTCTTGTTGTTGCTGTTAAATACGTTGATTAATGTTTTGCTGCTACAATTGTGTTTCATATTTCTGTATGTTATCTAGCTTATATAGAAGTATATTTGTGAATAGTGTATGTGTGTATATGTCTGTGTGGTGTGTTTATGTGTGTGTATGTGTATTTACGTGCGCGCGTTACATATATCATAAATCTTTGCCTTTTTAAATAATAATACAATTGAACTGATTATTTATATTGTGGTCTGCTTGGTGGACTGTATCATTATTTTAAACTTGAATATGTGTAGCTATGTCTGTTTATTTTTACTCTTAAATTATTCTTATTCGGCTATTTGTTTGAATTATTAGTTTCTATTTTGGTGATGCTCTTTTTTGTTCGAAGCCTAAACTCTGTTTGTTCATATCTATACGTATGCAATGCAAAACTTACAGACCGACGTGAATTTTTTTTATTCTTATAAGTTTGCGATTTAATTAACCATTAACTAATGCAAATGTTTTTAAATTTGGTATTTCAAAAATTTAAACTTTCTAAATGATGCTGCTGGTTATACGTGTGCTTATATATATTGAATTATGAAAAAATTAAAAGAAAATTTTAAAAATATATTAAAAAAAATATTTGCGAGGTTTGCTTGGAGCGCCAACAAACATTCAATCGAACATACCTACCAACAGTTTCGGAGTTTAATGAAGCAAGAAAGACACATGGCTGCTTTGCTTTTATTTGATATCATTAAAAAATAAAAAAATGTGAATTTTTTAAAATTTCGGATTTTAAACAAACGAATATAACGAAATATCGACCATTAAAAAAATCTTTATTATTATTGTTTATTATTATATAGTGATGATGTTTCAGTCCTATGTTATAAAATCAATTCCCTTTCGGTTTCGATTATTTTCAGGTATAAAATTTGGAACGAAATTCAACTCAACGATTTTTTGTTTTTAAATTTTATTGAAAAAAGTCAACAATTAAAATATTAAAAACAAATTATAAGTCTTAAAATGTATGTCAGAACTCAGAGTAAACATTTATCTGATTATATCGTCCAGCCGCCTTCAACGTTCAATCAACTTTTTGTTTCTATCATCAAATGCACTCCTTAGAAGTTCTCGAAGGATAATCACCCACGTAACATGAACATTTAGTAAGAACAGTTCACAGCATATCATAATGGCTAAATCAACATACCAAAAAGAAATTATTTATACATGCATATATGCAAAGTAAATCAAGAAATACCAAAAATTATTTAACCAAATTAAAAAAAACTTGAAACCAGTCAACATTTAATAAATAAATAGAAAGACATTATTAAAAAAACTGTTTATAAAAAAGTATATTTTAAGGCGACGACGAAAAAAAATTTAGTATGTTTTGTTTTGTTGGTGTGATGGTATGAAGCAAAAACAAACATATAACAAAAAATAGTTAAAAGTCGAAATATAGTAGTCAGTCACCTACCTACAACTAAATTACTCTCAAGGCCTTAGCTTACCTATAATGATTAACTCAACTCACCTACCTACCTACAAATTTGTATTTCTACGTTCTAGAAATTTTACATGTCTAAAGTATTTTATTTTACAGATTTTAGCGTTTTTATTTTACATAACACTTTTGAACCAATGTTAAGCCCTAGCCTACCTACGATTGTTCAACTCATCTCAATCCCTAACTTACCTACGAATTAAATTAAAGTCCGGTAAAGAGAATAGAAAGTTTTTTGATTTAGCAATAACACATCAAAGAAACCGACCTTGACATTTGAAAAAATTTTAAATTAAACTTTTCACGCTAATGTTGTTAATCATTATACAAAAACATATCAAATACAGCAGACCAAACCAGTCAATCAGAATTTCTTTTGTTGTCGTTGCAGGAAATGACGTCATTTTAAATATTTTGGCGTTGTATTCAGTCAGTCGGCCAGTCAGTCAGCCAATCAGTCAATCAACCAATAAACCAGCCATTTAACATTCATTCAATCAACTAATCAACCAATCAACTTATTAATGAACCAAATTGAATGAACCAAATGAACGAACGAATTATGGTGAAACAATAAAAAAATTATTTGCAAGGCTTGCTGAAGCGCAAATCAACATTTAATCGTACGTATCTACAAACAATTTTGAGATTTTAGTAAGGAAAGAAAAACACAACAGTTGCTTTTATTTGACATCACATCAAAAATGAAAAATGGCGGAAAATTTAAATTTAAAAAATGTCAATTTAAAAAAATTCGGATTTAAAACAAACAAATGTAACACACGTCAGTCGTAGACGAAGAATGATTCAAGTAACACGAACAATTAGTAAAAACGGTTCACAGCATATCATAATGATACCGAACATAAATTATTTATACATGCATACAAAGAAATACAGAAAATATCAAAAAATTATGTAACCAAAATATAAAACCAGAAACCAGCCAACATTTTACAAATAAATAAATAGACATTACTAAAGATTGATCAAAAAGGTAAAATTCAAGGCGACGACGAAAAAAAGTAATGTGTTTTGTTGGTGTGGTGTTGCGATGCGAAAACAAACAAAAACATCACAAAAAATTAGTAAGAAGTCACAAGAATAGTAGTCAGTCACCTACCTACAATTAAATTACTCTCAGGGCCCTAGCTTACCTATGATGGTTAACTCAACTTACTTACCTACCTACCTACAAATTTGAATTTCAAATTTTACATGCATCAGCTATTTTGTTTTACATTTTTTAAAGTTTTGATTTTACTTGAAACTTTTTAACTAAAGTTAAGCCCTGGCCTACCTACGATTGTTCAACTCATCTCAATCCCTAACTTACCTATAAATTAAATTAAAGTCTGGTAAAAAGGATAGAAAGTTGAAGAGAAACATAACAACAACGACACCGAATGAATGTATGTTGTGTATGTATGTGTTGTATAGATGTGTGTGTGTGTAAATGTGCGCGCGTGCACTCTTCAGAAACTTCTTCACTCACTACGGACGAACCCCCTTGCACGGACCATCATCTGAGACGCACCGAATAGTCGTTCTCGTTAATGTTTTCTTCGAATTGTCATCGGAACGATCATCATGAGACCACCGTCTGAAACGTGCTGACGCCCACCACAGCCCACCTCTCATCGTTCTGTAGACAAAATTTTTTTAGCGTAGTCGTAAATGAATGTTAGAACGAAGGAACAAACAAATAAATTATTGAATAAATAAATGAGTGAATGAATGAATTAATCAATCAATCAAACCATGATTCAATGTAACAATATATGAATAGAATGAATTAATGGAGGAATAATTGTAAAGATTGAGTGAAAAAATGAATGAATGAGGAAAATAAAAAATCTAAACTAAACTTACTTAACAAATTGTCGTTATTGAACTCCATTGCACCGACCACCATAATCTGGTCGGCACACAAGACGTCATCCGAACTGCAGAATTTGAGTCGAACAGCCAACGAGCTGATTCTTCCTCACCACCATCATGAGACTACCATCTGAAACGTGCTGACACCCACCACTGCCCACCTCTCATCATTCTGTAGACAAATTTTTTGTTATTAGCGTAGTATAAATGAATTTTAGAATCTTAGAAGCAAAAAATTACAAAATAAAAATAATAGCAAACAATATAAAATAATAGGGCAAACTGTAAAAAGAAACTTACCGTGCCTTCCGGTTCCTACTACGTTGTCCTCCAAAACTGGTGCCAGTCCTCCTCCAGATTGTTGTTGATAGAGAAAGATAAAGAGAAGATTCTCATCAGAAAGCTTAGCGGTGCCTGCATCTCAAATTGTTTAATAAAAATAATCCTATCTACCTATTCAATTACCTTAACTAATCTATATTAAATTGTTAATGGTACGATAGTCGAAAGTCCCCCTTCATTCTCCCTCCTTGCACAGAGGTTCACCGACAACCAGGGCACCGGATAGTAAACCATTGCCGTGCGGATAGTAGACTACTGCCGTGCGGATAGTAAACCATTTGCCGTCCGGAAGCCGTGCGGGTAGTAGACTATGGCCATGCCGCATGGTAAATCATTACCGTGCAGATAGTAAACCATTGCCGTCCGGATAGTAAACCATTGCCGGTTCACCACTGGCCACCAAGGCTTACCTCTGACAAGAGACTTTGAAATCCAGAGTCAATCGGCTATCGTACCCTCAACTTACCTATTCATTACAATTAAGCCCTAGCTTACCTAAAATTACAAAACTCAAGAGCCCAATTCATTTAGCCAATCGGCACCCACCCCACCACCTACGTAATGCCTTGGGCTCCAACTTAGTAATAATAATATAAAACTTAAACCCTAAATCTATTAATGAGTATGTGTTACAACGTAGCCTTAACCTACCTATTCATTACATTACGGTCCTAGCTTACCTAAAATTAAAAAACTCAAGAGCCCAATTCATTTAGCCAATCGGCGCCCACCCCACCACCTACGTAATGCCTTGGGCTCCAACATAATAATAATAATGTAAAACTTATATTAGCCTACCTATCGATACACTTACAGCGTTTTAATTTACATTACAAGATTGTTCCTAGAATTACATTATTGCCCTTAACTACCTATAAAATTAAATTATTCTCAACCTTAGTAATAATAAATTAGAATGTGTAATGAAAATAAAATTACGCTCAAATACTAACATATGTGTTTATGCATGTATTTGTGTGTGTGTGTGTGTGTGTAATACGCTGATGCGAGTAATGTGGGTGCAAGAAAAAATAGAGGCGATAAACTTACGCGCCTACCTATTCAACTACATTAGTGTTGGATGCTTCTTATCTATCCTACCTACAATTAAAATTGTGCCTATCTAACCTACCTATATAGCTGCTTAATGTATTTGTGTGTGTAAGCGTGTGCGTGTGGGCATTCTTACTTAATGTTAAATTACAGAGAAAAACAGAGAAAAAAAATAAAACGTATCCCAGCCAGGCGTGCATTCTTTTCCACTGAATGAATGAACGTAGCCTGTCATCTTCCATAATGAACTCCTCTGGAAGCTTCAACCTGAATGAAATGAATAAAATGAAAAATCTTATTTAATTTAAATAAAAATAGAGAAACGAGCCGCGGTGAAACTCGCCAGCCGGAAAAGCCAGCCAACTGGCAAAAAGAGCCGCAAAGAAACCGTAAAACGAACCCCAACCAGGCGTGCATTTTTTGCCCCTGAATGAACGAACGTGACATCACAACCATTCTGATCGTCCACGATGAACTCCTCTGGGAGCTTCAACCTGAATGAATAAACCTGAATGAACCTAAATGAATGGAAAAATCTTATTTATTTAATTAATTTAAATGAAAATAGAGAAACGCAATGAAGCCGACCGGTCGGCAAAGAAAAGAACCTCAAAGAAAGGTATCTATATAGGATTTATGCTCTATATAACTCTATATAACTCTATATAACTCTATATAACTCTATATAACTCTATATAACTCTATATAACTCTATATAACTCTATATAACTCTATATAACTCTATATAACTCTATATAACTCTATATAACTCTATATAACTCTATATAACTCTATATAACTCTATATAACTCTATATAACTCTATATAACTCTATATAACTCTATATAACTCTATATAACTCTATATAACTCTATATAACTCTATATAACTCTATATAACTCTATATAACTCTATATAACTCTATATAACTCTATATAACTCTATATAACTCTATATAACTCTATATAACTCTATATAACTCTATATAACTCTATATAACTCTATATAACTCTATATAACTCTATATAACTCTATATAACTCTATATAACTCTATATAACTCTATATAACTCTATATAACTCTATATAACTCTATATAACTCTATATAACTCTATATAACCATGCATACTACCACATTCAATCAATAATAAAAATTCCACTAAAACCAGGAACCACCGCATACCTGTTATATGTATGGTGTGAAACAAAACAAAAAAACACACAAAACAAAAAACACACCACCAAGTAGAGTAAAAGAATAGAAGTCCCTAACCTACCTATGTAACTAAATTACCTTATGCCCTAGCCTACCTATATAATAAATTAATTTTTAATCTCACCTACCTATGTTTCATTAACTTAACTCAAGACTCATGAAGAAAGAGAAAAAAGAGTAAAACAGAACATAAAATACTACCACACAAACAATCATTATGTATATATGTATGTATGTATGAGCAACCGCTAAAGAACCCACCTAAAATATAAAAAAATACCACATACAAACACACAAACCACAGGCAACATATATAACTCTATATAACTCTATATAATAAAATAAATAAAAATAAAAAATTTAAAATAATAAAATAAATGAGATCAGACAGACTGCTTCAAGCGAGGCAGAATGCCTGATCTGATTTTCATGCTGTCTCAGCTCCTATTTATACTCGTTTCAACCATACATTTTCATCATTTCAATCATTCACATCAGTAAAAAACTTGTTTAATGTATGTACTACACTATTATTCAATCTTAACCACAATGCTAACCGTACTAAATTGACGTCATCGAACGATCGCCTTCGAAACTTTCTGATTGGCTGGTTGAATCTGCTATATAGCTTTTTATATAAACATATAATCTTATTAATTATTTGTATACAGGGATTCTAGTCACTATATATATATATATATATATATATATATATAAAGTGACTATATAATATATATAGAATATATAATATAAATTCATTATAAAAGCAACAGTAATCAGTGCTACGCACACAGTTCAAATTTTTCTGGGAGAATTCAAAATAGTTTGAGACACACCTTGCTTAACATCCGATTCCAAGCCGAGCCAAGCCAAGCTGAGCCAATATGCGTAGATTTATAAGCGCCTTTATATTTAAATTTTGCTCGCTTTATATACAAATATCCTAACATATCAAATTCTCCATCCTATTATAAATATTTTCTATGATGCTTTTTAATCAGTCAGGTCACAAAAATCATTATCGATATCGCGATGAAACTAAATTGAAATTTTTTTAAATTGTTGATAAAAGTAACTAAAGTTTAAATTTTTCTGAGAGAATTCAAAATATTTTGAGACTACACCATAACACAATTGTACAATTTGAATGTGTAAATACAACATAATAAATGTATTATAACTACGTATATATATCTATCTATCTATCTATCTATCTATCTATCTATCTATCTATCTATCTATCTATCTATCTATCTATCTATCTATCTATCTATCTATCTATCTATCTATCTATCTATCTATCTATCTATCTATTTCTTTATCTAGTTCTGCCTGCGTATGATATTTGGTCAAATTAGTATTATAGGAATTGAATACAACTTTTATACTGGCTGCTTAACTACCATGCAGTAAAATAACTACTATTAACATGACGTCATTTCCTCCAACGATTTCGCAACGAATTACCCATCCTATTTAAAAAATTTTTTTTGATGTTTTTTAATTAGACAGGTCACAATCATCATCATCAATATCGCAATGAAATCAAAGTGAGAATTTTTTAATTTTTTGAAAAAATTATTTTTATTCATTTAATGAGACTACTTTGTTCAATAAGATACTGATTGATGCATATAACTAGAATAAATATACGGCCTTCGCTCACTTTCAACGGTCGAACAAGGAGGGAGTTGGAGTGTGATTTTTTTATCGTTTGAGTCAAAAGTTACGATCGTATATTTACTAATTACAAAATATTGCTTTTATTTAAAATATTTAAATTTTAATTTTTTTTAATTGTTATTCAATGTGGTAATTAATTACTTTTATTTGGTATAAATTTAAAAAAATAAAATCGACATTACCGAAAATAATTAAAAGTTGAAAAAATTTAGATTCTTTGCATATCCCTTCTTCAACCCGTAAGAAAGTGTTGTATGTTGGTGAATAGGCCTCTCCTTGAATTGATGATATCAAAATTTTATATTTGAAGTATTATTCGCATTACGATTTTTTGTAACTTTTGTACTTAATTAGATAATTTTTCTATATTTTTTAATTTTAAATCATCACAAATTGCAAAGTTTATTCTACATATATGGTGCAACATTAATCAATCAACTATTCAATCAATCAAACAGTTTTTAAAGCGCTATCAGCGATGTTCAACAGCGCTCCTCGATGAATTTTGCAAACAGATGGGTCATGAGATCCGCTCCAAACTTCGTAAATGATGAGTTGTATAGGATTATATAAAGTTGTATAGAGATATGTTGAGTTATATAGCGTAATATAAAGTGATATAACGTTATATGGATTACATAGAGTTATATAGAGTTATATAGGGTTATATAGCGTTATATAGCGTTGTATAGAGTTATATAGGGCTATATATTTATAGGTTTATGCTCACATCTATTCTTGAGATCCGCTCGGAACTTCGTACGTGATTGAGAAGTAGTCAGAAAAGGAAGTAGAGAGTTTCAGAGAAAAGGGCCAACAAATACAAATACAGATTTAGCAAGAAAGTGTTTAACACAAGTTAAGAAGATTTGAGAACAAGTAGACGATCGTAAACCGATTATTGGTTCGACAAGTATTCCTAATCGGATATTATGCGCACAACTCGAAAATACACTGCCATCTTGTAATCTAAACGTTTGATTTTATTTGAACGTTGTCCTTTTTTTCAATTTTATAAATTTTATTTTTCATAGTAAACTAAGTGATATAAGTTTCAGTATAAATATTTAGCTATAATGTTGTTTAATTTTACGTGATTTTAAAGTTTAAAAAGTGTATCTACGTTTTATTATGATTACATTATTTATTATATATGAGAATCTGAGAATTTAGATTTTAGAATGATTTTATTTTTAGTTTTTTAGAAAATTGGTGAGTTAATTAACTAATAGTTGATAGTAGTGACTTGGTTACTTAAGTTCTCTTTATAAACTTGTGGCCTATGTTTCCGTTTCGTTCAATCAAATATTTCACAATATTTGAAGTCGTTTTGTTAACCTTCTACTCAGTTACTGGTGAGTTGTTTAGGCTTTTCACTTTGTTGATCAATTTCAATCATTTCAATCTAAATTGTTTTTTTTTCTTATTCTCTTAAAACTTGATGATTGCACTTTTCAGAATCAAAAATTGCATTGATGTTCATTTTTCAGGCAGTACCGCAATGTATATAGGATGTTATTCCTTTATTCTTGAAGTCAACATAAAAATGATTCATTCCTTTGAGAACTGCAAAGCTTTTTGCATGAAGAACAGTAATGTACCCTATATTGCATTGCATGTTAATATTTTTGTCTTGATATTTATTTGTTTCTTTTATTTAATACTTCTATGTATGAAATGAATCAATTAAAATAAGCAGATCTTATAAGTCATTTAGATCTGAATATTGACACTGTAAGGAAACTTATTATAACAATGTTGAATGGCAGTGTTAATCTAATATAAACTTTTCATTAATTAATATTCCAAGAAAATGTCTTTTATGTTGAATGCTTTATACATTATTCATGTGTTTATTTAAGCATACATTTCACATCAAACATCATTTGAGCCTCATTTATGTTCTCTCTATTAGATGATCAATAAAAACCTAGATAGGTTAGCGTAGAAAAATATTTCAATTAGGCAGTAATTGGTTAATTACTCTATGGAACAGAAAGGCAGAGAATGTTATTGTGTGGCACGAGCCAGCTATCCGGTTACGTCAAAACTTTGTGACTCAAGGTGTGCAAGCAGTCTAAACAACTTGAGAGATGGGTGTGGGGGAAAGTTTTTCTATTCACTCTATTCCAGTCAGTTTTCATTTTTCAATATTTCATTCTATTTTAGATGAATCATTTCGAATATTTAATATATAAGTAACAAATTTTGTTTTTTATTTAAAAAAAAATCAATTTACTCCTTATATAAATTGTATTAATTCACATTTGAAGTTAGGGCGACAGTGGATTATCAGCACTCTTTGATTGATCACAGTGCTAAGCTCACTCCTAATTCAATAGAAATCGACGGATCAGGTTATCTAACAGTTGAAATTTGCATATCTATGTGCATAGAGCTCAACAAAACTCTTGCCACAGTTGGAGTCAGTAACTTGAAATTTTTTCTCAAATTATAAGAAATAAATTGTCATGTATTTATTTCCTAAAATTAACATTCCCACTTGCTTGATGAAGATGCTTTAAAAAAGATTATGATTATAAATATATATAAATATTCATAAATACATAAATACATGCATATAAAAGTTTATCTTACAAAACTGATCACTTATTGTAACAAGTTTAATGTTGATTTTGTTTTGTAATGTTTGATTTTTTCAAATTCAAATTAACCAATTGAACAATTTAACTGCTAAGAGAACGAAATGTCATTGTGGATCAATTGAAGATCAGATAGATCTGACGTCTCCACTCTTGTTCAAAATTAAATGCCACGCCACGTGTCCAGGGGATACCAGTCAGATATGCGACTGCAATACTAAATATTCAAGCAAATATTCTTAATTTTTCTCTTTCTTTTTTCGTTTTTAAAAATTATTCTTTTAAATTCGTTGTTTGTTGCAATGGTTGAAATGCTCATTTAACAAAAATGGATCTTAAAAATTGAGTTTCTCCCTTAATGTTGAGTGCCGGTCGATGTCATTTTGTTCACTCGACAACATGATCATCTTACAACGGTCGAAATTAGCATTGGCAGTGTGTAACATGTTTTTAAGTGTTGAGATACTTTTCTGACACCCTTAGGCTATTAACTTAATCACATTTAAAGATATCAAATTTGTGTAAAATAAATGTTATTGCCGTAAAATCGCTCGAATGTTGAGGAGGCTACGTTCGTTTTTTATCAAACTTAAGTGGATTTTGTAATGACACAAAAATAATTTTTTGAAGCGTGTGTGTAGTTGCTGTAAATTAAATTTTCGTTGAAAGAGTATCATTACGTCATTGCGAGGCATGCGCATGCCTACTGAGTGCGCTGTTTATTGGTGACGGTGACGATGACGTCATCAAACAACGTGTGCAGCAGAGTTCCAGGTTGAAGTGCAGACGGGAAGCTCCTATATAAGCCACTGCTGGAATGGACCGGTACACAGACCCAGCGTTAGTTGTGCTGGTGGTTGTCAGCCTGGTTGGAAAGGATCATCATGTGATCTGAGAGGTGAGGAGAGGTTTTTGAAGATGTTGAGAATTTCTAATTGCATAGGAAATATAATCAATTGACGAAAAGTTGTCGCAGTGATTATATCACGCCATCATAAATATTGAAATTAATTATACTGTAAATCAGACTGTTCTCAAAACAATGGACAATGCGGCAGTCATCTCAAATGTGAGGTGGTGACGGTGAACGACAGGACGTATTCTGAATGCGTTTGCACCAGTGACAAGTACAGAACTAAACTGTGGACTTGTGACAGTAAGTGCACCTCAACTTTAACTATGATGGCCATCTGTTTCTATCTTCAAGCCATTCATACTCTTTTTAAAAATTATGCTTCGTGTATGTTGGAGTCTATTGGAGCATGTATTTTTTTATTTGAATGCATTTCACTTACTAGTTAGTTACTATCACAATTTAGTTTTATTTTACAAGAAACCAAAACTCCTTACCTGAAAATATTTTATTGACTTTTATATTAATTCATTATAACGTATTTTTGTATGTGAAAATGTTCATATTTCTTATGTAAAGAGAAATTTGTTAAAAATCTTATGTAGCATTAGCTGCCAAGAGGAATCTGGCTTTGAGAAAAGGTGTAACTTCTTCACGCGTTTTATCTCCAAAAGAGGGCAAAGGAAATTTTCGAAGAGAAGATATGGTAGATGGCCAAGTGCTCGGATCCAAGATGATACATCTGGATTCGAGAGGGGACAGCATTGAGTGGATTGCGGTCGATTTAGCTTTCGTGTACGAAATTGATTACGTTGTTGCTTTTAACAGACAGTGCGTGCCAACGATTGACGACTGCGGTAAGAGTTTGTTGATGATGTTGTTGTTGTTGTTGTTGTTGAATTTCTATTTCGTTAATTGTCGTCAATGATTAGCAACATCAGGCTTTTGAAATATGTTTAGCTTGTGTTATTCATGTGAAGTATTTATATATTTTTTTGAGTTTATCTATTACAGTTAGTTTTTTTGCCTATTTACTAAATGAAGAAAATTTACTAAAAAAACAGCAACAAGAATTGAAGGACTTAAAGTTGGCTTGAACGATACTCTGGAACTTGCCAACGAGAAGTTGTTGGGTAATTATTCATTGTGTGGCGTGCTTCCGCCAATGAAGAGATATTTGGCAGGGGTTCCTTTAAAAATTTCTTGCACGTCTCCTGTTTTTGGTCGTTTCGTCATCATCCAGCCGAGAGCTGGTGTGCGTGGTTTCACGCTGGTCGAACTCGAAGTTTACGAAAGTTTGACTATTTGTTTGATGTTCTCGTTTGTTTTTTATTCTAGTTTACGACATGAATGTGGTAGTGTTGATGGGAGTGGCATTTGGTTATACAAATGGTTTTTGCATGTGACATGTCGGTGAGGCCTCAAGTGTGGTTACAATTTCTTATTTATTGTTTACGCGACTAAATTGTTGTTTTTTGTTTATCTAGAATATTAAAAATATTTTTTTATTCAAATTTTAGAACTTTCAAACTATTCAGTAACAACATTGTTATCAAATGGCTAGATGTTCAATGTTGGCCAATACAAGCTAATTAGAATTTTTAAAACGGCTTTTAAAAATAAAAGAATTTAAATGTAGCCGACTGAGATTTTGTGTGCAGTAATCAGATTTGTTTCTTTGGAGAGTTCATTCAAGATGTTTGTTTGTTGAAATGATTTGAAAATTTGTACAGAAGCCAAGCGTCAACCCGTAGATAAGATTGGATGCTTCGAGGTCTTCGAATCAAGCTTGAACGTTTCAGTCTCCAGCGTTCAGTCCTGTCAGGATGAATGCGAGAATTACGGTCTCGATAATTTGATCTTCGCTATGAAGGTCTTGCTTTGTTTGCATCATGTTTAATTCATATCGTCGTTGTGTCTTGTAAAAATCAGTTTTTCCTTGAATACGTCCAACATATTCGCCACACGCGTTTGTATTAGCGTAGTTATTATTAGTAAGATGTGCGTGCGTGTATCGGTGTTATTTATTTATTTATATCGATGTTTAGGAGAGCTGTCTCATGACTTGTTTTCGCGGTGTATTTTTGTCACGGGTGATCATGTCTTCATTCACTGGCTCATTCGTCTCCTCATTCATTCATTCACCCATTCATTCATTGAAGCGTGGAATTTGCTACTGCGGGTCGAAGGCGGACATGATGATTGAAGTCGTGTCCATCGAATGCGACAAACATTTCGTCGTTTATTCCGGTCCTCTACCGTTTTTCATTTAAATTCATTTTTACGTTTAATTTGTTCAAATAAGATAGATGTAGGTTCGATTCATGATTTCAAATGCTACGTGTGAATAAACATGTGTAGGTAGGAAGGTTTTTGTGGAGGCGTTGATGGGTTGTTTCGTTAGTGGGATGTTGGACGACAAGACTCCAACCAAGATGATCCTCTCCAACGATTCAGCCTACACGTCCTGCTCTTTATTTTGCAAGAGATTAAACGCCGTTGAGTTCGCTATTTCGGTTTGTTGTTATTGACCGCTACAGTTATATATATACAATTATTTACAAAGATTTTTAAAATATAAATTTATAAATATATAATTTAAAAATAATTGTATTTATGATAGTCTAAACCCAATATATATATATATATATATATATATATATATATATATATGCGTCACATAGTAATATTTTAATTCAGCCATCGTCGTCATCGTAGTGCGATTAGCTGTTTTGTGTTAACATTCGCGCATTAGATAATGTTTTGCCTGTGTGGAGACCTCTACGACAAATATGCCATGGTCAGACCACAGGAATGCAACGTCAAGTGTTTGGACAGGAAAAAGAAATTGTGTGGTGCTGATAAGAGATATTCTTTATACAGAAGTTAGTTGGCTATAGTTCAATTCCTTGTTTTTGTTTTATGTGTGTTATTTAATTAACATACTAAAAAATCATAACTATATAAGATAGTTAGGTGGGGCGAGTCAATCCTAATCCTTGTTTTATTCCTCCAGTTTTCGACCGTTACGATTTTCTGGAAAGACCCCGGCACAATTTTTGCTTCAACTCTGATGTTTCACTGGGATCGAATTGTAGTACTGTGCCAGGTGCTTGCTTTCCAGGGTGGAAAGGAGTGCTCTGTGATATCAGAGGTATCATTCTGTGTTTTTGTCTGTCTCCGTCCGTCTGTCGTTTTCAGGTTTTTATTGTATCAAATTGAAATAGTTAGTAGTACGAAATAAAATTTGATACCTTCCAACAGATTGTAAGGTTGACAATGGCAAATGTGGAAACAACGCTTTCTGCTTGGAATCCTTTGTTGACGGTAAGAAAGAATCAAAATGTCACTATCCCGATGGCTTTAAACTGACGGCGTCCGGAAATTTATTAGGTATCTATCTAAATAAAGGTTAATGTATATGCTCTGTATTGGCATACAGGTTAATGAATGCACTTGTGTGTGAGTTCCATGTTGGTGTGAATTTTACATGTTTAATAACTATATCTAGTTAAAAGTTAATGAGCGTTAAAATTATAAGTGAATTTAATAAAGGAATCATTTAAAATTTGTCCTCAGGTTTTAGTTTAGTGATACTGCTATTTGATTAGTTATCTAAAACACTTTTGTTTGTTCTTTAGCTGAAAAGTTAGTTGGTTCAGGTGGAAGTATGTAATGTGGGATAATTGTAGTTGTGAGACTAATACAGGTATTAAAATGATATAGATTTTAAAAAATGTGTTGTAACTCCCGTGAATGTAAAAATTGTAAAGGCATGAAGGTAGTAATGTGCGGTTGCAGATAATAACGATGATAATGTTACAAGATATGAGGTGTGTATGTAGCTATTGTACACATTCATAACATGCGCACATTCGATATTTGAAGATGCATACATAGCAAATAAATCCTTCCTAAAGCGTCCGGTGTTATGTATCTCGGATGTTACTGGGCGGTCGTGGCGGAGAGGAGTACTGCAGTTGAGTCTTACGCTGACTGTAAAATATTCTGCAGTCAGACACCTCAGATCATCATGATCGGCTTGCACGTCGGTTTTTTATGATTAATTAAATGATTAAATTAATTAATTAAAAAAATTAAATGATTCGTTCGTTCATATGGTTTAATAATCAAAACAGGATGTCATTCATAATGATTCTTCAATCGTTTAGAGATAATTTCCATGTTCGGCTAGACTGTGCAGACCTACGTGCTTCAAATTGGATGATTTCTTATTGTCAAATGAATTATATATTTGGGCGTAATAATAACCAAACGAATAATGGATGAGATAAAAAAATAACGTTCACAGAGAGGTGAGGAGTGCCACTGCTTGAGTAGTGCACGCTATCCAGTCAGCTCGCTGCACTGCAATCTCAGATGTTCCGATGGCATTTCATCTTGCGGGGGTTCTCAATTTTTTTCCGTATTTCAGAGTTAGTTATTCATTTGTTTATTTTGTCATTCATCACTCATTTATACGTTCATTCAATTATTCAATCGTTCTCTCTCTCTTTCATTCATTCATTCATTCTATTGCTGGTTTATTTATGTTTATTGATTAATTTAATGATTGTTCCGTGTCGCCAGTTAAGCATCAGTTGGACTTCAGTAACTTGCTGTTGACGATATCGGCCTATGATCTGAGGAGTAGGTGCATCATACTGAAGCACAAGTCGATGACGTCAGATAAGTGTGTGAAAGTTTGTCTCGAACTTAAAAAAAGTATCGCCCTCTTGAAGGTTCCACATCTTTTATTAAACTATTTAAAGTAATTTTCTTATTTTGGCGAATTTGGACAGTGGTGATTAAGTGGTGCGTGTGGTGATGTCAGTTTGTAGTACATGAACCAACCAAGGCAGGGCGACCTGGATGTTTTCTAATCTTATTTTCATCTTTTGAGTCCGTCTGTTTGTTTGAATGAATGTCTGCGCTTGGAAGATATAAATATATAAAATGAAGATAAAACCTAGTTCACCGTTCTTTTTTTATGTAAACCCACTGACTGGCTGACTTGCTGGCTGGCTGATTGGCTGACTGACTGAATGTACAGGCCAGCAACCTGTGCGTGTGCACGACACCTCACCTGACAGACCCACTGAACTGCTTATCTGATGTTGATTTCGTCTCAAACTGTACGCACGCCTGCCCAGGGGATGAACACCAAAAATGTTGGAGTGAAAACTGCCAGATGAAATTGTCCAGTTAGTATCTTTTCTTTCTTTCTACAATTTTATTTGACAATTTTATATTTGAAAATCTTCTGGCTCGTTTTTTTTAAATATTTTGTTATCTATTTCCAGCACGCACCAATTTCGAAATGCAGACGTCATTTTCCGCTCTGATGCACTGCTCTGATGGGGTTAAGTTCTCTACAAGTGATTGTAAGAAGGGATGCAAACCAGGATGGAGAGGTGAACTATGCAACGAAAGAGGTTGTCTGTCTGTCTGTCTGTCTATCCATCTGTCTGACTGTCTTTTTATTCATTTACATTGAACGTTCTTTACAGTTAAATTATTATTTTTCATCACGATTAGATTGTTTAAAAAATTTTGGAGACTGTGGAGCTCTGATTTGTCAGATGACAAGAGCGGGGGGCAAGGAATATTCAGAGTGTGTTTGTAAGAAGTTTTATTACAGGACCAAGAATTTCGTTTGTAAACGTTAGTGAAGTTTTTAGCATGGATATTGTAATTAGGTGCTTAAATAAGTTTCAAAGTTTCGGTTTCTTACTAAAAATGATTACAATTATTTGATCGTAACTTATTTCTAGTTGAAAATGTTTTTAAATGGTTGTTTGGTAACTAAGAGTGTATAGTTAGTTGTATACGATAAAAAGATTTCATGCTTTATTTAATTGTGGGCGTTGATTTGATTTCAGCTCTGCCAAAAACGTATAACCTGGCGCTAAGAAGAAAGGTCACCATGAGTTCCTTTGGCCTCCTCAACTCTGAAAATTCATCGCTTATCAAATCAGAATTTCAAGCAACTCAGCATTGGAAGTATGCTGTGGATGGCAGTTTGGTCGAGTTGGAAGTTGTGCGTCTCTTCTCCCTGAACAGTTCCCACGCTGGCTGGCTGGCTGTCGATCTGCTGGAGGAATATGCGATCGCACGTGTTGTTGTCTACCCGAGGAAGTGCGACCATCGATGCAAAAGTAGTTTACCACAGCTGCTGCTGCTGCGTTTTAGCGTTCAAAAAATTTTCTCGTTGTTTTTGAAAAATGAAATGAATATACGTATCATCTTACTCATACGATTGATAGATAATTTAGATCTAGAGCTCGACCATCATTTGTTGATCACGCCAGGCTCATTCGTTGTCGTTTTGAACTCGCGCTTGGATGATTCGGTACGTTCTCCGAGATCGAACTCCGTTTTGTGCGGGGAGCATTCAGCTGATTCGAAAGGAGTGTGTCAACCACTCGAACCCATCACCATCGTCTGCAATGACGCTTCCTACACCGCCAGGTTTGTTATCATTGAAAAGATCGCTAACGTTGCAGCCGCTGCAAAGGGGGAGGACGTCCTCGCCGTCACTGAGGTTGAAGTTCACGGAGCTGGTCGGTTCATCTTTACGATACTTTATTCCTTCCTATACTTAGCTTCGTTACTGATTATTTTAAATCATTTATTGCTCTACTGTGTCATTATTTTACATCGTTTATTCGTACATTTATTGGTGTTGGTTTCGTTTGGTCATGCCTGGTTGTGATTCCAATTTGTTGTTAATTCTTTGAATATTTTCAGTCCAGAAGCCCAACCATCCGGTCTACATCGGCTGTTTTGAGAAGTTCACATCATTCAACGTCAGTGAAGCCAGCCGCACAGAAGACTGTCATAAATTTTGCAAGAGCTTGGATAGGGAGAACACGATATTTGCTATTAAAGTTAGACGGCAAACTTTGTTCATTCAAATAACATCTACAGATATCAATACGTATTGATAATTTGTTAAGTTAATTTATCACAAGGAGGCGTTTTTATCAGGTGAATATCAGAGATATGTAAAATGGCATCATCATTTTTAAGCTTTTTTCGTCACGAGTAACTCGTTATGATAGTTTCCGTGATTGGTCGTTATTGATTTAGCTCCGATTTCTATTGATAAAAGTCTCGAGTTCATTTTATTTGCATCGATCTCAAAATTGAATTAAAGTAAACTTCTGATAAGTCGGCACGTTTATTTCAAGTTAATGTTCTCTCACAATTCAACATTCACGAGTTAACTAAAAGTCGAGTGCCAGCACCGCATCACATGTTTGTGGATGCGTCGTGAGCCGATACAAAGGTACATGTATGTATATAAATAAGAATGAAATTTCGTTGTTGCTTCGGAAAGAAAGGGACGACATGTCACTGCGGTACGGATGCCGACGTGAAGGTCGATTTGATGCACTGCGATGAACACTTCCAGACGTTTTCAAGTTAGTCACCTTCGTCAGGTCTCATTCATCTCACTCTAAAACTAACTTACTATCGAGTTCAATCATTTTTTATTAAAAATTTTGTGTTAAACTTTGTTTTTTTTTAAATTTGCCATTGGATTGTTACAATTGTTCGGTCTGTGAATACGAGAACTAACTGGATAGACTGATAGAGATATTTTGAAATTGCAGCCTATCTGAACAAAGCGAGTTTCTTGGGTTGTTTCCATGGTCACCAGCTGGAGGCGCTTGGAACGTTGATGTACGAGGGGGACGTCAAATCGCCGTTCAAATCTTGCCAGTTTTATTGTCGGTCTTATCATTTCAAAGAGTTTGCATTGAAAGTAATTGAGAAAATTTTGATTCCGCATATAATGGCCGAGTAACGTTCAACTTCGTTTATTCGATTTTTGTTACTTTCTTAATTTTTAAAGAATTAAAAAACTTTGTTTCAGAGGTCCGTATGTTTGTGTGGTGATAGGATGTTTGATGCCAGCAAGCAGATCCCTACAAGTTCGTGTGCTATCATGTGTAAAGATGATTCTTCGAAAACTTGTGGCTCTTCCACAACTTTCTCCCTGTACAAAAGTAATTTGCACTTGTTTCAGTTGTTGGCTTGTACTTTCGGTATCTTATTGGTTTTTGTTGAGTACTGAATTGAAATTTAGGAGCAGTTATCTTAGGACGATCTTGTGATGTTACGTTAATCACTTATTAACGCTTAATAAATTACTCTTGCTTGTTAATTATTAATCAGTCCTTAGTGATCTGATGCTTTTTCAATTAACACTATTGAAGGTAGGAGTCGGTTTAGCCACCGAACGGACCCAACACACCATCACTTCTGCATGAATGAGGGTGACCTTTCGAAGGATTGCCAGCCTGGCAACTGCACAGCTGGTTGGACTGGAGAGCTCTGTGACGTCAGAGGTCTAACCTTTTTAGTCCATCCATATTTGTGATTGCATTAAATTATTTGTCGTGTTATGTTGCAGATTGTTCAGTGAAGAACGGCGACTGTGTGGAGAACTCGTCGTGTGTGGTGAACACGAGGGCGGGCAGGGAGATCTCAGAGTGTAGGTATCCAGTCAGACATGGTCTCAACAAATTGGGAAAAATACAAAGTAATTACAGCTTAACATGGCTGCATAGTTGTAGTGGCCTTCTTTTTTTTGATTCTTATAACGATGGAGTTTCTGTAGAACAAATTATTAAAACAAACAAGTGGTACTTTAATTAACTGGTTAGCTATCAAATTGTAGTAAGCAAAAATTAGAATAGGGTTGGGTCGTTCGTCACCGCTAGAACACCGTTAAATAAATGATGATCATAGAAATTAATGCACAACTAGTACGTATATAATATATAGATTATACAGTATTGTATGAATTCTACCGAAATGTTGGCATTAATCAGTTTGAAGTTTGTCTTTTCAATTTTTCTTACTAGAATTTTCTGGAAATAGTTCAATTTGTTAAAAATTAGATTAATAAATATTATATGTAATGTAGAAATGAGAGAGAACATGTGGTACACGTATAATGTGCGGATTAATGAATGATATAGAAATGGAGGAGAGTGCCGGTAATGCGTCCAAGTACATTGGCTGCTACGCCTCCGTTGTTCACTCATCTGTAACCGCTGTTTACAGAATCGAAGGTTGTAGAATATTTTGCGAGGACGATGATGATTCATACCTCATCGGGCTTAACGTTGGTTATCCTGTTATAACCTCTATTTTCGTGTTTTTGTATTAGTTCGATTCAAAAAGAATCAAATGCTGAAGGTTTGCAAGAGATGAATGATGCTGGTTAATTGTTTGTACCTGAACAGAATGGTAGGATGTGTTTTTGTGTGGAGAGGGCCGCCTATGCGGTGTCGAGTAAACTCTGTGACATGCCGTGTGGCCAGAAGGATGAGATTTGTGGTGCTGCCAAATATTACTCCATCTACCAGAGTTCGTTTTATGTATATACAGTTTTGTTGTACCACCTTTGTTTGGATTCGTCGTACATTTTTTTTAAATTTTTGTAGAAGTATTGCAAGCCATGAAGAAGTGCAGCATCGTCAACTGGCCGCAGACTTTTATTCACTTTAATAAACATTTTGCAGTTAAACCGGCAGAGGTGACAACGTTCGCGCTTCTTGACGCCGGCTCTCTCGTTCCTGAAAGTGCGAAAGTTTTCCAACAACTGCATTCGCTGACTATTGAAATGTGCATGGCCATCTGTGCTGAAAATAATTTCCCCTTAGCTTACCTCACCGTTACTTATTTCTTATTTTTAAATCTTTTTTCATGAATTTTAATGAGATTATTATGTTTTATTTTTATCAGTGCTCAGTGAAATTCTCTTTAAATTTTTATAAATGTTTATCTGCGCCGACTGCCTGGCACTAGGCAGGTGACGAGTGCAGATGTGCAACGAGGGATGCCGAGAAGTGCGGCCATCCGAAAAGTTATCAACAGAGCTGTAATTCTCCATGCAGAGGGAACGCCGATCAGAAATGTGGAGGAGAGAACTGTGCCGCAAAGTTCTTAGGTTTCCATTTTTTTTTATTTCATTCTTTTATCAATAACTTCCAGTCAAACAAACGCCAAACATCCATCAGTCTGCTAAACACTAGCATCGTAATTTTTCAGTCGGTTCATATCTTGAAGTTCCAACTGGTCGGTCGGTGTTGAGCCATTGTGCTGATAAGCAGGGGGTGGGCGAGTTCGCAAAATGTGAGGGAGTCTGTGCGGAAGGCTGGACTGGCGAGTTTTGCAATATAAGATGTAATTTATTTTCATTATTTCTCATCAAATTTGAAATAATAAAAAATTGAAACTCTCAATTTGTTGTTGTAAATTTAATCGCGTAAGCGTGTCAAGTACAGAATGGAGGTTGTGGTGGCCGTCTGACGTGCAACGTCGCCACAATTAAAGGAGATGAATATTCCGAATGTGTCTGTCCGGATGGCCAGTACAGGACTGCTACGTGGGATTGCCAAAGTAACGCATGCTGTTGGCAACTATCAGTTATTTGACAGTTTTGGTTGGGTTTCGAGTTGGGTGCACACAATTTTTTTATTATCGTCGATACTTTAAAAAATATAATTTTTTTAAAGATTTACCGCCTAAGAATTTAGCATTCAGGAAGAGGATCCACTCCAGTCCCGAATTTGAAGTCGGCCAGTCAATGTATCTGGTTGATGGGCACATCATAAAGAATTCCCTGTTTCCGGATCTCCAATCGCTGGAGGAGATAATAATTACTTTGTACCTTGAAAGTTCATACCCGATAAGATATGTGGTGGTGTACCACAGGCCCAACTATGACGATTTGAGTAATGACGTTCGTTTAATGAGTCAAAACTGAAATAAAAATTTATCTATAAATGAATTGGATAGATGTAAGTAGCACAAGCTACAAAGTCGACCTGGACAATGTTCTGGATAGTTCCTCTCCTGGGATGCTCTGTAACACTTACAGTTTGAAAGCAACCACATGCGCCGGCTCAGCGATTCGAGTTAACTGCTTGCACCCCGAACTGCGAGCGAAATATATTTTCATCCGTCCAACTGGTGAATCGAAGCATTACGTGGCCATTGATGAGATCGAGGCCTACGGTGGTCGGTTGATTGACTAACTTCATAAATTTCGTGTTTCCCTGCATTACGCGCCATGCAATAATTGCTCTTATAACTAATTTTTGAGGGATAAAGTTATAAGTGATAATTGATTTTCGATATGACGTTCGGATTATATCTCAAACAGGGGACGAGGTTAGGCCGTTTCATTACGTCGGTTGTTTTGGCTCTTTTAAAATCGCTGAGACGTTAGACTCACGCCTTCTCTCGTTCAACAAGTGCCACAGATTTTGCGAGCACTTCCAGAGGCCACTGCTGATGATGGCGCTGAAGGTCGGTCGGTCGCTGTTGTTGGACGCTCACGGAGTGTTCGTTTTATAAAAACACAGTTTTATAAAAACAACCTGCTGCATGCCATTTTGTCTTTATATTTCATTGTGTGTTGGCTCTTGAGTTTCTTTTTAATTTTATTTGTGAACAATTAATTATTTTATTAGCATTAAATATTTATTTTAAGAATGGAGAGAAGTGCCATTGCGGAACCTCACCTGACGACCAAGCAGAATCAAGTTATTGCGCTGTAAAGTGTCCAGGTGATGAGCACGTTTGTGGTGGTCGCCTGCATTTCGCTGTCTTTTCGCGTAAGTAATCTCATTATTTTTTTTTAATTTATTTAATCTCATTTATTTTCAACTTTTTAGTAGTTTCTGCTAAAGATTGTTACGCGTTTTAAATGAAAATTGCAATTTTATTGTGACGTTCTAATGTTCAGCTGAGCTGCCCGAGGAAAGTTTCGTTGGTTGTTACAAGGAGACGATAAGGACGGCTGAGTTGCAGACAGTTTTCGTGGTCCAGGAGTTTGCTTTCGCATCATGTTCAGTGCACTGTAGGACGCAAAACTCCATTGAATTCGCTATTATGGTCAGTCACACACAGTTTTTGATTAAATTTTGCAGCTCAACTTATTTAGTAAAATTTTAATATCTAGAAATCCACGCAATGCCTGTGTGGTGATTTGATGAATGCCACTGAACAAGTTCCTACTGCTGAATGTAACGAAAATTGCGTCGATGATGCGACTTCGTCCTGTGGAGGCAGCCAACGGTTTGCTCTGTACAAAAGTAAATGAGCCGTGCCATGTGTTCTCTTGTCAAATAAATTTATGTGACGAGTTTTTTTTTATCATTTTTGATTTTTCAATTAAGCTATGAATTGTAACATCAACGCATCGCAACTTAAAAACTAGCAACAACATTACTAAAAATAAAAATAGAATTAGCCAATTGGAACGGATGAAATTCCACAACGTTCCAATTGGATTGAAATATTAAAACTGAATCTAACCGAGTTGAAATGTGAGATGATTTTTATTTGAGTTAAACGTAAAAATGAAGTAGAAGCACCGAATTAACTTGAGAGAAATGAAATCAAACGATCGAACCAGCCTTCTCAAGGTACGAAGCAAAAAGAGAGCGTAACTTCTGCCTGGACAGAGTAGCGAAACGACCCGAATGCGGGGGAGGAATGTGTGTGCCCGGATGGAGTGGGCCGCTTTGCAACGTCAGAGGTTTTACAGCGTTACTATTGGGAATCTTCTCTTCATCCATTTGCTTTATCAATGCGCCTACTTGTGTTGATGATTTTGCTGTTAAATAGATAAATAACGTTCACTGATTTCTGAAACTTTTCAGATTGTTCGGTGAAGAATGGCGCCTGTGAAGGAAATAGTTCTTGCGTGGAAGTAATCGTAGGAGCTGAAGTGGTAACTGAATGTCAGAGGTCTGCTGGGTCCGACTTGTCGACCACCAACAGCAGCGTTTATAGCAACGAAACAAGTGAGTTCGGTTAAGTGATTTCCTGGCATTTTTTTTCCTTGAAACCAGCAAAATTTGTCAAACGAGAGAAAGCGGCTGTCTCGGCTAGCAGACACGGTCAGTTTCCATTGCCGATTTCACTGCTCGTGGGGTTGGGTTTCTTCGTCCTTTCCTTGACGATCGTGCTTGCTCTCCTCTACTTCAAAAAGTTTCCTCTACGTGTCGACCTCGATGAGACACAAGCAGGTAAATCGGAGTTCACGACATTATAGGATGGATGCCTGTTTTTTATTGTTCATTATAGCCGCACAATGTTACGATTGAAGTTATGTTTTGGAAATTAGAAATTTCCAAATTTGGAATTTGGATTTTTTGGAAAATTTGGAAATTTTTTTTCTTTTATTCTTTTCGTAACGGAGCTGCTATTTTATCTTTGATTTTTAAACATTTACTAATAATTTTCATTCGTGTTATTCAGCGGGAGAAGCTGGCGGTAGGTCGCCGGAGGAGGAGGGTGAAAAAATATAAAAAGGATTCATCGGGGGCATATGAGAAAACTAAAAAGAAATCTGATAAAGACAAAAAAGTTGATGGATATAAAGAAACTAAATCAAATGAATTGGCTAAAGATAAAAAAACTGATACTAGTCCATCCACCTAAGACCCGAGAACATCTGCCAATTTTTTATGTCCAATAATTAAAGGAACGAATGATATTGAGTTGTTCTTTTTACATTTCAAAATATGATGAACTTAACTTTTGAAACTTGTTTTGAAAAAAAAATATAAAAGACTTTCATAGTTTCTTTCAAAACGTAAATCAAATTGAAATGAAAACTTAATTATTCACATCAATATTACATAATATTATATTTGAGAAGGGAAATCAAATATTGTTGTTGACAACTTTAGTTATATAGTTGTATTGGGTAATATAGAGTTATATGGGGTTACATAGAGTTATATAGGATTGCATAGGGTTATATAGTTACATAGAGTTGTATAGTTATAAAGGTTTATATAGATTTATATAGAATTATAAACAGTTATACAGGGTTATATTAATTTGTATAGAGTTATATATCAATCAATTAGTTTATAAAGTGCTTTCTCCGCAATGTTCAACAGCGCTTCTCAATGAATTTTGCCAACAGATGCGTCCTGCGTTAAACTAGGGTGAATATTTACAACTGATAACAATCATGGAAGGAGGCAGTTTTCTTCCTGTCGAACTCGTTGATGTCTGCTGCCTGGTTCACTCATTATTTTGCTCATTTTCGAAGAGTATTTCTGGTAAACGTGATGAAAGTGTGAACGATGATGATGATGAAATTGATGATGGTGATGAGATTGATGATTGTCAGTGATGAAAGTCGTAATAGTGCGGATTATTATAGGCCAGATGGTTGAAGGTTTGCATAAATTTGTCCATATCATCTGCATCACATCATTCAAGTTTGTTTCATCTTAATCATCATTTTCAGAATCATCACTAATATTGTGTTTTTTTTCTCTTACTTGTAAGAACCTTCCGTAATAGCAAAACGCGTCTAGAGGCGAGAGATTTCTGAGGAGAAAATTTTTTTCATCTCTATGGTGATAATTATTAGTGTCATTATTACTATTGTTATTATTAATTGGGTGGGTGTTGCCGTCATCAGTTCTTTCTCTTTTGTGATCGTCAACAATCCCAGATTCCTGCATGTTTGCATGCCAACGCGGTGTTAATGGAAGGTCTGGACTGTGTTGGTTGGTCGTTCATTCACTTACTCATTTATTTATTCATTCATATTTGTTAATTTAACCATACTTTTATTCATCCATTCGGTTATATATTCATTCGTTCGATCATTTTTTCACTCGTTTGCGCGTTGCGACATCATTCATCAAGTTCATTCAAATCCTTTCTTTTATTTTCTACTCGTCCGTTCAGTCGTTCGCTTAGTTATTCCTCTTTTTTTTTTTTTTTACAAAACTTTGTGTAATCCTACTCACCCATCCATGTCCCGAATGTGATGTAGCATGATCAGGTAATGTGGCAGAACAATATCCTTTGTAAATTCGGAGTACTCGAAGGAAATTAGTGGAATGTTAGGTAGTCGAGATGAGATTCTCGGCCACCCGAGAACGTTCACCAACAGTTCCATGCTAGGTATGAGGACCTGAAGAAGAGGAGGAAGATTAATTATAAATGTAGTGACGATGATAATTTGATCATGATGACAACCTTTCTAGAAATAGATAAGAGAACTTCATCAAATAGTTCTGTAAGTTTCTCTGTACGGATGTTAAACAATTTGTACACCTAGAAATGAAGATGAGGGTTGTAACGACTATTCAACAGAAAAAATTTATTGATCAAAAATCTTCAAAGATTTTCAAACTGAGCATTGGTCCTGCACTCACCATGTTATCTTTAATAATATAATGTACCAAAAAATCTTCTGGTTTGATGAAATGTGCATACATCATACCCACAAATTTTGAAATGTTCATGTTTCCATCAAATTTGTTGAGAGTTTCATTTAAGTCACGGTAATGATGGGGACAATTTAATGTTTCAAGCCATTCACTGATCATCGATTTATTTGGCATCTGACAGTCTTCACTGAAAATAGGTCCTGTTTGCGAAGTGTTGTGCAGTTGTAACAAATATTTTGTTGTACAATATTTGTAAACGTATTCAGGTACTATACCTTTTAAGACGTATGGCGATCGGCAGACATGCTGGCCATCAAACAACAAACTCATCACTAACTCTTTGTATGATTTCAATAATCGAAATTTTACCAAGTAGACTCCTACAGTTGATTTGTTAAAAATTTGCTAAATTTATTTGAAACATAGGTTTGAAATTTAGTTAATTAAGTAGACTAAAAACAAATTGAAATTAGTTTTACAAGTTGTAGCAGCCCAACCTTTGTTTAAATATATAACTTCAAATAATACATCCACTTTAAATTTCCCATCCGCAAACATGTAGACCTGAAGTTCGTGCTCAGTAGAGAGAAAGTCTGTAACACTTTGGAAAAAATTAATGAATAAAAATAAAAGAACAAAATAATTGAGGAGTTGGCTTGAAGACACTTACTTGTTTCCTTGATCATCGACAATTTGTACGTAGATATAACGAACGGGAAGATGCATTGCAATGTTAAGACCAGGACCCCATACTAAAAAATTTTCTGCGGTTATTTTTCTGTTTTGGTCAGTACATTTTGAAATCGTAAAATAGTGCATCAGAAAAAGTAGAATTGCTATAAATAGTAATAGCATTTTTCAACTGTCAAATTCTTTTAAACTTTCACACTTTATTGTTATTTGAATGGTCACAAACAACAAAATAAACGGTGTTTTTACAGCGTCACATTTTGAAACCCATTGAAACACGTCATTCAAAAATTTTTATTAATTATCAACTTAATAAAACTTCATAATTTTTAAATGAATAATGATTTTTTGTTAAAATTCAATAAAAAAGATTGTGTAAATATTATTAGCTTTCCATCACTTATCGATTTTACAACATGAATCAGTTTCAGTTTTTGAAATGGCTGCGGCGAGATATCGCAAGTTTTTGAAGCTGTGCGAAATTTGGCCGATCGATGCGACAAAAGTAGGACGAGGCAGAGATCTGGGTACGCACATCCGAGAACTAATCTCAAAAAGTTTCAGTAAAGGTGAAATGACACGCATCGTTGATGAACCTTCATGTGACGAAACTTATGAATCCCTTCACAAAATTGCAACGAATCACTACAAGAGTAAGTACCCGAGAAGTAGGAACTGCTCGGCCACAAATTGCACTTTGGAAGAACTAAAAATGGTGACATCTTCGGACGGACTTGAAAAAGCACAAGATGATCCTCCATTGTCTCAACGTTTTTCAAGAGTGTTTGGCAGGAGGACTTGATTGATTGATACTCACAACTACAACTCACTGCACTACTAGTTCTGTTACTCAACTCAGTAACAACTTCTCCATACAAAATAATTTTTTATCAATTTTTAAATTAACCATGCATTTTTTTGTACAATTGAATTGAAGACAATTTGCAATTATTTTAAATTTGAATAATGCATAAATAAAAAAAAATAATATTTTCTGTGATCAACTAAAATAAAGTATTAAAAGTCAAAAATTTGGCTTGTATTTCTTGACTTCGACCATGACATTGTGAATGTTAATGAGCTCTCCTCTCACTGGATATGATGCAAAAGGTCTCTGTGACAGAACTTTATGAAACAAGTGGTAGTACTGGATCAGTTGAGTTAGTGTTGCCTGTATAGAAATTATAAAAATTGTTTGACAATCACGTAACTGAATGACGAAGATTTAAAATATATGCAGTAGTTGCAGTGAATGCAAATTATCCAAAATAGTTTGAAGTTTCAATTGGATTTCAAATTCTCAAAAATGACATTAGAACTATATTATTATTATTTAACTTTGCTGAAATATAGAAAATTGATATTGCACATGTTTTTGTCGGTCTATCAATTAGATATTTAATGCTAAAATAAAGAGTATTTATAAGCTGAAATCTGGAATGAGGTATACAAAGAGAAACAAAACAGGTGTAAAATTAAATTTAACTGTAGTAGTAGTAGTTATAACAAATTAACTTTATATGGAACATAGGAGTTGCGATGATTTAGCAACATACTTTGGGAAAATGTGAGGATGAAGATAAATTTGAATCAAAGACAAAAACTCAAGTGATGGACAGGAAAAAAACACAAATTTTAAAAAAGCTTTGAGAATTGAAAATTAGTGAAACATGGTGAAAGATTTGATCAATTTATGAGCTAATTTAAACATTGAATGTCGAAAATGTGACGTCATTTAACATTTAAAGTTAGTAATATTTAGCAGTGAGAAGTAATGCAACAAGTGCATAACGTATAGGAGTAATATGCAAATAAGTGCCTGCAGTATCTGAGTTCCATTCTTAAAATTTGAGAAGGTCCTCATGATCTCCTGGTTGATTGAATCAATTGACTTCTTCCATTCGCTGTTGAACCCGCGAACCAGCTGAACCACGCGTTCTGTAAATGGCAAATGTTTAATCTGTTTAAATGTTTCAATTTATGTAAAATTTTGCTGTAGAAAGATTATTTGACAGAGAACTCATCAATGCTATACTTTAATGGTTTTGGGATTAGTCTAAAGATGTTGATACATTAGTTGTAAATTGTGAAATCGTCTCAACAGTTTTCATTTAAAACAGTATCAACACATAAATTTGTTACTTTACTTTAATCAAATTTTCATTTAATTTATACGTTAAAATATCATGAAACTTTTCAACAGCTGACTTTCATCAGCAGCTGAACAATCGAGGACACCGTCTTTGAGTTCGAAATCTTTAACAAAAGTGATGATGCCGCGGAAATAAGTTAGGAGAACTTCTTCGACATATTCTTGAGTCTTTCTTAGGATATGATCTTTGAAGTGGTGGCACTCTTTGCTGTTTGGGTCTGTCGTTCGCTCCTGGCGAAGAAAATTTTTAAAGAGAGGTTCATCATAATTTATTGTGACTGACAATGACAACTGATCACTAAATTAAAAGTTAGTGAGAGTTAGTTAGGAATTAAAAGTAATGTCGAGTGAGACATATAACTTGCGATCGACAACGAAAAAATATCCCAACAAACCGCAACAACGCTGATGATGATGTCATAATTGTTGATGAGGAAGACGAGTTGTTGTTTGTTGTTGCTGAAGTTCGTCGCCATCTTCAATAATAAGTTGTCAATCTCACTTTGCAGTTGCATCAGCAGCATTTGAGTCTGAAGATGCAATGAATTTGTTGAAGATAGATTTCATTCAATGAAGTGTGGATTGAATTTTGAGTATTGTTCATTTTGCACCACCTATCGAAAACTATCAGCCAATCAACAATCATTAAAATATTAACCCTTTCATTCATTGGTGCCTCACTGAAGCCAACCACGGCTGATGTAAATTCAGCGAATCGTCGCGTTATCTGTAAAAGGTGTAGGATACTTTTTTTTATACTGTGACCTACTTACATTAATTATGATGATTATAACGGCACACTTACATAATGAGGTCTGACGTCGATGTGACCCATCTTATGTGGATCACATTCCTTGACTGATTGAATATTCATGAGCAGGAGCTGTTCAAATCTAGGCTCCATAATTTTATGCAGAGTTGTATAATACCTGTTGCATTAAGACATAAGATGCAGACGAGTTAGGTTAAATCAACTGATAAACTAAACGGTTTCGACAATTTGATAGTTTGTGACGTTTTTGATTAATCAGAATCTTGAAAAATTCTGATGGGATTAAGTGAGGAGCTAACTTGTCGAGCACCGGTGCTCCCCTCATCTGCATAATGGCCTTGAACTTGTGAACGATTTGCATGCATAAGAAGATGGCTATGGAGTCGTGGCAATCGCCGACGTACGATTCAGTTTGCTTCTGGAGGACGTTTTGAATCGTTAGTTAATATTATTAATTAATTTCTGGATTAATTAATTAATCCTACAAGCAATTTTCAGTAAGACAAGCAGAAAACAAACAACTAACAACAAAGAACGACAGTGTCTTAGCGAAGATGAGATTAAACAGCTCCAGTGACGACGACGATGACGACGATGACGACATCACGAAGAAATCGCTGATGAAGAAAAATTCGCGGCAACAATTGTCCAACAGTGCGTACTGGTGACTGCGGAACAAACTTTCGTAAGGATACTGTGGGAGAGAGAGATGGTGAGGAGGACGGTGAGTGAAAGAAGAGATGGTGAGAAGGATGATGAGTGAAAGAAGAGATGGTGAGAAGGATGATGAAAAGGTATGAATTGAGAAGTAACCCTTACTATCACCCTCACCATCATCATTATCATAATCATTATCATCACCTTGTTAGTGGAGTGGGCTACGATGACGGGTCCTTCAAGTTCGGCACTGTTCAAGATGTTTCCTCGATTTCCAATGCTGAAGATGGTCGAACGATTTTTTAACGAAGGCTTGTTCGAGAAGAATCGTGTGATGATGATGGTGGTGGTTGTTGTGAGAAGGAAGACGACGACGATGATGATGGTGACGACGACGACGATGATGTTTCAAGTTAAGGAATAATTTCTAACGTAATTTTTCAAAAAATTAAATCATTATCGATTCTGAAAACCGAAATTAAAACACGAATGATGGATGGATGAGTGAACGAGTGAACGTGCGAGAAAGTGGAAGAATAAATCGAAAACGGAGCAGAAAATGAATGAATGGAAAAAAGAATAAAGGAATGAAAAATAGAAAGAATGAGTGAATGAGAGAGATGAAAATTTGAATAGGAGGATATCTTTCTTCGCGACATCTTCGGCGGCCATCATGTCATCCTTGTCGGCGACTTCTTCGAACTGACGAGTGTTTGAAATAATAATCACAATAATTGAAATAAAACTTTATAACACAATAAAGAGCCCACCTGCAGTTTCATGACCCTGGTGGCGTATCCCTTGAAGTAGGACCAGTAGACCTTACTCATTGTGTCCAGGTACTCATCGCGTATTTCTTTCGATACGTTACGTTCGTGAGACATTAGGAATTCGTTGAAGAATCTGTACGTGTATATATATATATATATATATATATATATATATATATATATATATATATATGTATGTATATATGTGTGTGTGTTGGTAATAGACCATAATTTTTACAATATTCTATAAATTCTATCAAATGTTTGGCGTTAATATGTTTGTAGTTCGTTTAACCAAAAGACTTTAGTGAGAAAAATCGAAAAAACGAACTACAAACATATTAACGTCAAACATTCGGTAGAATTTATAAAATATTGTATATATATATATATATATATATATATATATATATATATATATATATATATATATATCTACATCTACGTATGTATGTACATGAATGTTTGTATGTGTGTGCGTGCGTAAATTTGTGTGCGTGCGTGTGTTAGAGACATCAAAATAAGAGAAAGCAGTTGCGTTTTTTTATTTTATTGACTAAAAACTTCTTCGCTCAACAGACAGACACATATGAAACGATGCAGATGTGGTGGCAGACATTCAAGAAAGTAGCGACCAGCGAGGCCTCTTAAGATTACAGCAAATATGGTTGGGACCTAAATTTGAGGAGGGCATTCTGGGGCACATGGTAGTTGGTCATCGGTTTTCGGAACTGGTTGATTTTCTGGAGAAAGAACTCTCTTATCTTCTCTAATGCCTGATTATGATGATGACGATGATGTTGATAATGATGATCAAAACGACGACGACGATGATGAAAACAATCAGAAATATGCAATGATCAATGTTGGCGGTGAGTATTCATAAAATGAATTCAAGTAGGAGCATGCTGGCACTGAGGTCTTGCTTAAAAAAAGTACTTTTATTTTAAATTTTTTACTTTATCAAATAATAATATTGTCAGCAGTGGAGTCAACGAAGCCACACTCCTTGAAAGTCTAAGAACACGCCATCACCGACGTGTTAATAACATTAAGTATTTTTGATAAAAATATAACGGCTGACGGAGATGATGACGAGGAAGATGACCACACACGACCTTGAACTTGAGTTTTTCGAGAATGTCAATGACGTCAGAGCAGGATTTTGCGCTGTTTGTCGATTGCTGCTTCACGAATTTCAATTTGTGGTTCAACTCGTGCAACTGTTCAAGGAATGATCGATCAGTCACCTGACTGTCCATGATGATTCTGATTGGTTGGAAGAGGAGTGTGATATGATTTGATTGGTTGGGAGAGAAATGTGATGTGATGTGGTTGGTTGGTTTATCAAATATGAGTAGTATAATTCGATAATTGATAGCTTGACATCCAGCTTGTGTGAACAAAGAAACTGCAACAGTGATAGCAACAGATCCAAAAAAATCAACAAAACCGTCTATAACAACTAAGTCCAAAACAGCACAAACAACATCATCACCGACAACAACACCACCACCAACAACAACCTAATCATATTTTCATTGACAACCATCTCATCGACAAACTGACTCAACTCCCCCTTCACTGCCTGCTGGTTTTTTAATTTAATATTCATCTGCACGGATTGGTCTTGCAGTGCTTTAATCTCGTGACTGATGCTGCTCAAATCTGATTGGAAGCCCGTCAACATTTGCTCCATGACCTGAAATGTCATTGGTCAGATGTTTATTTATATGGACCGTGATCGGTCAACCATTTATTGAAACAAGATGTGATTAGGTGATTGATTGTCTAGTGGGATGGCTTATGATTGATCCACTGTTTGGTGGGATGAACTGTGATTGGCTGCTAAGTTAAAATGCATTAAAAATTTCAAACTCAATAATCAACAAATGAGTGAAAAATATAATGATAATAAATAAATAGGAGGACTAATTACTCGAAGGATGTCGTCACAAGCTGATATTTGTTTGTGCAGATTGGCAATGTTCTGGCTCTCTCTTATGTCTACAGAATAATTATTCATTCATTCATTCAATCGTTTGTTTGTCATTCCCCACATCACACTTATTCATTCACTAATATCTCCATCAATCCATCCACTAACAGTCCTCAACAGAAGCACTTTCAACTTTCATCAATTCTGATTCAATCTGCTTCGAATAGTGCCTCAAATCTATACCCTATACATTATTTATATTATAATTGTTGTTATTATATAATCATTATTATTATAATTATTATTAAATAATTATAACTTTTCGTTGTAATTTATATTAATCCTACATTGGCTAACCTTCTCTAAGGCTTCCTTCACTATTTCATCTTCCAAATTTGCCTGGATGTAAACTTTAAATGACAAAATATTATTATCATATATTATAATAATGCTATTTAAATTTTATTATTTATAGCTAAATTCATAATTAAAAAAGTAGATTTTCTTTCTTAAATAAAAATTTAAACCCCTTCACAACTTTGAAATATAACTAAAAACACTTAAAACAGAATTAATCATTAATCTCTAACTAATGATTACATAACAAATAAAACAAACCATTCTGGCTAGCTAAACTATTATTTAGAGACCACATTTTTACTAATATTAACCAATTATTCAACTATTAATTTTTTTTTAATATTTGTAATAAAATAAAATAAAAAAACAAAGATCACCATCAATTTCATCAAGGTTGTATTCATCTGAGACAAAATCAACGTCGTTTGATACAAAGTCATCCGACTTGTTATCCTAAAAATTATTAAAATCACTATAGATGATATTAATAATTAAAATAATTAATTAAAATTAAATAAACCAACAAACCAAAAGCTGAATAAAAAATTAAAAGTATATAAGCATGTGTAAAAAAACTAGAAAAGTTACTTTTTGTTTAGAATCATTCATTTTGAGGATTAATTCATATTTATAACAAACCGGATCGGCCAACAAGAACTTTATTTGGAATTTTTTAAATTAAAATTGAACATAAACATCAACTATTTCATACTTAGGTTTACTTTTAGCTTTTTATTATAATGAGTCTAAACCGAGGTTTGCCATTTACTTTTAATGAATTGCAAATAATAAACGCTAACGGTACGTTCTAATTTTACGAATGGCAATTGTAACTAATATTTTTAAAATTTAAATTTTAAGATAAATGCAAATTTAACAAATTTTTAATACTCTATTCATTATTTATTACTTAAATTGCAAGATTAGTAGTGAATTTTGAAAATTTCCCTGTCGAAGTATCAACATGATTTTAATTTTAAGCATGTTTTCATCCATTCACTAAAAATCTAAAATATTTCTGCTTAGGATTAAAAGGTTATTATTTTGTATTTAACGTTATAAATTATTTAATTTTTTTTTACTTGATATTTTTCATTCAACCGAATTCATTTTTTTAGTTTGATATGGACGAATAGTTAAATCAATTAGTTTAGTTAGAAGAGTACTTGCAAATGAAACACCTTTCTCTCTTATTTTATGCACTGCATAGTTATTTATATTTGCGATCATCATCAAGTAATAATCATCTCCCCAACGAAAGACTAAATGTAAATTGCGATAATCATCTTACGACTTTGGTCCAAATTTTCTTCTACTGCAAACATAATTTTGTCACCTGGCACCTGGTTGATTCATTATGATTTCTCATGATTCATTAATTAATAATTAATGAAATAAAAAACATTTTGTAGTCTGTCCAGTTTTCTTATAAAATTTCATTTCCACTGATCAACAAATCTACAGTCAAATATTAAAATTAAACGGATGGCGTATTTTATTTATATAAAATATATTTGTTAAGGATTTTATGATTAAAATAGATAATGATGATAAGTTAATGTTAATATTTATCCAGACTTTTTATTTTAGATTTAATTAAAGGTAAATTAATAATATATATTGTTAAATATTAAAAAGTTACATTGAAAAACACCTATTGAAAAAAACTAGACATCGTTTTGTTTGAACATTAATTGAGTCTATATATACATATAATAAATAATTTATAATTATTACAATTAATGTTAATAAAGTTAACTTTATTTTATTTATTTAATTACTTACCTACCAGATAACAAACAGTCTGTGTTTAATCCATCCCAAATCATATTCTTCCAACATTCTTCATGCTTACAATTTCAAAATAGTGAACAGTGACTTTTTGGTTGATTCTGAATGAATGAATGAAGCTTCTTTCTAACAAACAACAACAACAGCAGAGAATAAGTTTGTTTTTTTTTTATTTCATTTCAGTTAGTTGATAATATTGAAATTTATATTAGATGAATTACTCGTATAATATAATGTCTACTTAACTTATTTGAACTCTATTAAACCAGCAATCACCATGTTACATTGCCCCTTATAAAAATGAATTTACCAAATTTCATTCAATGATAATGTGGATGATGTTGGATATATTGTTGTTGCAGAATGAATAAATTTGTAATGTGAATTGAACCTTACAAATTTTGATACAACAGTACTCTAACTTATTAAATTAGATTTAATTCAAATTCATTGTTTCCAAATCAGTCAAATGAAGCAGAATGAAGAACATAGGCAGATTGAACATTATGAAGTCCAACAGATCAAACCCAAGTATTTCGAGCATGAATGGAAGTAGCAGTAACAGCAGCAGCAACAATCTGAACTGCTATCAACAGCAGCAGTTGGCAGCATCAGATAATCTTTGGAGCAGTAGAGATTCATCGATGTCTTCTCGTGAAGGAGTGCCCAACTCTTACTGTGGCACTCCTGTTATCTTCAAAAGTTTGTAATTCACTTTTAGTTGCAGATGTTTTGAATGGGTTTCTATGCTAATGCCACTTTTTGTTAGCAGTTACTAGCAATTTCAATTAAATAAATATATAATTGTTGCACTTAGATGCTATTGACGAACTGCCAGACAGAGCAGTTGGCCACAGGAAGTTGAGTTTGAAGGGTCAGTCATCATCGACTTGCAGTGATGCCATCAGAGAGGCCGCGGTCAGTTAACTATAATCTTACACACTAGATTTATTTTTATATTTCTAATTATTATAAATGTATTTCGTTTTTTGTTACCCTGCAGTATATAGGATCTTTTCCAGTTGACGAACCTACTCAGGAAGCCAGAGCTGATTACATCAAGAAACATCTGTCTGATATGAGAGTGGGTGGAGTTTTGAATAATAATTAGCTTGGTTGTGAATAATAATTAGCTTGGTTGTAAATATTTGTCAGCTTAGTTACGAATGTTAATTAGATAAAATTTGTTAATGAAAACAATTTGATACAATTCAGAATATTAGCAGTGCCAAACCCGTCTTGCTGGCCATCTCACTGTCAGGAATAAAAGTCTGCTGTGGATCGGGAGAGGTCTGCCTTCTTATTCCTCATCTTTCATACTATATTTCATTTGCATACTCTTGGTTTCTGTATCAGCAGAGCCAAACTTTTGACGCTGATTATCTCAAAGTTGAAAAAATAAAATACTTGAAATTGTTGTCTAAAGAAGTAGTCCTATCTGTATTTATGTTTTATCAAGTCGGTATTAATTCGTTGTTCAATATTTCTTCAACGTAGTTTTTGTCTAACGCACATCAAATCTTTTTAGAAATTTCATTTTACTGTATCAGTTAAAATAGACTTAATGAATTAAAAAAGAGAGAGGTAGAGAGAGAGAGAGAGAGAAATTAAAACCGATTATTTACGCAATCATGTGCACAATCTCGAATTTGCACTACAGACAGTATTCATGGCTCATGCTTTGAAAAGAATCTCCTACGCCACCTGCCAGCCAGAGAAGTGTCAGTTTTCATTTCTCGCTCGAGAGCCTAAATCTCCAACCAGCATCCAGTACTGCCACACTTTTGTCACTAAAACTTCCACTGAGGTTCATTTTTTGTTGATTCATCAATCGGTAATATGGATTCTACGATCAATGATCAATCGTCCATTTAACAATCAACCAACCAAACAGTAATTCCATCACATCACATCGCCAAAACATCATTACATCAACAGGCTGAAGAAATTAACAGCATCGTAGCAAATGCATTCAAGACAGCATACCAACAGCAACAGCAGCAGCAACAACAGCAGCAGCAACTAAATAGCAGCAGCAACAACATCTCAACATCTTTCAATGATCTTATTCAGAGCCAAATAAATCAACAGCAAAGAGAACATCAACTAGCCAATCAGATGAAAGAGGAAAGGTTGAAAGACCAATTAAATAGCATTTCGACTCCTCGCATCGATTCTATAGGCCAGGAGAGGAAGATGAGAAGAATGTCGAGACTCATCAGCAATGAGGATGAGGATGCTTTAGAATGGGTCTGCCCTCACAACATTTTTTTAAAATTGATGTTTGAAAATTTTTTTCAACATGCCATCATTTTTCATCTGGCCAAGTTATATTCATCATTGTTGTTTTTATGTTCCTTCATAGGCTAGAAATGTGGTAGACAAAATCATGATGATGACGACGACATCAACCATCAGCAGCAACAACTTCCATGACGGCAGCGGCATTGATGACAACAACAACTCAAACATTCATGATCTCCTCAACAGCCTGTCCTACAACAGCAACAATTCGAGCAACAACATCTCTAGCAGCAGCAGCAACAACACACCATCTCCAGTTAACTTAATTAAAAAGTTCATAGACAACAATTTCGACAAACTTTTCACATCAGACAGTTCAACAATCACCATCCTACCCTCACCAAAGCACTCATCATCTCACCAGCTGAACTCTCTTCATCAACATCTCGCTCAGCCTGAAGAACTCAGTCCTATTGAAGTGAAGACTCCTTCATTATTTTGTAATTTTATAACTGGGTTTCTAAAATTCTATAATTTTGTATGTCACTTCCATTCAGAGCTCTGATTGGAGCCCTATTAGGAGCCATCAACCAATAGGAACAAGTCATTCAATGGTCACCATGGCAACAAATGAAATTAGGTCATCCAATGCTAGTGAGGAACGACCGTCACACATTGAGCATCTTGCCAGGGAGTATTTAAATAAGTAATTTTGAATATTAAAATGATATTTGGCCTTAACGTATATTATGATAATCAATGGTGAATGTGCACTGATGAATATTAATTAGATCCGGTAGGCCAGAGGCTGATGTAAATGACAGCAAGTTGCATGAACAACCATGGTATCAGCCAGGAGTTCCTAGGTTACTCCATCCACCAATTCTGCCATTCATTCATTCATTCATTCATCCATCCATTTATCCGTCTTTGTTGTTTATTCATTTAATCTTCTATTCTTCCATTCATTCCAAGTTTCTTAGATCATTCATTCATCCATTCATCTGTGTAGTTAGTCATTTATCAATTTTGAATTCATCAACTCTTTCGTTCATCCTTTGTTGATTCATTTGTTTCGATGTATTACATTTTCACCGCTTTCACATCACTACCAATTCATCACCACCAACTAAATATAAACAGCCAATCACAACCAACTTATACAAAACAGCAAGCACAACTAATACCAAACAACCAATCACAATCTGCCAGCCTACCATCATTAACATTTTACAATTGACCAATAGGGACATAGCTTTGAATCAGCTGCTTCATCAGGTTAATGGATCATTTGTTGTTAGGGACAGCTCAACTCATCCAAACTGTTACGCTCTCTCTATCAAGGTCCATTAATTCATTTATATTCTCTATTTAAACATTCGTTCAGCTAATTTTGTAATAGTATTGATCTGTTTATATTTTTAAATGCCACTACTAGCATGTCCTTGATTTAAATCACGTGCGATTCATACTTTCATTCATCGTTCATCCATTCATTTTTCTTCGTTCATAAATTTTCCCTTCAGGTTCCAAAGTATGATTCTCCGAATGAGATCACGCACTATCTCATCGTCAAAACGCCCAGAGGAACCTTCAAAATCAAGGTGTTATCAGTATTCTAAAATACTAGTAGTAGTAGCAGTAGTAGTAGAAGTAGAGATAGTAATATTAATAGTAGTAGAAGTAGCCAAATCGGCTCTCGTAATGTTTTATCATCAATTCTATTATAAAATTTCAACATAAATATTGTCGTGATTGTCAGTTATTCGAATTTATAAAAATCTATGCCAAATTAAATGGTTTCTTTATACTATAATTGTCATATTATAATTGTTATTATTATTAACCGCCAGGGCCTGACAAAAGAATGGACGTCACTGACCTCCTTGGTACTCCACCACACAATCATGAGAGAACTTCTACCTTGCTTGCTAGTCTTGCCCTGAAAAAATTTATCATTATTTGCATAGGCTTACATCTGACTCGCATGGGTTGATATCACGTTTGAATGAATTAACATAAAATTTGCATGAATTAGTTTAAGATTTCAATAAATTGGTAGAATTTACCAAAATTTCATTGAAAATCGATGAAGGAGCTTAGGAGGTCTGATTTGATTGAGTAGGAATATTCATTTTAAGTAGGAATTTTTAATGTTTTCAATAGTAATCTAATTGGTATTTGCAAATTGTGCATCTGTCGTATCGAATGCGTGTGTTTTTGGAGATGTATGAGTGTTTTAATAATATGAATGCTTAAACGAATGTGCTTTGATGAATGTATGTTGAACAGAAGTGAGGTGAATGATGAACGAAATAAACTTGCACGAATAATTGAAGAGATATACTTACATACTCTACTAATGCGTCCTTTTATTATTTCATTTGCATGTTCTTGGCTAAGAATTACAAGTTCATTCGTCTCAAATCCACGTAAATTTTAAGTCAAGACATTATTCTTACATCTAGCAAATTATTGAACAAATCATTTGTGGTAGGCTCTTACATTTTCATTTTGAAATGACATATGAAAAAATGATACAAATGCATAAGTTATTATCGTTTTAATCATTATTATATTTTGACGCCTATTGTAGTTATCAAATTATTAGTTAAGAAATGTTTCTGATCTTAAATGTCATTGGCGAAATTATTTTATTTCAATTGTATGCAAATTAGATGATGATATTCGTTATTAACCAATGCAATCTCATTAATATTTATGCTGGCTGACATCATGAGCATTGATGAGCTGATGACTGATCGCCATTAATATTAATGAGGTGATTATTAATTTAGCAATAATACCGTTTAATATAACTATAGATATTGATTTTTTCACGTTCAATGTCTGTGGTTATACATTCTACTCTTCTTCTTCTCACTCACTAATTACTTTATTCATTGGTACAGTTATTGAGATATCTAACAATTACGTGTTGCTATATTTTTTTTGCTTACATTGTTTCAAAGTTATTAAAAACATTAAGTTATACATGGATTGATACAAAAATTAAATGAATAATGAAGTATTATCAATGAATTAAATCGGTTGATCTTAATGTAATATACGTGTTAAATAATCACGAATAACATCAACGTGACTCGCATGTCACATTTTGTCTGTATCTGATCGCTTGTTTTAGTGTCTCACAATGAATCAATTATGACATAAGCTATCAATTTTACAAGTATCTTTGTTACTATTACCTTCGAGACCAGATCTAACCTTATGTTACCTTATGTAATGCGTTATATTTTTTGGATGGTTTGAATGACGTTGAAGAACATGTAACACAGTCAATGCAATTTATTATTTTTTTTTTAAATCGAACTTAGTATTATAATTTTAACTCAAATTTCATTTTGTATTCGCTTTGAATGTGTTCATAATTGTGACATTGTGAATGTGTGATTGTAAACTTTCAATTGTATGCTTACATGTATGTATGTATGTTAAAGATACGTACGCGCTTGCATGTGTTAAACGTTTCATCTGTATTTTATGTTTATATTGACTAATGATTTTACCTGTCTACATACAGAACACTCACATCTCATGTAACCGACTCATCAATATCACAATTTCTGTCATCATACTCATCTTAACTAGCTTAGATATTATATTTGTTGATCTGACTACTTCATATTCTTTTAATTGATGAATTAATAAATAAACGGCATTTACAACAAGAGGACGGATGAATCAAATACTAAACCAAAACCGACGCTATTCGCATTCATACCTTCTATACACACACGCACGTATATATATATATATATTATGTATGACGATAAGCATGGTAATTAATGTTAATTTGATGTCCAATTAAAACGACGATGATTAACGACAAGAGCGTGCGGTTCAATAAATGTCAATAAAATTTACATACATATATATATATATGTATATATATATACCCTACACACAAATTAAAAAAAACCCTAACCTCTGCGGCAAAATGTGAGAAATCGTTTCGAAATAAGCGGAAACGAGTCAACAAGTTGGATTCATTCGACGGTTTTGTCTAAAGTACATTTGTAAGGCCACTAGCTAGCACTGCACGTAAAACGAACTTAATAAAACATTGACGTATCGAAAATTATTGCAGAATAAGGGAAGCATCAATAAAATAAGTGGTCCATGCAAACGTCTCTTTCCTTTCTCGAACACCTTGGTGCGTTCATTGCTCCTGTCGCTTTAAATCTTTCCCTGAATGATGAATCGTATACCCATTCATAATATTACGATTGCCATTGTAATAAACAAGCGTAATTAATCATAATCATTTACGGAGAACTGTTTTACTGTTAATAATTTATAACTACGGAAGCAATTTCAAACCCAAGGCTGAGAAAATCATCATTAGTCATCCTTTCGGATTTGGATTTGAAAACGTTGTAGTAGGTGTGCTGGTGTCTCTCATTGATCATGCTGTCCGTCGTGTACCTTCCGGGGCCTGGTTCGGACTTGTGTTGTTGGTGTTGTCAGTGTAGATATTGTTCATGCTTTTGTGTGTTGCTAATGATTGATAGTGCGATATTCAAATGAAACTAGTTGAAGCAAAAAAGAAATAGATAAGAAAAACTAATAGATTTATCTTTTTGTTTATAGTTTATAAGACTATAAACAAAAAGATAATCAAGCAAGATAATTGATCGAACCAATTTAGCGGTGGAACATTCAAGAAACTTGAACATTCTAGGAGTGGTACTGTTGAAAGCAGGCTTCAACTTGCTGATGGTGACGCACATCCCTTCATCATCTTCTCCCTCCTGCTTCCTCTTCTGACATTTGAATGGGTAGATTGGGTTGTAGGAGCCGGGACCAGGAATATTCTTGATGGTCATTCATGGTTTGGATAATGTGATGTGCGATATAGTAATGTTGTTACTTTGTGCTGACAGTTTTGGTTTATAAAAATTGCTACTGCTATTGACTGTGACCTTATTACTTATTTACTGATTGTAACTGCGTATGAGCTTGGGGTCTGCCGTATATTTTTATGTCGATCAATCACTACAACTCTCTCTCCTCTCTCTGTCATCCATTTATATTCACTAACACTTGTTTGTATCATGATCTCATTTTTTTATTCATTCATTCCCTAACTGACTGCAGATCTGGAGGCATAGCTTGGTGATTCAATGACGTTACGAAGGTACTCTTTCAATGGAAAGCGTGCCGATTTCTGAAACAATCCTGTTGGTGATGATAACGATAACAAAGACGTCAACGATGATTATGGTGTAAAAAGTGATAATAATAATAATGATGATGCAAAAAAAAAATTTAATGACCTCGTTGCCTGTTCTTATTGAGTTTCTTAATTGTATCGGTTCTAACATCAAACTGAGCAGGACTGGCCAGATAATCTTGCTTCTGGAGGCGCGTTCAACACGAACAAATAAATTAGTCTTCGCAATTTTCATACATAAGGAGAACACACAAAAAAATTTATTCGTTTTGAATCAGAAATAAAGATTTAATATTTACATTACATTATAAACCTGATCAACATGATGCCATTGATACAAACAATTATGATCAATCAACCAGCCATGTAATCTATCCGTCAATCAACTAAACATTCAACCAGCACATCAATCAGTTAGCCAGCCAATCAACCAGCCACTGACAATGTCCCAGATAGATTTTATGTTGACATCTCTCCACGGAGCAATAGACTTCTTGCACGTTTCAACTTCTTTGTACATTCCTGGTGCAAGACCGGACCCCTGCTTAGTGTTTAAATTTAAACTGAAAAAATCAATCAAAAAGTCACTTAGAGCTAGATTGCAGTTTCAAATCAACATTTTCGTACATTTACATACACCTATTACTGTTACTTGCCAATTACTTAATGGCAATTAAATTTCAAAAACATCATTTTACTGACAGAAGAGTTCAATGAGAATCTATTAATCTTCCAACCAATGCCAAAATCTTGATAATTTCTTCTGAACGATTTTTTGGGACCGAAACATTTATATGTGTTATTGTACATACCAGGTCCCGGGAGGTGATCCTATTATTCATTTGGTTTGTTAAGTGAAATTATTGTTTGAATAACTTGTAAGATTTTAATGAATGGCAATGTAACAAATTCGAAGCTGAAAATATAAAGATGAAATTTAAAAATAAACCAATCATTATTGAAACACAAAATAAAAGACAGTAGCTTTAATAACATAAAAAATGATCTAAACCAAAAAATGATTGATTTAGATAAAAAAAAACCAAACAAATAAATATAAATTGAATAAATTTAGAAAATATGGATGAACAATATCTTCAAATAAACATAAATTGAATAATTTTAGAAAATATGGATGAACAATATCTCCAAAGATAAATCTTGGAGCTCTGGACTGGTTGCATCTCTTTTTATCTGCCTTCTGACAACCTAGTTTTTTGCTGGCAATATGAAGATCAGATGATAGTGGCAGGGGTCTGTTTGTTTTTTTCAATTCTGTAGATGTTCCTTCTTTCAGTGGTAGCTTTGTCTTTAAAATTTGTTTATTTTAATTCTAGTTAGCAAATTTTTATTATTAATGCAATAAGTATCACCAATTTAACCATCAATCATCTTATTCATCTTTACAAAATAGCAATAATCTTGGCCATCGTCTTTTTCACCTCCATCATTCATTAACAACATTATTCAGCAGTTAGCATTACATTGAACATCTGATCAATTTTCTCTTTAATTTCTTTCAGTGTTTTGTGCTTCTTACTTGATCTCTTCCATTCATTAATGTTGCAAATGTTTGTCTTCTTTGACTTGTTGGAATCATTGAAATAATATCCAGTCCCTAAATAACTCTTTTTATGAAAATAAAAATCAAATAATTAAATTATTATTAAATAATAACAAAAAGACAAAAAAGCAATCTATAACAAACAATGTTAAATGATATTTAAAAATAACTATCTAATGTCATCTCTCTCTATAATACAAAAATAAAATAAACTGCTGAACTAATCTGAAAAATAAAATAACCGATGCTGGTGGAATGTGAGCACCCCCAATTCTGTGTTTAATGATCAATTTAATCGAAAATATAGTTTATTCAGTAATGAATTAGCGTAATATTGTCATAAATTAATCATAAAAATTTAACGTTCAAATTTTAAAATTTTTTATGAAAATTGAAAATAAAAAACTGACTTGCTACTATAGTTGATCAAATTTTCCTTTTTACGACTGACTTTCAACAAGTCAAAACTTTTACAGATATTATTGCCTAAATTTGTACTTTCGGACATTTTAATGAAACAAAAATTACTTCTAACACCTCATCTCAGAGAGCAAAAAACAAACGCAACTCAAAAGCGTTAGCGTTTTCACGGCGTCTGTCTTTTAAACAGCATTTAAAAGTTAACTTAGGTTTTAAAACCTGTGATCTGGAGAAACCTAGCGAACGTTCATGAATCTTATGTAAAAATGTATCTGCTAGCTCTATCAATTCCGACTATATATCAATTCCGACTGTTTTAAGTTTCAAAACCTAAGTTAACTTTTAACTCCCTTTTTCACCATTATTCTAGTTTTTTGACTTGAACTACCAAACGTACGACAGTCTGTTGGTTTTATTGAGTGAGTTGTCGTTTAAGAATGTCCCCACCAAAATTTTCAGATTTGCACGAAGAAGCTCGAGATTTAATCTCCAAAGGATATAGTAAGTCTTGGTCATATCTACTCCTATTTTTTTAATTTTTTTTTCAAAGTTTTTATATAAATAAACCATTCATACTGGGGAAATGAAATGAAAAAATCCTTGAAAGTGACATTAATTGATTAATGAATAAAAAGCAAGAGGACCAAATTTAGTCACAAAAATTATTCATTTCAGCATTTTATATTTTAAAATTTGTTATTCATTATTATGATTTTTTTTTATAAATAAATGTTATGAATAATCTGAATAATCAAAATGTGAATTTTCCATTTGAATTTTAACAAATCAGATTATGGGTTGTGCAAATTGGAATTTAAATCAAAGTCAACAGCAGGTCTTCATTTGTTGAGCAATTGCACAATCAACAACGACACTAAACTGTTTGCTGGCAATTTGAAACTGCAACATAAGTTGAAAGATTATGGTAAGCTACTTATTTAAATCATGTGTTAGGTAAGTTTTGTCAAATACAAATTTAATTTAGTTAGAGTCTGGTCTTAGAATTACTCTACTTAATAGTTCAATAGTTAATATGTTACATTTTTAATAATTTAATTCAGAATCCAATCCTATAACAGTATAACTGAATAGGAATTAATGAATTACCAAGTAATTAAACTATTCATAAATTTTTCTCTTTGAAACAGGTCTTGAATTTGTGACTGACTTCACTAATGAGGCACAGATAACCAACCAGTTGCATGTCAAAAATTGTATTGTCAATGGTTTAGGGTTGTCATTTGAGACAATGTTTGTACCCAGCATCAGGTGCGCATTTGTTTTTGTCATTCAGAATTCCTTTTCTCATTCTTTCACGCCATTCATCTATTCATTCATTAAATCATTCATTCATTAATTCATCTCATTAATTTGTTATTTGATATTGAATTAATAAACTGTTTCCAGCCATCGAGATTGATAAATAATCAAATTGACATTATTTTCATCCTACAAGTAAGAAGACTGCTTCCATAAAGTCGTCGTACAAGACAAAGAATACACACTCAACAGCTGATTTGTACTTTGATTTCACAGGAACTCATCTTGACCTTTCAACCATTTTAAAGTTAATATCATGACATCCCTATTTTTATTGCGTCACTACATCACATCCCTTTTGTAGTGACAACACTAAATAACACCCATCACTAATTAATTTCTCAGGAGTGGTAGCTGGTTTGGAGGGGTGATGATGAAATTGGACGAAACGACTCCCAACAAGAAAATTTGGCCATGTTTGAATTGGGCTGTAGGTTACAAGACTGGTGACTTAACCGTTGTTAACACTTTGTTGGTTTTGTTTTACAGTTTGTTTTTAATCTTTTATTTTACATCAAATAGTATGTTTGATTTTTAGTTTTTTCCTAATACTTCGTTAGATTTCTTTTGTTAATGTTATTTTTCATCATTATTTTTTCATCTCTAACACAGTTGTAGAAAATCCAGACTACCAATTTCAACAAATTTTAAGTTGCTCACATGAATAAATTATTATTATTATTACGGAAATTTATATACAGCGCTTTTTTATTGTTGAATTCTAAAAGCGCTACTAAATCATAGACAAATAAGACGGACATTAATTGTGCAAATAAATAAGTTTTAAGTTGACTTCGAAATTGTAAATATGATAGGTTAGGGTCACGTAAGTAAGGAGGTAAACCATTCCAAACAACCGGGCCAAGAACTGTTAAGTTGCGGGAACCCGTCACCAACTTTGTGATCGGGATAAAAAATAAATTGCGCTCGATTGATCGGAAGGAATATTTTGAAAAATGAGATTTGTATGATTCCAATCTATCGATGAGATAGGGAGGTGCTGTATTATTGACACATCATGTATTGGGAATGTTTTTGTATTCTTTCAAATTTCTAAACCATTCAAAAACAACTTTCAAAAAGTTTTCTGCAAAGCTGGTAAATAAAATGAAATAAAATCCATACGCCAGATCGGATTCAACCGAATATCAATCGTCCATCTGTCAGAAGATCAGCAAAGACCTCAAATTCGGCATTTTGATTGATTACTCAAAGGTTTCAAACGATTCTAAGATGACGTTCGGAGCCAAATACAACCACAAAAAAATGGGAGTCTTCAAAATCAAGATGAATAGCCATCAGCAGATTGGCATATCGTATCAGCTTGATATTAAGAAAGGTTAGCTGTGATTGGGGAGGGTTAGGGTCTTATAGCTGAATATGATTGGTTGCTTGGAATTTGTTGTTTGACTGTGATTGATTGATCAAAGTGTTGCATTTATTCAACGCCACATCTTAATAGCCAAATTAAAGCAGCTACAGACAATTATTTCAGTTGGTGGTCAATTAAATAATTCTTGCTAACACCAGTTGTTAGGAATAATTGCCTAGAAATTTATTGTATGGCAATTTGCTTTCAATCGAATTTATTTGTCTCTTCAATTCCTTTTCTGATACCTCTTTTTAATTTGATGAAATTTAATTACTCAGGAGTGACGCTGATACTGTCAACTCAGTTGGAATGTGACAGGAAGTCTCTCATTGGTCACAAGATGGGGGCCGGCCTGATGGTCGACCTCTGATTGCTCAGTTTGAATTATACTTCCCGGCCAATCATGATTCATTTCGTTTCATCCTATTTTCATTTATTAGATATTTTACTTTTTAGATGGCTTACAGATGAACCTACTAACCAATAGCTGCTAACCCATCAATCGTTTAAATCGATCAATCAACCAACAACCAATTAATCAATCAGTCAATCAGCCAGCCTTCTAGCGTTTGCCTGCCTGCTCACAATTTTTGTTTGCTCGTGTTCTACAGGAGTATATTCCATAACGGTCGCTGTGATTCGACGAGCAAGCAATGTTAATAGAATTGAAATTAATAAATGTCTCAACCATTCATTAGGGATTTGAATCGATTGAGTCGTTAATGATTTATTCAATCGTGTTCGTGACGTCATCATTTTGTATTTCTCTTGAAATGTTTGTGACGTCATATTTATAATTAGTTATAACGTGATTATCTTTCGTTACCCAGTGTCTTCATTTCTGTCATTTCAATCGTCTTAGGAGCTATAACCGGGTGAATAAGTGAATGAGCGAATGAATGATTAACGAGAAGTTGAATGAATAAATGAATATAAGTAATTAATTGTTTTTCAATTAAAGATTTTTTCGGCTCTTTTTTCGAATGAAGTTATAAAAAGTAGAAATGTGTGATGCAATCAGATGGGAGGTAATTTCATTTATCCATTTCACTGTTTCATTCTGTCTATCACTTTGTATACATTCATTTATTTATCCATCCATTAACTTACTATTTCATTCAGAATGTCACTCAATTCACTCACATCATCCATTCATTCCGTCATTTTAAAACAGAAGAAAGTAAAGAATGGATAGATAAAATTTTTTGAGGTGTGTGTGTATGTACATGTATGTACGTGCTTATGAGTGTGAATGTATGCATGTATGAAAAAACAACGACAAATAAATAAAGATGTTAGAGATGATGATGATGGTAGTGTTGTAAGAGTTTATATACATACTGTATGTGTGTGTGTACATCTGTCTGTATGTTTGTGTGTGTTGATATATATTTACATTAAGAACAAATTAAATGAAGTTAACGTTAAAAAGGGAACTGTCTATAACGTTGTTGCAATCATTAAAAACTGTTTATAAATGAACATAACATGATCACACATCGGCCATCAGCTGACCTAGCAACCGATCGATCAATCAAACTGAAAATATATAATAAAACGAAACTAAAAAAATTAAATATTATGATGAAGAAATCTCATTTCTTAGGTACTTAATGAATTTGTGCAAGAGAATGAAGACGACGATGATCTACTATCCAAATCCAAACATTTTTTCAACGACGATGATGATGATGATAAGGGAAAATATAAACTAATGATTATAAATACAATGATGAAATGGTGAATACAATGATGGTTCATTATCTGACAATGTGATAGGTCTGTTTCCCATTGTCAATCATTCTTTTCAATTTGATTGGCGGTACATAATACATTGGATGTTGTTGTTGTTGTAGTTTTTGTTCATCATTCTGCTGAGATGGCTGCCGTACGGTTGTGTCGAGGTTGAGACCGTCTATGTTGTTGTCATCGTTGCCAATGGTGTTATTGTGTTTACAGATGTTGATGTCATTATTGTTACTGTCGGTGGTGTTGTTACTATTACTATCATTGTTGGTGAGTGATTGTTTAGCAACTGACGACTTTCGTTTCCTAAATTGTTTGCTCTCTGCGTGAGGTGCTAGTGTTATTGTCGTCGTAGCCGTTGTTACTGTTGCCAAATTCGCTGACGTTGTCAAACTTGTTGGTGGTGTCATTGTTGAGATTTTTGATGATTTTTGCGTTGTTGTCGTTACTTTTGACGTTGTCAACAGCGTTTTTGTTGATGTTATTGTTAATGTAGGTGAGATAATTTTTGAAACTGTTGAATTTGAAGCAGTTGTTGTTGCTGCTGCTGAAGTGGTTGTTACTGTTGAAGCAGGCAACGATGACGACGAAGATGATGATAAAGAACAGCAAGAAGAAAATGAAGAAGAAGAGGAGGACGAGGAAGAAGATGTTGATGAGGAGATGGTAGTGGACAAAAATGACGTTGGCATGTTTTTTGCGAACCTCTTTAATTTTGTCTGGAAGGTTGAAACCTTTGTTACATTTGTTGATGTTGTTGGTGGTGAGTTTGTGGAGGCTGCTGTCAACGTTATCGTTGATGTTGTTGATAGCAGAGGAATTGTTGACGCATTTGAGGCTACTGATTTCGTTGATTTACATGAAATGTTTTGTGAAGGTGTGACGATTGTTGTCATTGATGTTTTCGTGATTAATGTAGTAGTTAATGTCGGTGTTGGAGGCGAATACACTGGCTTAAGCCCTGAAAATGTTGTTGATGTTGAAAGCAATGTTGTTGATGAAATTGTCGTACGGGATGTGGAGGTTTGCATTGTTTGAGTGTTGTGTGGTAATGATGGTGTCGCTGTGTTGTTGTTGGAAGGTTTGTTGCAAGTTGAATCACTTGCTGATGGCCTTTTCAATGGGATTTTGAATGTTTTCTGGCATGTTGAGGTCATTGTTGAAGAAATAGATGACAATGATGTTGTTGCAGTTGTTGCTGTTGATGTGAGGTTGTTCACTTTTTGTGGTTTCAAAATATCAACGAGGCATTCAGGGATTTGTGGTTTCTTTAACCTGTTCATCAGTTTCCGAGTGTTGCTTGTTGTTGCAGCTGTTGGCGGTTTGTTGCTATTTGTTGTTGTACGCTTTGCAACCAATTTGTTGTGTTGTGATGATTTGAGCCGACTTGTACGTGGTTGTTCGAGGATGTTGATGTTCTCCTTGCTGTTGATATTATTGATGTTTTCTTTACTGTTGATGTTGGCCTGGTCATGTTTCAACAAAATATTAGTTGAGGTCGATGCTGATGATGATGAGTCTGTGGTTGGCAACTTTTTCTTGTGTCTCAATGTTTGTTGCTGGGTTGATGATGTTGACGATGATGATGATGATGTTGTTGATGATGATGAAAACTTTGTGGTAACATGTTTAGATACAGATGACAATGTGAATGTTGATGATGATAACAGAGGTGATGATGACGATGGGGACACCATTATTAACGACGGTGAAGATGATGCTTGCAGCTGACCTCCCCTACACCTGACCCTTGACCTCTTCATGTAGGACTCCAACGTCGAACATGATGAAGACGACGGTAACGATGTTGACGATGATGACGACGACGATGTTTTCAGCTGTCCCAACACCTTGATGGAGGAGTTGTTCGGCTGGTCACCTTGACGATGGTAGAAGAGTAAGTAGGCCTCGGAGGATAACACTTCGTCCAGTGTTGACTGCCTCACCTGGTGCAATTAATTATAATAATATTCATGAATACGTTAAAATTCAGAGTTCCATTAATATTCATGAGTCATTGAAATTTACAACACATTCAATCGCCGTTTTACATATATATCCGGTGAATAAATGTTGTAAAGATTCAAGAACTAGCCGGCCGGCCACAAACTCACCATGTGATCATTCATGCAGAACCAGAGGCCTGCCTTTGTCTTGACGTAGCAATAATAATGACCCGAGTTTGTGCTGTGCCCGTCGTGAACCAACACCGCGTACAGGTCGTACATGCAGCTATCTTCACAGCCAATCGGAAGCTCATTTTTTAAATCATGACCTAATTTCTTATCACCTAATTGGTCAGTGCTGAACACTGCATCGTGATTTTGCAATGATGATGATGATGAATCAGCGGGAGTTAGGAATGATTTAGGACTTTTTAAGAGATTTTCACTGGGCAAAACTGATGATGACGATGGCAATGATGATGGTGGTGGCGATAAGGTTGATGACGTTGGATTGTTCTGTAGGGATGAGCTGGTGTAGGGATGGGCGTTGAACTGATGAGGGAAGGTGATGTGCCTCGTCACTTTGCCACCACTCATACCGTACCTGCAACAATCAAAATATATTACAATATATCAGATTAAAAGCCTTCACCACAAGTTATGCTTCCCGCTTCTTTCTCAAGTTTTAAATGCGTTTTGGCAACGTCTCAAAAACTCAATGTATTAAAATGAATTGATGAACGACTATGATCTGATTTTGAAGGAAATGAAGTTGTTCTGTAAATATTTTCTTTGGGCAAGCTACAAACAGCGATCTACTTTTTAGTGTAGTGTATGGTGTGCAATAAATATGTTGATTAAGCCGTTTGATTTAAACGTCGATATGCAGATATATAAAAATATAAATCTGTAAAGTGTCGTTAAATGAAATGAAAACTTGTTCAAGCGACCTCTTCAACTGCAGTGTCAGGATGCGTGGTGGCTTGTGAATGGAGAACAACTTACGAGCTGTCACATTCTTCTTGCAACTATTGTCATCGAGGTGATGTCATGTTTTATCTAATTTAACTTTTAATCATGTGTAGACATTGTTTAAAGAGACTAATTTCATTAATTATGATAGAACATGAATGGTGATAAGTTGAAAGACGGAAACTCAAAAAAATTGCAAAATAAATAGCACATCTCTAGTTCTCAACCTCACCAGACTCCATTTCTAACCTGGAACAGAAGTAGGAGTTGTCGCCGTCGAGGAGTTCGCACGTGACAAACGACTGGAGGGCCTGCGTGATGGATGATGATGTCTTGACATCGAGGCAGATGTCGAGGAAAGGGTCGTACGTGTTCGACGTCCACTGACACATGTCGCATATGACTGGAGGGAGTGTGGGAAGAAAATTATTGACACCCTGGTTACTACGATGATAATTATCACTAATCATTATTGAATAATGTCCTAGCTAAGGAAGATGATAATGAAAACACCTTGACTCCTGAGTTGGCCTGCAAATAAGTGGTGAATAAACGAAACGTCGTCATCGTCGTCGTCACTGCTTTTACGTTCCTCCTTGAAATGATGATGATGACCATCATTTGCGACCACATCAGCGCAATCACCACCACCGTCATCATTGTTGTCGGCGACGACTGCTTTGATGCTTCCTTTCTTCAAATCTTCATCCTTGTCATCATCATCACAAAGTTTAGAGCATTTGGCGGCTGCGATTGGACGGGTCGGCTCATTAACATAATTTATGCAAGAATTTTTCGTTGGTTCACGATCTGCATCAATATTGTGATTGTTACTTTCGTGGGTGATGTTGTTGGTGCAGTTGCTGCTGCTACTACTGCCGCTGCCATCACCATAATTTACCTCAACTTTGATATTATCATTCAGGATATTAATATGCGGATCATTGCTGTTATTATTAATTGGACCATTAGTCTGAACGTCGTTTTGATTACTGTTATTATTATCATTATCATTACGATTGTTATTAATATTATTGTTATTATTATTGTTATTATCATTATTGTTGTTGTCATGGTGACCAGCTAGGCAGGATTTGTGGAGAGCGTCAATGAGGAACCTGAGAAACTCGTGTGCGTCTTCCTGGCGCCCCCATCGCATGTGACGAGCTATCCCTGTGTTGTATCATTCACTCATTCATTCATTCACTCAATCATTCATTCACTCAATCATTCATTCACTCAATCATGTATACATTCACTCAGCCATTCACCTATTCGTTTCTCCAGCCATTCATTATCAGTTGTTTCCTTTTTCTTTAGCCAATCATTCATTCAGTAGTCATTAGTTTATCAACCTTCCCAGTAACCCAGCCATCCTTCCACTCATTCATATATTCAATCACTCACTCATCTATTTATTCATTCCTTCTTTTGCAACAAAAATCAGTCAACCTTTTAATAGCTGCAGAATATTATGTGGCTTCAATATCCTCTTACTGTCGTGGAAGCATGACTGCATGTGCTGGGCCAGTGCGCACATTATGCAGTCGGAGGCATTTGGGCCTGGTTGTGAATATTAATTTTGATGACTCATTAATATTAATCAGCTTCATTCATTCATTAATATCAATTAGATCCACTCAGTACCATCCATCAAACCCAAACGAATGAACGAGACAGATTCGACTAACAATGGTTAGCCTGGTACTGCACCATGTACTGCTGCAGTTCTGGTGTGTAGGTAAGGCATTGCAAGGTGGCATTCACGAAGCATGTGTTGCCCAGGTTCTGTAGGCCAGATCCTATATCTGTGTGTGTGTATGTGTGCGTGCGTGCGTGTGTGTATGTTATGCATCAGTGTTCAAAAGTTACCTGTGATTGGTTGAAGCCTTTTCTTGCTAGCCAATGAGCATTCAGATAATGACTTGTGTAGTTTCTGATTGGTAACTGATGCTGATGATGAGGGTGACGATGATGAAGAAGATGATGATGGAGATGAGGTTCTTTCTATCAATTTTGACTTTTTTATCACTGCCGATGAGGACGTGGTCACCGTTATTAACGTCTTTAAGATGGTAACAGTGGGTTGTTTTATTTCAAAATTCCTCAAATTTTCCGAATAGTATGATGACGAAGATGATGATTGTAAAGATAATGATGACGACGATGAAGAAGAAAATGATGTTGATGACGATGATGAGATCGAGGGTGGTGACGGTGAAGATGACGTGGTCAAAAGTGAGGAAAACGTTATTGATGATGATGATGAGGAGGAGGAGGAGGAGGAGGGCGATGATGATGAAGTAGACGTGAAGGGCTCCAACAATGGCAATGATGCTGCTGTTGTTGTTGCTGATGGCGTAGATGAGGATGATGTTGATGATGGTGGCAAGGATGATGTTGGTGATGGAGGCAATTCATTTTTGCAAACTTCAAGTTGGTACTGAGCAGCTGGTGGCAGATGTTTGTCATGCTCATCCAATGATGCCAACAGCAGTGTGGACGACAACGACGACGGTTTCGGCAAAGACAATGATGCGAACGAGGTTAGTGATAAAGCTGGAAATGATAACGACGGTAGTATTGAAAATGTTAATGACGTTTGTGATGAGATAGGAGAATTCATATCACCAGAGAGTGATATGAACGTTGTATCCTCATTAATATCCTCACTGCTTCTGATGAAAGTTCGATAATTTCTTGTATTTTTAACATCATCTGTATCATGATCATCATCATCTGTATCATCGTCATCATGACCATCATCCATTTTATTACCATCGCTATAGTTGCTAGTGTTGTCAAAAGAATTTTCTTCTTTATCAGTATCACTATCATCATCACCAGCATCATTTGTTCGATCGACTGATTCGTCAATGATCAAATATTCTTCATACATTTGTGAATCTCTTTCGTCAGAGCTATCTCTGGAGGCGATGACACTACCATTGGGTACAAGTGACGATGTTTGATGGTTGTAACCATTATCATGATGGCCAACATCATTACTAACATTATTATTATCATTATTATTACCAATATCATTTGAATTTAACTGATGTCGGTCGTGCTGATTGCTATTAAATGACAATAACTCCGTTAATGAATAAGTGACTGTATTGATGTTTAGTACATCCCTGGTTTTGGAAACATCTTCAGTAACTTTACAGCCTCCCATCATGAGCAGAGAATTAATAGTATGGCTGCTATTAGTTGAACCAAAAACGTTATTCACAGAAACACCACAAATAGGAAATGATGCTGTTTCCTTGTTACTTGTCTTATAGAACAAGCTATCACTAAGACTATCACTTATATTTTCGCACATCACTACAGAAAATGTACATCTACTTATTGGCAAAAATATTAGTGAAAATATCGGCTGGAACGAATACAAAAGACATTTTATTATTCATTAATTGAGAAATGTAATAAAAATTAATTAAAGTATTAAAAAAAACCAATAGGATAGTGGTGTAGATAGTTAAGTTTCGTTTCGATCAAATCCATAATGGCGTCCGTATTAAAAATAAAATGAAAGTTTTAAAATATTTAAAAACAAAAACAAAAAAAAAACATTTTAAAATTTTGCTTTTAGTCTCAAATTAACAAATTTACGACATGATTGGAGAAATTTTCATTAACGAAAATACAATACAAACATAGATTAATATTTTTGTGTTAAAAAGTTGAAAGCGCCCCGAATAAATGTAACAATTGCAAGAGTTTAAAACAATCAAATTAAATGTAAATTATATTATTAAATTAAAAATTTTTGCAAGTTTTATTTTTAATTTTATTTATTTTACTAATTTTATTTTGTTTCATAATTCTTCACAGGCACTAACTTCCTTGAATCGACACTTAGATTTTTATTTCGGCTGTCTTTGCTGTTTATATAAACATCATATTATCGATAACTTTCCAAACCAGTACTTACACGTGCGGGTTCGTTGGTCTCGGTTAACCTCGTAAACTTTTTTAATTTTTTTTATTTTTAATTTTCTAAATGATTTATTTGCGGATCATTTGATTTTAATTAAACGATCGGTTGATTGTTATTTTAGGTAATTCATCTGCATGATCATGATGTCATTTATTTTTATTTGAAGGATTACATTACGATTACATTACAACAATAACATCAAACTTGTCTAAGTCTTCTTCTAAATCTAAAGTAAGTCTTCCTTAACCCCTATCCATAACCCTGATCTGATAGGGATAGAGGTTAGGGAAATAATCTAGCCCCAAAGAATCTAAAATTTAGATTCTTTTGTGAGAGATGTTGTAATTTATTGTCGATGTTTGTGCTGCATACAATTCATTTAGATTCTAAATCAGTTATCTGTTATAACTTTTCTAATTCCTGTGTTTACAAACACTAAAAAACTTACTGAACATAAGCATTTGTATTGCAATAATAGTGTAATAATAAGTAATTCTATAATTACAATTGATGAATGTTGATCATTATATGAAATAAATGAATCATGTCCTGATTAAACTAACGAAAAACAATAGGTCGTTAAAATATTATACATGAATATGTAGGTGGAAGATGGCTCAGCTCTGTTTGAAAAGCGACGAAGACGACCTTGTTGGTGATCTGATTCTTGAAACAAGTGACAGTTCGCTGGTTGGAATCTCGAGCTATGATGATGATGATTTCTTGGAAGATGAGAAAATTTTAATAACTCATTTAAACAAACTTACTCTATATAAGGTGTGACATAATTAATTTAATTTCAATTTTAACAGTATTTTATTTAAAAATTTTGTTTTTAAATCATGTTATTATCATTGTTGATATTGATAGTCATAATTCATTGGAGCATTTGATTTGATGATTTAAAAGCTGGAAGACATGATGGCCCTAAAGAGTTGGTACCTGGACGGCAGTGCTCGATGTCTTGCCGTTGCTGTGAGGCAGCAGCACCAAGGAAGGAAGTTCTACTACATCACCAGAGATGGGCAGGTGCTTTTCAAATTAATTTAATCTTTTTTATAATCTTTTCATTCATATTTTTTTTACTCATAATTGATTAATTAAACATATGAGCAGGAGCTGAAAAGGATAAAAGAATCGTCATCTGTTATAAAAAGGAGAATAAAAACCACTAAAGTAAAAAATTTTTTAATTTGATTTATAAATGAATTTTAATTTGCTATAAATCATATGTGAATTTTATTAACATGTTGCTGATAGTTAATGAATGCTCACTGCTGCCTCGAGTTCAAAAATCACGTTATCATCGTCTACAACGACCTGTCTGTGCAAGTACTTGCAGAGCAACTTGTGACATTATCAGCAGCAGCAGCATTGCAAGTCACCATAATGAATGTCCAAATTGTAGATTTGAATTCTTCATCGTATCTCTCTGTATCATTTTATGATGTTAGTCTTTTTTGTGATAAATTTCTCGTTTCCATGCATAAATGTCATTAACATCATAACCACCAGCTTATAATTTTAATCTGCTAATCCCACCCTCACAGAATCAATCCTCGAACATTCAGACGAATATTTATCGACTTGATGTCCAGGGTGAACAATTATTGATTCATCCCTACAATAACAACAACAATAATAATAATAATAGAAGTAGCGGTGGTGATGATGATCTCGATGATGAGGATGCTAATGATTTAGCTGGTATGTTTTTTCAATCATTCTTTTCATACATTTCCTTCCTTATTTTTTCTTTGAGTTTAAAATTTAAAATTGGGTTATCGTCGTCGTCATCATCGTCATCCTAATCATCATCATTCGTGCTTTATTTCCACCTAAACAGACAGTTTAAAAAGTATGAAGCTGACCAAAGAAAAAGTTTCCAAATTCCTAATCTTGGACCAGAATCAAATAGTTGTCTATGGACAGATTGAGGGGGGTAATAGAGGTCTGTCACTACAAATTTATGCTACTTTTTGTATTTTTAGAGCAATTGTTATAATACACTGCACCAACATTTAGTAAGATAATTCTTCTTTATTGTCATGTTCCTGTTAATGATATTATTAAATATAATTTATACTTGTTTCAAATACACAGGTATATATTTGATGGATGGAAGGTGTGGCCAAAAGAGAAACATGTATATTTATAAGGAACAATGTCAAGGAAAAATTATACAAGTGGGTTGATGGCTGTCTTGTAAATATTCATGAGGTCATGATCAATCATCTCATTAATATTTTAATTTATGGTCAACTTGTTTTCATTGAATATTTAAGCTGCATAGGTCGAAGAAAAGTTTATTTATAGTAACAACATCAGGCCTGTATGAAGGAAAGATCAGCTACCAGCCTCATTCACTCAGCACATCAATCATCCATCTCCATTGCTCCAAACAAGTGCATTCGTCCTTATTATTTTACTGTTGCTCCTTTTGCTGGTCGTTCAGTCAAATGGAATGAATGAATGATTGATTGAATGGTTGATTAAATGATGGATTGGTGGACGTTGTTTATATTGTTTGAATTGAACCCTCTGCTAGAGGATGAAAGTGATGTCAGGAGGACGTCTCGAGGAAGATAAAGGTGACGAAGACAGGCTTGATTTTTTGAAAGAATTCATAGATGGAAAGAAGGTTCTATTTTGTTTTGTATTCCTTCATCATTGTGTTTGATCTTCACCGAAAACAGATGATTGCATAATGATTGTGTAAGCTCAACGTCCCATTCATTCATTTTAAAATTAACTTCAGACTGCAGACCTGAAGAAGTTTTCAAGTTTACTGTATGACCACCACATGGAGGCGCCAACCATCATGGACCTAATGACCCGTCTGTTGAGTGATGACGACCTTCAAACATCACACTTTAAACAACGACTGTTTGTTCATTTTGTTCTCTTTTTCTATTTTATATACTACGCAAAGCATTGTGTTGACCTTCATGGACATGACACAGACCATCGTCAGACGAATTTAGCAAGAGTAACACACACACGTTTCAATTTTTATTCTTATTAAAGTAACGATATAATAGGTTTCAGCATTTTAACATGAAGATTTTCCTTTTCACAACACAAAAACACAAACATGCAGTCGTTCCGTTGTGCACCACCTCCAACTGCCGAATGATTTCACACAGTACCTCTCAACAATGAATCTGCATCACGTCCTCGTATGTTTTGCTCTCCTACCATATCTTCTGCTTCAATATCATTATCGTATGATGCATTTTTTAATTTGTTAGCATTGGCTGATTAGTATAGTAATTAGTATCATTCATTCAATCGTAAATTTTTCTTTCTTCTGTTCATTCATTCACTTGCATACTCAATCTTTTATTCTCATTTCAATGCAGAAGTTGTTGAAGTTCTTGCACGATGAACTCGTAAGCAATGAAGAAGAGGATGACGAAAATGATGACCATCTCCATGACCATCTCCATCCCCACCATCACTCCACTATCGAAACCATCATTGATTGGCTGAACATGCTGCTCGACTGTCACTACCCGAGACTTGTCCTCCACCTTGCTGGCAGTAGGGAGGTCAAGAGTTCAAAGTCCAACAACAGTGCCGATGACATCTCTGGTGGGGAAGGAGCCTCACTTCTCAATGACATTCTCACGTACATAGATGTTACGGTTAGTTTGTTTTACATGTGTTTGCGTGCACAGTGTACATGTTTCCGTACACAAGTGTATATTGCAGCATTGATGTATACGAAGTTGGTCCGGCAGAATTACGTTGTATATTATCATGTGATAATGATTGGTGTAAAGTGGATTTAATTTTTTTCTAACAGGTTTCTGAGGCAAAAGAAGGTTTGTGTCAGAAGATTATCAACCAGGCCAAATATTTGAAAGTGAAACAAAAGAAATCAAGCAGGAAGAGATATTACATTGAAGCTTTTCAATTCAGTTGAATGATAGTGAAATTACTCAATCATCTATTTATTCTTTTACTGTGGTTTTCATTAAATTATTTTTATGATGTTTTACGGAAATTTGTATTAATATGATAGAATCGGTGATAATGTTGTAAATAAATTGAGCTATTGTATGTTAGCTAATTCATAAATACTTAGTTTTCGGAAAATATGCTGTTATGAATCGAATATACTCTCAACACATGTATCCAAAAAAGTTGGGACTTTTTTTCGTTGACAGAAAGCTGCCTGCACCAGCTGAAAGAAAAGTTTCAAATCATTCTTAATTATCGTCACCAGCGTTCATTTGTTTGCTGGCTGACACGATTTGAAAGCACTTCATCAGCAAATCAACTTCCTCCGTGTACGTTCTCACTCGGATCTTCTTATTGGCCATAAGAGTTGCTATGGTGACGAACTTTTCAGGGATGTACCGGATCGCCAACATGTAGAGCTTCTGTCAATGCAGTTACATTCGATTTATATTATTAGATCGTTTACAGTAGAAATAATAACGAATAGAACCTTCAGGAATGGATGGTGCTCAGTGGCTCTGTAGAAGATGTCAATCATTTTGCCTTTGCTCACACTGGCCTGGATTAAGAAGCAAAGATACCAGAGCATCGAGGACTTGGCTGTTTGTTCATCGTTCATACAAAAGGTCATGAAATTAATCATTCGATTCTCTGCTGATTTCCTGCCTGTTGTGGAGATAATGATGCTAATTAGGTTGAAGATATTGATGATGATGAAAATGCTGAAAATAGATGATGCGGTAGAGTCTATATTAGGATTTGATTTAAAAAAGGACTCTGAATGACAACAAAAACAAATCTGATGACGTAAACAAATAACAACACCCCACCATCATCTAACTAACCATTATTTCTGCAATAGAGACTGAACAGCGAGGCCAGGTAAGCCACACGGAGGGCGAGCAGTGGTCGTCCTCCGTACAACAAATCAGAAATATCCAGGCCATCATTAATGCACGCCATCACATTATTTTCGTTTCTATGCATCATGTAATTGCGGATTATATTCAGACTCTTTGGAAATAATTTCAAATGTTTGGTTGCCGTGGCGATGAGTAGCGTCTGTTGCAAAAAGTGGTTACTGAGGTAAAAATTTATGAGTTCCCAAAGATCATAAATCATGTAGCGGGCAAGACTGGACTTGAATTTCTGAAGCATGTTGTCATATGAACTAATTTTCTTCTTGCTGTTGGAATCATTTCCTCGGTCGTTGGTAGTTCTGCTGTTGTTGTTAGAATCATTAGTAGCAGTATTAGCAGGAGTCTGGTGGAGTAGAAAATCAAGAACGCGATCATGGATTTGAACGGCAACTTGGATGTCGGCAGTTATGGCGATGAATCGAACGAGCAGGTGGACAAGATGGAGGAGGTCGTGTCCTAGATGGTGGAGGCAGTACGAAGACAGGTGAATTTTATTATTACTATTATTATTTCTATTGGCATTAACATTCATGTTGACGATGGCATCTTCAACAATGTTCAACAATGTTGATGAAGTTCTGCTGATGTTGTTGCACAATTTTTCATCAGATTTTGTGAGCGTTGCAAGTGAATCAGACAACGTGCTGTTGATGCCTGTCGACGTCGATGTTGCCAGCACCCAACTTAAACTTTCAACAACCTTCTCAGCGTTGACATCAGCAGCTTTCAAATTTGTATTCACACCTGGCCTGGTTTTCACACCACTCGAACCAACCTTATATTTAGGAGCAGACTCTTCCATATATCCACTAATAAAATCAAAGTTGTATCTTTCAAGTACAATTTTGCATGAATTATTATAATTACTAGCCCGTGTTGTGCTGATGACTTTCCATGCCAGCTCTACATTGCCACATGAATATTCAAAACTTGCGTACTTCATCCACAATAAGACATCATCTGAATTTTCCTTCAACAGACTTTTAAAGAACTTTCTGCAATCCTTTTCAGCTGTGCCTCTGATCTTCAGTGAGTTGAATTTGTAATAGACATACTTGTGCAAGAATATTCGTTTAAATTCATTTTTAAACTGTTTCGTTCCCAGAAGCATGAGGTTTTCAATCATATCGTCAACATTTTCAAAGCCCTCACCATTGTAACCACCCTCAGCATTGTTATCATCATCAACATCTTCATCATTATCACTCTCACGATCCAATTTAAAGTTGAGCTTTGTTAAATGGTTGTGTCTCTTTATCACGTCACCACTTAAAAGTATGTTCTTCAAATAGTCATCATCGGCAGCAGCAGCATCATCATCATCTTCGTCACATTCATCGTTGCACTCAGCCTCATCACCATCATATCTGCCAGAACGTTTCATCATCATATTGAGAAAGTCGATGAACAATATGAACATGTTGTAATCATCATCATTCTCCTCATGACTCTCACCGCCAACTCCGTCATCACCATCGTCGTTTCTTTTATTCGTTTTAATCTTGAATAGAAATTGGGTCAGATCATCAAAAGTTACCATCCTTTCATCATCTTCACACTCGTCTTCGTCATTGGTTGGTCTCCACGGAAACCAATGACGCCGTGACCTACTTAATTCTAATTGGCTCCAACATGTTGGTCGATTATTCTGGTTAGCTGATAAAATTTCTAGTTCAACTTCTTCCTCACTTTTCCCTAAAAACGGGCCAATAATAAAAATGGATTACAAAAATAAAATCTCCAACTGCATAGATTTGGTAATTTCTCGACGAAGAAATTAAGTTATGAAACGTACATGAATGAAATTATAAATTGAAAACAGTTCAACTCGGTAGGATGAATATGCGTGAATGTGTTTTAATTAGTTGCAAACGTTTAAAATGAGTATGGAGCTTGTAATTTATTGTCTGACATTCTGAAATTAATGTTAAAATGTTTAACTGATGCTAAATGGTTACAAAAATTCAATGAAAAGAGCTTGAGACTTGCATCAGGAATTCTCAAATGACTCATTAAAAAAATGAAAGAAGTGAAAACTGTGATTTCACCATGAATGCCGATCTGTTGCTGCTGCTGTACTTCTCCTCTTTTGTCCACCCATACGCCCCAACCAACCCAGTGTGGTTCTCCTAACCTGGCAGCGCCTGCCGACCAATAGGCATTAAGGAAGTCCAATTGGTCATCCAACGAGAGAGACTTTATCGATTTGGGCGCAGTCAGATTCATATCAATCAAGAGTTGGTACACGGAAATACTTAATTCCGATTGGCCAGCTTGCATGATGAAGTTGGAGGCTTCTCTCAGCAGATCTTTCGTAAGTTGGAAGAAAGAATTAAATAAAATCCAACAAATGAATACAATTTAATTTATAGTCATTAACCAATCAAATAATTAATCAATTAACCAACGAACTAATTAGTTGAGTAACTTGTCCAGTATGTTTTAAATGAGTGAAACACTTCTTGTAAGCATCGAGCACTTCGTCAAAGCTCTTCATTTTGCTCTTCATGTATCTTATGTAACTGCAAAAATATGCCATCATTGTGTGTGTGTGTGCGCGCGCGTGTGTGTTTGATACTGTGATGATGTTGTGGTGCTAATAAAATAAGATAGCGGTGAACGTGTAAATACGATGACGACTACAAATGAAGGAATGCTTTTAATCTGCTGGCAGACCTGTTCCACAGTTTAGCATCTCTCTCATGAGTATTAATGAGTTGGTTCCAACTTGATATCACATCCTCTTTCGACCATGCTGACTCTCTTATTTGCTGTCTTTGGTGATATGTGATAATGATGGCGTCATGACGATGACCATGCGATGGTGATGCGACGGCCAGAGTTGTTAGTATCAGTGCAATATCGGCGATACTATTTCAACTTTAAACAGCGGCTGATATACGAAATAAAGTTAAAAATGTGAATTCTGCAATTTGTTGGACGAAAATATTCACAACAACATGATTTTAATTTGACGATTAAACAATAAATTGTTACGCAATCCTTTTCATGTTATATATTAACTACCGGATGCATTCCTATAGATAAAAAAAACAAAGTATAAATATTAGTATTGTTGGAGATACTATCAAAGTGAGTGTCGGTATTGGTGCCACCAAAACATTTAAAAGCCGGTATTGAGTATTGTTAATGAAATAATGATGGAACAATGATGATATTATAATGGAACAATGAAGATGGTAGGAAATGATGACCTAAGTAAGATGAGTTTGTGATGGTGCGGATGATATTTGATGGCCTCGTCTAAGATGGATAGCTTGATGTCACTCAAAAGTTGAAGGTCGTTGTTGGAGCGTGCATTCAACGTTGACAGATTCATATCGTGCATGAATTTCTTGTCCTGTTTGTGAGTTTTGTGTGCGTGTGTGTGTGTTGTGTGTGTGTGTGTTGCACGAGTTGCTCGCTCGGATGGATGATTAATAAAAGTAATTTTGTCCTAAGACAAGTCTAACAAAAGAAGAGCAATGATAAGACGACAGCAAGAAAGACGTCTCGCCTCCTCACAGATCTTACTATGCCTCCATCAACTTCAAGCAATCAGGGCTGTTTATGAAGCGCCTTATTAATGACGCTCCTATTATTTTAATAGGAGCGTCATTTTATTTGACAGTATTCTTCTAATACACCTTTGAAATATTTTTGGTCGAAACATTCTGCAGACCAGTTGTTTAGGTGAGTGCAAAACTCCGTGTGGACGAATCGTTTGTGAGGGGTGGGAACATTGCTGAGGCACAACATCCACATGAGGAGAACACGTTTGAAATTCAACTCGATGATAAACATATTGTTAAAAATACGAATATTTTAAATTAGCTTGAGAATGAACGAGCTGGAAATAAAACAAACCTGAAAATGAACAAACTCAATCCAGAGTTGTGAATTTCTAGGGTCCTTCCTCAACTTTTCATTGAATGATCTAGTCTGAAGTTCTATTGTGGCGTCATCTGCGCTGTGGTTGTTGGTGTTGATGTTAGTGGTGCTGGTAGCGCCGGCAGAATCATGTTTGTGAGCCAGCTCCATTTTAATTGTAGATGATGGAGATGATGTTGATGTTGATGAAGATGGTGGCAAAACAACTGCATCAAGACCCTTTGAAATGTTCAACTGCTTCAGTTGACGAGCCACTGAAAAATATCTTTCATTGGTTTCTGATTTGCTATTGTTGTTGGTTGACGGTGATGTATGGTGATCATGCAGGTTGAAGATGTTCTTGTACGTAGGCACCCTGTAGTTGCCCTCATATAACGTGTTCTCTCGGTCAGGCTTCACATCAATGAAAAATTCATGCTCATCATCGGTTAGTTGTGACGACTGTCGTTCCGATGACAAAGCTGGTTTTGATGACGACGACGATGATGATGGTATTGGTGATAATGAGATGGGTAATCTATCTAGTGAAGATGATTTGCTTTGAGATTCATTCATTCCACCAGCTATTTTTGAGTTTTTGTGCCTAAAGAGACAGAAAAATACTTTTAAAATATAGTGAACACAGAACATTTAATGATGTTAGGGAGAATAAAAATTATTTTTGCCTCACTCCATGCAAAATAACTGCCCTTAATGAATACAGAAAAATTGTACAAAAAAATGATTAATATTGAATATTCATTAGTAAGTAACCTTTTGTTAGGAGGGTCTCCACCATCATCATCATCATAATCGCTACTATCGTCTGACAACATCTTCTGCCTCTTTTTTTCTTTCTTCTTTTTATGATCTATGTTTTTTCTGAAAGCCCCACTTTTACCCCCACCCCCATCACCGCCGCCATTTTTATGACCACCATCACGATGAGTGGCAATGTTGCTTGTTGTAGCACACCACACCTCACCAGTCTTGCTACAACTTTCATTGGAATTTTTGTCACTGTGCACAGCCGATTCCTTCCTTTGCTGAAGCTCATCTGATTGGATAATTCAAAACTTAAAGAGTTTATTTGAAAAAATTTAATGAAAATATTGTCTCTGAGAGTCAAGAAAGTGAAATTACGCTGAACCCTTGTTAATCAATAATTAATGTACAAAAATTTAAAGAATTTGAAATCACAAAATAATGGTATAACTACAACAAAATAAGATAATGCTCATGATAAGATGCGGATTCTTGATTCTTGATTGACTTAATAAATCTGTCTTGAACTTGATTCATTGATTAGTTTGAGATTTCATTTTATTTGCATTTGGCACTTACTCTCTTTTAATTTAATAGTCTTTACCGTTTTTACTCTTTTGAAAGTGAAGAACAGTTAAATTAATAAACTTTAACTTAAATGTTAAATTAAAAAAAAAGTTAAAAATTATCAGTTAAAATTAATTAATTAATATTAAATTAATTAATAATTAAAGTTGAAAGTAGGAAACGAAACACAAAAACTGACCAAAACAGGGAAAAAGTGACATGCCTGCCCACTGAATGATTATGAACCTTTCTAAATTAAAAAAAAAACAATTTATATTCAAATTTAACAGTTAACATTAATTAATAACATCAGATAAAAAAATGCAACATTTTAAACTTTATTTTGATTAAAAGTTATTTTTTGCAAAAACTTAATTTTGTAGCGCCTCATAGTTGAAACAAATTATTATCAACTGAATCGGTCGTTCTGCGCATTCACAAATTTGCAGGTATTGATCAACACGAGAATTAACTACGTTTCATCTTATTATCAACATTGAAAGAATAAGAAATACCTGCAAGCTAAATAATTTCACAATTGTAAAATTTGATATTAAAGAATTTAGAGTTTATTTCCGCTGTCATCTGTTCAAAGTTGTCAAGATGTAAACACCTTTGACGTCTAAACTATCAATTAATTAGATCACCGACGCAGCAGACGGAAGTGCACGTGGAGACACAACAGACAGATGCAGTCAAATTTGTATTTCAAAGAGTGTAGAGTTGGAAAAATAACATGCAATGAAAAATAGAGCATGTACACTGCGGTTAAGTACAAACAAACTTTGTTATAAAATTCTGTACAGGCTACAAACAATTTAAATTCCGGTGTATGAATTAACTTGAATAATTGCATACGGAGGACGTATGCAACTGAAGATTCCTCCAATTAGTCGAATACTACATTCTTAACGTGAGCCATCAACAAATTCGCACATTCAGAGGCAAGCATGTACTCAAGCAGGCATGCTTACATGCACAGTACACAAGTTCGTTCATGTGCAAATCATTCATTGAATATTTAAAATTTCATTAAATCAATCAAACATTAAACGAATTTGAAGAGAGAGGCATTGATACAAAATAAAAAGGTACCACTTGAAACTGTTAAAATTCATCAAATGGAATATAAAATACCATACTAAACTGATAAAATAATTAAAATCCGTCTAAAACATCATTCTGTTAAAATCAAACAGAAACAAGTATAATAATTTAAAATCAATAAAAATTATGGCAAAATCAATCAGTAACTGAAAAAGAAACATAATCAAGAGTCAATCAATCAATCAATCACAAGCAAACAAAAGATACATGAAATGCTATAAAAACAAGATGGGTAAAACAAATAATAGAATGAACGTAATAAGCGAGCCACATTTAACAACAGGCATATCACATCTCAACATAAAGAGCACTCCCTTCAAACAGAATTAAACATGTACTGATTCCATACGTACTGAATCAATATGACGATTAGCAAACTTCAAATATTTAAAAAGGAGCAACGAAACATCACAAGTAAACATGAAAAACGTGAATACTGCAAAGAACTAACCACCACCATCATCATAATTACTATTATTATAAACATTACTTCAACACTACTAACATAATAACCTAGCAGGAAGTATCAAATGAGCTAGCTACCTTCACAACGAAACAATTTAAATAATCATGCACGGTACTGAGATGTACCCTTTTTTTCATCCTTTATGATGCAGCTCAGTCAGTCAAACGTTGAGCTGCTTAAAGTTGTACTGCCCACCCACCCCACACTATGTACGTACGTACGCACCTCATCGAACAGGTACGACGGTCTTCATAAAGTTTCGGACAGACAGCATTCGAACCAAGCCACCGGGTAATGACAGCGCGAGAGATGGCACTTCTAGGACTGAGCTAACTCGTTGACCGGCTACAAATGATTGGAATTCAGTTCAATGGAATCATAAGTAAACTACTAAACTGCATATAAAAATAAACTCACCACCGACCTTCAGCGCAACTAATTCTGCCGACTAACTTGCCCAACCCGCCCTACCTCCCCCTCTCCCTATCTAAATACGTAACTGACGAGTGGACACCCTCATTTCATGATGAATAAATCAAGAAAATAATTGCACAACCGAATGAATGAAGAAATAAATAAACGAATAAGTTACTGTTTTAAATAACAAAAGTAAAAAATCTTCCAACAAAGGATAAAATTTCATAATTTGAAGAAGCCGACGGACCACGAACGGCCTACGCGTGTAATTAACGAATCATGACAACCGAACGTCTGTAACGAAAACCAGTGACATTGTGATTGAATGAATGAATGATTGAATGAATGAATACATAAAATATTAAATTCAGTGATTGATCAAACGAAAAAATGAATGAATGAATGAGTTGAATGACTGCATGAATGAATTGAAATAGAAATGAATGCGAGCACTAGACAAAGGATGGAGAGCAAGAAATACCAGCATTACGTACAATTGAATGAATAGATGAATAAACAATCAATCAACCAATCAACCAATCAACCAATCAATCAATCAATCAATCAATCAATCAATCAATCAATCAATCAATCAATCAACCGACCGCTCAGCCAACCAACAAATTAGCCAATCCAAACGAAAATTGATTGGTTGATTGACTGGTTATAGAAATTCACTATTCGCATCCTATTTATCTCTTATTGGCAATATTATTGTCCTTATTCTTTGTAGTGCTTTGCTGCTTGATCGTGAAGACGTTGATGTTGTAGTGATGTGCTAGTTCTTTGACCTGTTTGTGGGTGGCAGGGCAACATTTGAAAATTTAGAATTTTTTATTGGGGGTCATCATTAATGACTGTTGATATGGAAATAAAAACATTAGCAACGAAAAACGTATAAACGTAACCAGGAGAACATTAACAAAGAACAACAAAACTAACAAAGAACAACAGCAACGTCAGTAACAACAACAACAACATTCCATTCCAACCTAACAAAGACTAACCACATAGATACCGTAATGCAGATGAACAGCACTTGCCAGTAAGAAGTATGATAGTAACATGAAGAGTTCCAAATAGACGAGTGTGATCGGCGCCACTGCTGATGAGGTCATGGAGTGCAGGACGATGTTGATGGTGAGAGCAGGCAGTAACAGCATGTTGAAACATTCAGCTCGCGTGTTGCTCATGCCATTGACAATACATCTGCACTGTTTGAATGTTGTTGTTGACGCAATTTTCAAATAGGGATGTGCGAGTAACAAAAAAAAATGACTGATAGCCAACTATAGAAAAAATACTCATCTAATTCTCTAGACAGCATACTCATACTAACAGTTATGTTGGAATAAACAGCTCCAAACGTCAGCATGAAGATTCTCGTGTGCATGTTGAATATATGACAGTGTGAGGCGTGGATCCAGTAAGTGAAGAGGATGCACTGAAGGACCATCGGGGTCAAAGGTCGTAAAGATTCGTACATGGATAACATCTTGCCTGTTTTGTTTCTGTACGATCTGTGTGTGTATGTGTGGTGTGTGTGTGTGAATGTATGCATTGTATGTTGAGTGAGTGTGTGAGTTGTTTTGGGGGTTAGTTGAAAAACTATTTTTAATCAATTCAATTATAAGCAAATGAATAAAACATGAATGAATGAATGAATGAATGAATACCAACAAGTAAATATTATAGAGACACATTGGAATGCCCATGCCCCAGACTGAAACTGTCGTTCATGGCAGGTTCACCAATTGTGTATTCATTTGGTTTATTGAATAGTCAAGCAATCCATTAAATTGAATTAACAAAGTGTCATTGTGAATTGCAATTGGACTAATTCATTAAAAAATACAAGAGTGAATGCACAACAAGGCATCTCACTGACTGAATGAATGAATGTTTGAGTGACAAAATGAATGAAGGAATGATAGAGAAGACAGAAGAGAACTAACAATGAACCATGCATTCAAAGACATGGCCAGCAGTGCACCCCCCCTCCCAAATTTCAACTTTCCATACTTTTGTACCCCATAAGTAGGTCAGGAAAAATATTAAGGTCATGCCCTGTCAATGTTTTTGTTGATGTTGTTGTTGACACTGCAAAGACTGTTTGCAGTTGTTCTGATAGCAGTTTATGTTATTTTTAAATAATAGACCATCGAAGCATAGGATAAGTAATGAGCTGATGATCAAAGATGGAAGTAGCACCACACTGCCACTAACCAGCTGACTGATGTCATAGCCCCAGGGTAGGTAGAGAACTCCGGTGTTGTATTTTTCCCAATGCGTGAAGAAGAACATGATTGCGATTGACAGCAGAACGTAATATAACCTGGGTAATAGGGAAGTTGCTAACGAATGAAAGAACATGCCAAAAAAGATTTGACAACCAATCACATCAAATGGCATACAAATGAGCAAACCTTATTGGAGGGAGTTGACTATCCCCACAACCAATGATTGAGTAGAGACAGAGGGGCATGATAACTGAAGCCAAACTATCCAATCCATGGTCCATCAGCTCACCCAGTGGGTTGCTACTTCCAGTTCGACGAGCCTGTTTGCCATCAGTCCCATCTATGAAATCATTTTCAATAGTTTACAATTAAGCAACATTATCTTTATGAGCATATTCAATAAAAGTTTCGACTTATGTAAGCATGAAGGTTGAACTTTGTAACACATTTGATAAAATAAAATGCAGTAATGTCAAATCTATTTTGAAAAATTTGAAAATCTCAACAGAAGAAGTTATATTATAAAAATGAAAACAAGCTTAAATTAAAAGTGAACTTTAAAATTATTATATTGAGAAGATGATAAAAAGCTTACCGACCTAGTTGATGAGCCCAGAAAAATGAGAAACCAGCAACCAGGAAGATGAAATCAGGAATGGGAGGATAGGCGAGTTGCAAATCATTAGAGGCCTCATAATTGTAATCAAAAATTGTGAATAGGAGTAACGTGATAACAAGCAGCATAAAACCAGAAAATGTCAACACATTTGGAGCCAGCCACATTGGGTAGAACTAAATTTTCAAAAAATTATTAAAAATGAAAAAAAGATAATTTGCAAGTTTTTAATAGAAAATAACACAAGAATAGTTAATGTGATTTCTCTCACTAAGTCTAACTAAACTAATAAATAAATTACAATCATAAGTACCTTGACAAGCCAATTCCAGAATGGGTGCATAATGTAAATGCTGACAGGACTTGTGTCCACTGAACTGTACTTTTGTGTTTTGTCACAAATTCAATTTAATTAAATTATAAGTAACAACACACACACGCGAGCACACACACCAACATAACCATCTCACATTCAATTCTATTCTGCAGACCAACAACATGACCATCATCATCCCATCTCATCAGATATCAAAATATGGGACAAACTAAAATCCTAATCTTACTAAAAGTTACAGATAAAATAAAATTAAACAAAAAATCATCCAAAATAATTTAAATTGTTAGTTAAATTAAATTATCAAAATTACTTTATAGTTGTCAAATCCGAGAAGCACATTTTTCGACAAATATTTGAACTCCATTTTTTTTAAAAAAGGACTTACAAATTTTTTTTAATGTTGTTCTAATCAATAAAGTTAGCTTTACTAGAAATGTTATAGCGCTGCATCAATAAAAATGATAACAGTAATATATTTAATAATAAAAATAGTAATAATAACTATTATAATGTTAATATATTTCTATTTATATAATTACCGTAATTGAAACAATTAAACCAACAGGTAAGGGAAAAAGGATTAGCTTGAATCATGGTGAAGCCACTAAAAGAACAATGAACAAACATGTGAACATATCATATACTTAGAATAACAAACAGACTAAGGAACGAAAATGCGAACAGACTAACAAACAAACATGTGAGCCAAAGAACAAACAAACACGTAAACAGACTAACAAACAAACATGTGAGCCAAAGAACAAACAAACACGTAAACAGACTAACAAACAAACATGTGAACAAACTAACGCACAAACACGGGATTAGACTAACAACCAAAAATCGTGAACAGACTAACAGACAAAATATGAACAGACTAACAAGGAAACATGTGAAAAGCTAAAAAAACAAACTAAAAAAGAATCAAACGAAAGAAAATGAAAGAAGAAAACTGGCCATCAAACCAGCGTTAAAATGAACGAATTACAAAATATCAAATAAATAAACTTCAAAACTATGAAATCGCCATGAACTGATTGGAACCAGGTTGAACAAGGTTGAATAACTTCAAACAAATCACAAGCAATGGTGAACAATGAGCCCGCATTGATAATGTAATAATAAACTAGACTGGTGCCTGCAAGCAACGTCATGTGGTTAAACAACAACAGCAGCAGCAGCAGCAACAACAACAACAGCAACAACAACAAATAACTAAACGGCAAACAACAACAAAATCCAAACAAAATTATCAAACGTTAAATAAACACAACAATACTATAAAAACAGAAATATTTATAAAAGGGCGAAACAATACAGATGTAAAAAAGAAAAGCATCTTATAACGTAGAGTTAAACGTACGCGAATTAACAAATTAGACAAATTAAATAAACAACAACAACACAATAAAAAATAAGAAACTCTTCTTTTTCTTTTCCTACCAAGCCATAACCCGCCACCAATGAATGAGCGTCTAACAATCACATCAACACGTGAGATACAATGGCAATGAGTGATCTGGAACCGGCCAAAACACGTTTCAATAGGCAAAGATTAAATCAATTAAGCCAGATTAACTAAAAATACTATTACCTATATATACTATTAACTATGTATACTATTAACTATATATATATATATATATATATATATAAGACGGGATTTAAAAGACGCCGGTTTAGGTAAATCAACATTGTCATATTAAGCTGCAATTGGACTTAGGATAATTTAATGACAGGTCTTAAATATTGGATAATAATAATTTGATAAGCAAGACTGCTTGAAATAATAATAATAACAATAATAATAGTTATTATTATTATTATTATTTTAGAAATTAGGTGCGTAAGAGCGGGAAGTGATTTTAGGAATAATTTAAATATAGAGTGCTCCGTTTGGACGCATCGGCAGAAATGGTTGGTTGATTGATCTTTGCTGCTTCTTACATTTATTGTAATATGAATGAATATGAATCAATAGAAATGAATACAGATGATTATAAATGAATATATAAATGATTAGTATGGTCATCCAGCTTTTAGGACACCCACTTTAACTTCACATGTTTGTTTCTATGGCACAAACCTCGTTATCGACTTTGTGACAACTTCACGCCGTTCGATTGAGCTGCTTTAAAAAGATAATTGACAGTAAATGCTCCAAAAAATAAATTTCAAATATTTGCTGTAAATGCTTGACTTTCCAATGTAAGCGCCAATGTGGAAAGCTTGTATTTATTCTCTTTATTTATATCCTAGGTATGTTTGTTATGTAATAAAAAGTACAATTTTAGAGATATGAGCGTGGTTTTTCGTTTTTTCACTTGTTCCAAAAACAATCTTATATAGTGCTCTTATAATTAACAATTATTACAAAAACCGGACAGCAAAGAAAGGCTGGAGGAGGAGGAATGACGAATCTCTCGTTCAGCGAGGGCGGAGAGTTCACCTCTGTCGATCTATCTTTGGTTAGCGAAGCGTTGAAGTTATAAATATTATTAATAATTATTTATAATAATTTATTATTAATAATTATTATTATTTTTAATTATATGTTGGCTGGTTATGCTTGCGTCCGATAATGATGATGACGACGATGACGGCACGACAGGTGCAACCGAGCAGTTTCGACCCAGCAGCAGCTATCCATCCAGGACCCATGCAGACGATCAACTCACAAGTCGCACTCGTCAGTGACATCATCATCAACAACAACAACAACAGTGATGGCATCAACAACAACAATAACATCAACGGCAAAGTGTCGACAAAAGACAGGAAGAGGACGAAAAGAAAAGGCAAACATAACATTGAAAATCTTAAAACTGAGATGGAAATGGTCAAGACATTCACTCTTTTTGAAAAATATAAATTATTTCTTTTAAAAAAACCTGTATTATTTAGAAAATTTTCAGCAGCAACTTATCTTATTCATTTACTTGTTCATTTGAAAATGTAGGATGAACACAAAATAAGTTTGGAAGAGTTGGTTGGAAGATTAGAGACAGATCTTGCCACGGTATTCAAATACATTAATATTTTTCTAACTATTCATTTTTTTTATTTATTATTCTAACAATAATGGTTTTATACAAATAAAATACACATACTTTCATCGGTAGCTGTAGTAAAACGTTAAAAATTGAGAACATTATTAGGCCAGCCAGCCAACCGACAACAAACAAACTGACCAACAGGGTCTTAGCGAATCAGATGCTCAGAAGAGACTCGCCAGAGATGGACCGAACGTGTTGACTCCACCCAAAGAGAAGGGAGCATTCATCAAATTTATTGAGATAATGTTTGGAGGGTTTGCCATCTTGCTCTGGGGAGGTTTCGTGTTGGCACTCATCGCTTACGGCATCCAATTCTTAAATGACAGCAATCCGCCGAAAGATAACGTTAGACGTCTACTAATGAATTTTTTTTCTTTCATTCATTTCCTCTCAAAGATGGCGTTACAAGAAAAAATACAAATGATCATTAACTACGCCGCTAACACTTCACAATTCGAGCTACCAACAACTTGAACAACCACGCAGCTCTACCTGGCAATCGTCTTATTTGCCGTCGTAGCAATAACAGGAGCATTCTCATACTACCAGAACTATTCAAGCTCAAAAGTCATGGACTCTTTCAGGAATCTCATACCTCAGGTTTCTGTCGGGAAGATGGCTATGCTGGTGTAAAAATTATGACCTTTGTTGGGTCTGGCTAATTCTGAATGTGTAAAATAAAAATAAACAACGAACAGATAGCAACAGTCATTCGTGATGGGAAGAAGCAAAGCATGGAGGCCTTGAAGCTGGTGGTCGGAGATGTGGTCGACGTCAAGTTCGGCGACAGAGTCCCTGCAGATATCAGAATAATAGAGAGCTCATCTTGCAAAGTGAGCCACTATCACCCGAATTTTTATACGTTATCTTTCGTGATATTGTGAACAAATGTAAAGAGCGTTTGCGTCAGAGAATTCAACGACGCGCGCACAGTGCATGCGAATGTGCGGCGTAAAAACCGCACACAGCACAGCAAGCATAAGAGGCTGGGATGTTGCTGCCCCGTCTTGTCATTACGCTGCTAGTTATGCTACTAAACAAATTTTGTTTGAAAATTTAAAGAAATGATAAAATATGTAATAACTGAACTGCTGAACAATTGATGACAAAATGAAGGTTGACAACTCTTCGCTGACTGGCGAGTCGGAACCACAAGTACGTGGGGCAAAATGCACTCACGACAATCCGTTAGAAACAAAAAATGTGGCTTTCTTTTCAACAAACGTCATTGAGGGTTAGCTAGTCATTCTCTAATTTTTTGATATGTACATTTTATTTCATAAAATTATCCACATAGTCACCATCATTCTCAGCACAACAACAACTACAACGACATCAACAACACAGGCACGGCACGAGGTATAGTAATACGAACAGGCGATGAGACGGTGATGGGCAGGATAGCCAACTTAACATCGGGACTCGGTGACTCCGAGACAACATTGAGCAAGGAGATGGCTTACTTCGTCAGGCTCATCATCATCATCTCAATCACTGTGGCTACGTTCTTTTTCACCATCGCTATGCTTTTCGGCTACAACTGGTTGAAAGCGATCGGTTTCTTGATAGGAATCATCATGGGCAACGTTCCAGAAGGTCTGCTCACACAAATCTGTGTTAGTACCAACTAATCTCCATTTTTAATTGTAGACGTATTTTTCCACAATCACATAAGTGATAAATTACAACTACTCTTAACATCCGTTTGTTTTATACAAATAACACACATACACACATCTAAATATATATATTTATATATAAATATATACATATATATATATATATATATATATATATATATATATATATATGTTTATTTATAGTTAATATATTCACTTTATATGGACATGAACAGTGCTCTAATTTGTAAAATATTTAATATTAAATAACGACACGATTTGGAAAAACCTTTTATTCTGAAACGATTATAAAAGAAAAGAAGATTAAACGCAAATGAATTACAAAATTGAAATAATTATATCATCGAACGTTAACTTCAAATAAAATAACCTTCTCAATAAAATTTGCCGCGTTCTAAATAATGTCCATTGCCGATGGCTTAGTAACAGACAGATTTATGATTCTATCACTTTACGATGGATACTTGCTTAACGTACGACCCGGTTTGCGTGATGCTTCCATTTGCCCAAGCAGGTGATGTTGACATTGACAGCCAAAAGGATGGCAAAAAAGAACTGCCTGGTGAAAAATTTAGAGTGTGTGGAAACTTTGGGGTCATGTTCTGCCATCTGTAGTGACAAGACCGGTAAGTTTTTCGCTGGTTCATCAATGTACTTGATGTTTCAATATGCACACAGTACATATTCATGCATGCAGACACGTATTCATATTTATATATATTTATATATTTATGAAAATTTATAAAGCGCATTTTTAAATGATTTTAAAAAGTGCCTCCACAAATTAAAAAATACAATCTTTCGCCTAACTTTTTGATTTCTTAACGGGTAATAATTTTTAGCAACCTTCCCCTGGTCAGGAACCCTAACACAGAACAGAATGACGGTCGCACACATGTGGTTCGACGAGAAGATTTTTGAAATTGACACGAACGAAGACCAGAGAGGTGCCAGACCGACCGATGTTTTATTAACTTTAAACGTGGTGTATGGTGAAAATTAATCAATTGATTGAAGATGTGAATGAATTAGACAGTTTTAAATAAAATTAATGATAAAATAGACTGAATAATACAACGTTATTGAACATGTGGCAGGCGCTCTCTACTCTCAAGACATGCCGACTTGGGTGGCCCTATCCAGGGTAGCGATGCTCTGCAACAGGGCCGAGTTCGCGGATGGCCAACAAAAGCTTCCCATACTCCGAAGGTGTGTTGACTTTTTAAATACGTAGATGAAATTTGCGTGGCAGTGTCAATAAGAACATAACAGTAATAAAAAACGTAAAGTTCATCTACGTCATCACCATCACCTTGATTGAACAGGGAATGTAGTGGGGATGCTTCTGAATCGGCCTTACTAAAGTGCTGCGAGATGGCCATCGGAAATGTGGAAGGGTTCAGAAAACAAAACAAGAAAGTGGCTGAGATCCCTTTCAACTCAACAAATAAATATCAAGTAAGTTCTATGTCGATCGTCTTTAATAAATTTAGCCCTCTTTCTACTTGGGTTCAATGGGCGAACATCGCCCATCTTCTTGCTTGCAGTTGAAATAATAAATACAACGTCCATATATTAAAAAACAACCCATTTATTGTGCCCAAGAAATGAAATGACTTACAGACATTGACACGTGAACATCGATCAAACTCGACTACTAATTTGCACCAACCTGTCAACAAGTCTTCTTCTGCTAATAAAAATTTTTCTTTTCGTGCACCTCTTCCCTGGAACAACTTGCCCTCTTATGTCAGAAAATAATTATCAATAGATCTATTTAAAAAGAAATTAAAGCTCTCTTTGAAGGCATTTGGGAGCGATATCGATGGCAACTTATACTGAGCGCCGCTGACGCTATGCATAGGGCGCTGTATAAAGTATATATTATTACAGTATGACGAATAGTCTTTTTACACACACACACACACACACACACACACACACACAATTGCATATGCGATACAACTTTTAATGATGTACGATTATTATTTTTCTACAAAAATAGGTTTCAATCCACGAAGTCCTGCTGAACAATGAATTGCAGAACGTGCTGATGATGAAGGGAGCACCGGAAAGGATATGGGAGAGGTGTTCTACTATATTAAATAACGGAGAAGCCCAACAAATCGTTAAACAAAATCATCTTTCATTCCAAACTTCTTACGACAATTTGGGAGGACTCGGAGAAAGAGTTTTGGGATTCGCTCAGTACATTCTTCCCAAAGATGAGTTTCCAATTGGCTACAATTTTAATACAGAAAACCCAAACTTTCCGTTGCAAGAGTTGTGCTTTGTTGGTTTGATGGCCATGATCGACCCACCTCGAGCCAGCGTCCCCGATGCAGTTGCAAAATGCAGACTGGCCGGCATCAAAGTACAATTTTTTACGCAAACACTCTTCGTTCAATATTTTATACTTATATTTAACTGCAACTGCAATAGATTGAAAAATTATTTCATTGTAGACAAAATATTTTTATATAGCGTTTAAACGAAATAAAGCTTGAACAAATTCCATTAAATAAATTTCCGGTTAGGTGATAATGGTGACAGGAGACCACCCGATCACAGCGAAGGCAATAGCGAAAATGGTTGGCATCATATCTCCTGAGAATGTGACTGTTGAAGAACTGGCCAAGATGAGAGGCGTGCCTGTGGAAGACATTGATCCGAGGTCGGTTAAATAACAAAACATTCAATATCATATAAATTTTTCAACAAATGTGTTATGGTTAAAAATGTAATTTTTGTTGACAGCTTTACTAAACGATCTAATAACATTTCAGAGCTGCGAAGGCATGCGTGGTCAACGGAGGTCAATTGAAGGAAATGTCAAATGAAATGTTGGATGACATCCTCATGAACCACACGGAAATTGTCTTTGCACGCACATCCCCGTAACAGAAGTTGATAATTGTTGAGGGCTGTCAGAGGTTGGGCCACATTGTGGCCGTCACAGGAGACGGTGTCAATGATTCACCTGCTCTTAAGAAGGCAAACATCGGTTGGAAATTTTTATATGCAAACCTTGTTGCTTAAATGTAATACTGTAATCGCAGTTGCATATGAACATTTTTCGTTATTCAGATACAAATCTACGTTAATTAATAACAAATGGTAATAACTGATCTTACTTATAACCAACCAGGAATAGCCATGGGCATAACAGGAAGTGACGTCAGCAAGCAGGCGGCTGACATGGTTCTTCTTGACGACAACTTCTCTTCCATAGTAACAGGGATAGAAGAGGGAAGATTGATATTTGATAACTTGAAGAAGACGATAGCCTACACGATAACCCACATCATCCCAGAGATGTCGCCGTTCCTTATGTACATCATATTTAGCGTGCCCCTGGGGGCGGGAACTATCACGATCCTCTTCATCGACCTGGGCACCGACATCATCCCCGCCATCACGCTGGCCTACGAGAAAGCTGAAAACGACATCATGCTGAGGAAGCCGAGAAACATGAAGGACAAACTCGTCAACGATACGTAAGTTGACTGCGGTTGGCTACCATGCTAGCGAGACAAATCATAATAATTCTTGATGCAATTAACAAAATGTTTGTGGCATTGAACAAACGTCCATTTTATTATTAAATTAACAACTCAGAATGATAATGTTGGCGGGCTTGCAATACGGATTCACGGAAGGAATGGGATGCGTTTTCACTTACTTCTGCGTCTTCTCTCAGTTCGGATTCTTTCCACGGACACTTTTGAGTCTCCGGGCTGAATGGGAGAACCCTGCCAACAACAACCTGGTGGACGATTATGGACAGGAGTGGGTGCGTACTTGTCCATTACTTATTTCGTATTTATTTAATTCCCACCTCTGCTCACGACAAACACATCTAATTAACACAAATATATTCAAGAAAATAATAAATATGACACCGCAATGTTAATGTTCCAGTCCTACTCGGAACGTCTGGTAGCCCAGTACACTATGTATTCAACATACTTCATGTCCATAGTGGTGGGACAGTGGTTCAATCTAATGGTCTGCAAGACAAGAAGAAATTCTTTGCTGGAGCAAGGAATGGTGTACGTGGCTCCTTATTTTTACATATGTAATGTCGATATCTCTCTTTCTTGTCGGTTCGATCATCGCAACCATTAAAATCGCGGTCGTCATCATGAGTTTCAACGTAGCTTGTTAATTTATCATCTTATTTTTTTTCGTCTCAATAGCAACAAGCAGTTGATAGTGGGATTGTACGTTGAAACAGCTGTTTGTCTGTTCCTATGTTTCTGCCCTGGTCTTCAGGAGCCTCTTCAGTTTTACCCCATACAGTCAGTCCCCTTTTTAAATCTTCATCAAGATATCTCTAATAAAATCATTTCAAATCATTCATTCAACAGCTCTGGTTGTCCTAAAAATTTCGTCATAAAGAATATTGATAAGATTCTGAATGATAATTTTACAATGATGTCGTTTGATTTTAATTATAATTTGTGGAATTTCCAAAACAGCTGGTCCTGGTTCATATGTCCCATGCCGTTCGCTCTCTTCATGATGAGCTACGGAGAGATCAGAAAAATCATTGCCAAATTCTACCCAGGAGGTTTCGTCGACAGAGAACTTATCATCTAATACTGTCACTTTTTTTATTTATTATCACAATTTAAATTCATGAAAAGTTAACATTCTGTGTTCATATCAAAAGCTATTTAGATCGGTTGGTTAATAGTTTTCTATCTATTTATTTTACTTTCACCTATATTTCAGGCTTTTGCCTTCAACTTTCTCTTAATATGTTTAATTTTTGAATGGTTTGTAGAATGCTAGATGATTTGTATGATTTCATAAGCGTGTTAACAGATGTAAATAGTTTATCGAAAACTAACCAACGACATGAAATTTACTGCAAATTTCACCAATCAATTTTTTTTATTTTCTACTTCGTTGTCTGTAGGTTAATTAAATAACCATATTTTCTCGTTGAAACTTATAATTTTAACCTTTATACCGGCTAATTCATTCACTACCATACAGTTAAATAACTACTGTCAACATGACGTCATTTCCTCCAACGATTTCGTAAAAAATTACCCATTCTGTTTTAATAGTCTTCTTTGATGTTTTTTAATTAATCAGGTCAAAGTTATACGTGTTGTTTTATGAGTTCTACGAGTTGCTTTACTAGTATTTCACGATTTACGAATTGTTTTACAAGTTTTTTCCGTTTTCCGTTTTGCGATTTGTTTTACGAAGAAGAATGAAAAAAGAAAACTTTCGACAATCGTACCGATACATCGTTTTACATATCGTATCGGTACGATTGGTACAACGTTTCGTTTTACGCGTTGTTTTACCAGTTGTTTTAGAAAAAAGGAAGAGTAAAGAAGCCTTTTTGCAACCGTACCTATACAGAGTTATATGCGGGAATGAACCCTACGTTTGTGGAATGATTCTGTTTTGATTCAACTTCTCAAAACTGTAATTCTGTGAAGTTTCATGGCTTTAATTCTTCTGGTGTCCCGTTGTTTAATGATGCTTTTGAATTCTCCCGCCCAACCTAAATTCGCATTCAACAGTTTCCAAGTTTTTCTACTTTCAATAACGCTTGAAATCTTTTTCCCTTTTCCCTCTGAATTGTAATTACTGTAGTGTTATTATTACAGCCCGAGTTGGAGCAAAATGTGAAAAAAATATTACCTTCAACAACTTTACTGAAACAAAAGATGAAGGAATGTTTCCTCAATTTAGTGCCTTCATGGAATCGGTTAACTATGAAATTTGCATTTTTGCGAACTAGCAAAAAACCATGGATATATGTATATATATATCCATGCAAAAAACGCTATTTTTTGTTTAGCCAATATTGCTAAGGTAAACATTTATATAATTTTTTAGTATATTTAAAAACATTAATATAGAATAATTTAACTAAGGGAAACAATTGTTGACTAATTTTAAATGTTTTTTGAAATGTCTTTCATAAAGTAGTGACATTCAAATAAAATTGTAAAGCAAAACTTGAAAAATTTTCAGGGTATCTGGAGGCCGAAGTTCAAAATTTCGCTTAGAGTCAGAGTGGGAAAATTTCAAATCGTGGAGTCGGAACAGTTTTTATCCGACTCCGACAGCCAGCTTCAACCATGTTTCTTAAGTTTTGACAAAAAAGTTTTATATTCTTTTTACACGCCTGTGCAAACAAATAATTAACTAGGTGAGAATAAAATTTATAGAGGCTGTGTTTGAGTTGGATTGTCCATTAAATTTATGAAGTAATTTTCAAATATCGATAGCGAGACATGTATCGCTTGGTGATTTAAAGTTATTGTGTGTGCAGCGACGGCTGGTTGCTGTTATCATCATGTTTGATCATTTTGTTAACAACGAGCATTTCAAATGTCACCAGTAACAACAGTTGATTGTCAGAGTGCGTGCACATCCAGTTTCAGAAGGAACATGGCTGAGGTCATTAAGAAGATCGATAGATTGTTTCTTGAATAGCGTCTTGACGGATAGTTCCTTGAATGCTGAGGACCGATCCAGATCTGACCGGAATTTTTATACTAAATAAACGCGTTATCTCAATGCAAACAAGTGCAATAGATGAATACATATTAAACAAATATGTACACATACATTTTTGAATGTGCGTTTACACTCAACACACATGCCTCGTACGAATGACAAACACGTGCAGTGCATACATACAACAACAGTGAACACCACACCTGAACAGATTAACTTGTTTCAAACTGATTTGAATAAACACAATAGAAATTTGTAGAAGCATGTAAAACACAATCAAAAGAAAATTTAATACATTTTCTTGCTTGTTTGTTTGTTTGTTTGTTTGCTAGTTGTATTATGACGAAGTTGTTTAGAAAGCTTAAGAATGCACACTGCCTCCATTGTTTGTTGCCAGTGTTCATTTGATATTTGTCTATATACTGTTTTGACCGACCCCAGCATGTTTAGGCTGTGCTGTTAAATAAATCTATTTGTTGTGTGAATCAACTCGACTGCTACGTTCAACAAGTCTGTCAAACTGTATCTATAATATAATGACAATCAATATGAAATACATATGTAATGAAGTTGTAAACAAGTTGTAGAACGTTCTTATATAAATAAGAAGCCAGTGAAAATAAGCTTAAAGTTTGATTAATAAAGGTCCCTGAAGAACGTTCATCTAAAACAAATTGACATAAAATAAAAACTGTTTAAAGGAGTTTTCAAAGTTAAACTTTTATAATAGAGATGGATTGAATTCGTGAAATGAGAGTCTTAGCTGAAAACCTGACAATTGTTTGATTTGCTGAATAACTTTGTTCCGTATATAAGAATACGTTTTTGCTTTTTAATCGTTTAAATTTTTTACAAACTGCAACTTTCCCTTCCAGTTCTTCTTGGCAATCTGGATCATGCCTCACACGAAGGTTTGTTCGGCACTATCACACGAAGTAATGAACCGCCACATTGCCACCACAACACATTACATTCACGATATTCACATTACACAACTATTGTATCAACCTATTAAGTATTAACTAACACTATTTCATCGAACTTTTCAATGTTTCCATCTAAACAATTTTCAAACTTGAATATAAAATATTGGAATGAAATTTGATAAAACAAATGAATGTAGGGACAAGTGAATCCGACATTGCAACTTGGAGATGAATTTACAGAAGTTAACTTGGAAGGTGCTAGTAAGGTGGCGGGCATTTTGCATACAACATTTTTTATTACACGTTGCTAACAGTTATTCATTTCTTCTAGTAATCTTCCTATAATGAAACACAAGTAAAACTATTTGCTTTTGAAATGTACAAATTATTTAATATTTACCAATTTTAAGTTTTATGTCTTGCATCATTATTCTTCAGAACAACGTGTTACGAGGCAAATCTGATAATAACAACAACAACAAAAATGACAACAACTGTAACGACAATAGTGACAACATTAAGCAAAAGCTTAGCAAAACTCTTCCACAGAACCTTAACAAGCCAAATGAAAGCAAGAAAAACAGGGGGGGTAAAGAGAAGAAAGATGTGGAAAGCTTAAAAAAGGAGATGGAGATGGTTGGTTGTTTGATGGATGGGTGGATTGATGGATGGGTGGATTGATGGATGGGTGGATTGATGGATGGGTGGATTGATGGATGGGTGGATTGATGGATGGGTGGATTGATGGATGCATGGATTACTCAAATGGTGCCTCATTGTAAAGTCACGCTGACTCTTGACACAAGCTGTGCCGCTGTATGAAACTTTGTAGATGACTATATAAGTCACAACAACCGCCATATTGAATTTTTGTGCTGTTTTTTGTGCAATCAACATGCCATGAAATTATCATTTTGTTAACAAGAGTTATTTCACGTTGACTGAGGAAAAGTAGTTTAAACAAATTCAAATATAACAAATAAATGAAATTTTTTTATACTTATTAGGATGAGCATAAGATACCATTGAATGAACTGTTGGAGAGACTTGAAACGGATGTTGCAAAAGTATGAAATCTGTACTTAAATTGATGCAGTTGAAACATTATGTCATTTTTAGATTTTCTTAAACCACTTATTCGATAGCCACATAAACATTCATCTTATCACAAAAATATTTCTAACTTTTTAAAAATTCTAAACACGCCCATCCCTGACTGTTATCAGGGCCTGACGGAATCAGAAGCGCACAAACGGTACTTGAGGGACGGACCGAATGCACTGACGCCCCCCAAAGGAAAATCTGCGTTTGTAAAGTTTCTGGAGACGATGTTCGGAGGGTTTGCCCTGCTGCTGTGGATCGGGGCCGCCCTCTGCTTCATCGCTTACGGCATCCAATTCTCATACAACAGCACGCCGCCCAAGGACAATGTTCGCTCTGCACATATTTTGAAAATATTTAAATAACTCTCACAAGACTTTGAGTATAAAACCTTTCTCATTATAGTTTCCGAAATTATTTTCAATATAAAATATTAGGATTGACGTAAAAATTTCAAATTTGAAGCTTTCAAGATTATATGAATGATTGAAGAAAAGTTTGTTTAAATCGTGTAACATTAACTTCATTGTGTTAACAAACATTATCATTAACAATGTATACTCAGCCATGGCACATAACACATAATGTCGATTGATTGATCGATTGATTGATCGATTGTAGCTCTACCTGGCTCTTGTCCTGGTCGGTGTCGTCGTCATCACTGGCTCATTCTCATACTTTCAAGAATTCTCAAGCTCCAAAATCATGGACTCGTTCAAAAATCTCATCCCTCAGGTTATGACGACGACGAAAATGATAATGACAACGATGACGATGTTAAATGTAATTAGAGACCAAAGAACAATAATGAAGACAGCAAGCCATATTTGAATTCAAACGATCGAATGAGATATAATGTTTGATGGAGGTTGAAGTTGAAAATGTTTAAAATTTGAACACTTGACAATAGTACGCTCTGGTTGTCCGGGATGGCAAACAGATAAACATCGAGGCAGAAAAGTTGGTCCTTGGAGATGTGGTGGACATCAAGTTTGGCGATCGAGTGCCAGCCGACGTTCGCATTATCCAGTCTTCTTCCTGCAAGGTCGGCTCGTGTTGAAACGTTTTGTAAAGTCCAACTGTTTCATTTCAATAAGTGTCATATAGATTGTATATAACCATTCTAATAAACAAAAGCATTGATAAATTTAGATTGGAGTGATTATTATTTGTGTTGAACATTTGTTCAATGAACTTCCACGTTGGTAGGTGGACAACTCTTCATTGACTGGAGAGTCGGAGCCGCAGGGTAGGAACACAGAGTTCACGCACGAAAATCCACTTGAAACCAAAAATTTGGCATTCTTCTCGACGAATGTTGTCGAAGGTAGGTTCATCATCTGTGTGCGTGTGACGGCAGTATGCAAGTGTTTAAAGCAAACCGTTCATGCGATGATGCTTCCATTACATTCAATGAATTCGTAAGAACAAAGTTGTAATTAATTATGGTAACACGAGTTTTTAATGTTGCTATTGTCACTGTAATTAGCATTATTATTATCTTCTTCTATCAAACAACAACATTACCATCAAAACAACAACTACTACATCAACAACAACTACAACGACATCAACAACACAGGCACGGCACGAGGTATAGTAATACGAATCGCGGATGAGACGGTGATGGGCAGGATAGCCAACTTAACATCGGGACTCGGTGACTCCGAGACAACATTGAGCAAGGAGATGGCTTACTTCGTGCACCTCATCATCGCCATTGCAGTGACAGTCGCTCTCATCTTCTTCATCATCGCTCTCAGTTTCGGATACAATTGGTTGAATGCCATTGGATTCCTCATCGGCATCATTGTGGCCAATGTTCCCGAAGGATTGCTGTCTACTGTCTGTGTGAGTACGACTACGTTGTTCTCTGTTGCTGCGGTTTCTTTTGTGCCAATTTGCTCACGCGTTATGTACCTCCTTCGTGTTTCTACTGCACGTTTTAACTGTTAAAATTTATGCAATTTGGATTATGTCGTTAAACTAATAATAATGTAGATGACTAACCAATTTATCGACATACCACATTTAACTATGGCCAGGTAATGTTAACATTGACGGCCAAGAGGATGGCAGTAAAAAATTGCCTGGTGAAGAACTTGGAATGCGTTGAAACGTTGGGATCGTGTTCAGCAATTTGTAGTGATAAGACAGGTTTGTTGGAAGATTGATTTTCAAACCGATGATAGTTCAATGACTAAATTTCGTATAAAACCATTCAGACTTACTAACACACAGAGCATTTACAATTACTTACGTTATTTCTAATTGCATGCTATTATTCAGGGACGTTAACGCAGAATCGTATGACAGTAGCTCACATGTGGTTCGACAACAACATTTTCGAAGCTGATGTTACTGAGAGGCAGGATGGTCAGTTGAAAATTTCCTTTCTTTAACTTTATGGCTTCAATTTGATTCTGCCTTTTCGTTTTTAAAATGGTTGGTAATGTGATTTAAGCAATGTATACATTCTTGAATGCAATGGTTAATTAATTTAAAATTTGTCTTCAATCCCTCGCCACCAACCAGGCGCCCTTTACACTCAGGACATGCCTACGTGGGTGGCCCTGTCACGAGTAGCCATGCTTTGCAACAGAGCGGAGTTCAAAAAGGGGCAAGAAACAGTGTCTATACTGAGAAGGTGAGACTGATAATTGAATTGCCATAACGAATAATAAAGTTGATGAAAATGATAGATAATAAATTGGTGATAACATTCAAAATGAACATTCGTCTCAACAATTGACTGTCCAGAGAGTGCAATGGTGATGCGTCAGAGTCTGCACTCCTGAAATGTTGCGAGCTATCGATTGGGAATGTCAGCCAGTTCAGGGCACAGAACAAAAAAGTTGCGGAAATACCTTTCAATTCAACAAACAAGTATCAGGTGGCTTTGTTTTCTAATGTTATCAAGTTGTTTCATGAAGCATTCTGAAATAAATAGGTTAGATTTTCCAAGACAAACACACAATACAAAAAACATACATACATAAAGATGTAAATCTAAAATAAAGACACAATACAAAAAACATACCTATATATAGATTTACCCTAACTGATTTGTCACTAAGGATGGCCCTAGATGTATACCCTAGGTGACCCTTGTCACTAACGATCACTAAGGATGGCCCTAGGGTGGCCATAGTTGTGTATCTTTATGATAAAAAACATACATATAAAGGCGAGTTCACGACAGCATTACGCGAATATTGCAATAAACCCAAAAATATAACATTAGTAAAATAAACTCGAACATAATCTGTAATGTTTAACCGCTAGATTTCCATCCACGAAGTCCTGATAAACAACGAATCAAACAACGTGATGTTAATGAAGGGAGCTCCGGAGAGGATATGGGAACGATGTTCCACTCTTCTTTATAAGGGGAACGACCTTCCGATCAACGAAGAACTTCAAAAGGCATTTCAACTGGCATATGACGAGTTAGGAGGACTCGGTGAAAGAGTTTTGGGATTCGCTCACTACATTCTTCCGAAAGATGAATATCCAATTGGTTTTAGTTTCGATACCGACAGTCCAAACTTTCCATTGCAAGGGTTATGCTTTGTGGGTTTGATGGCCATGATAGATCCACCGAGGTCCAGTGTCCCTGACGCCGTCCTCAAATGCAGACAAGCTGGAATCAAGGTAATTAATGAATGATTTGTGTAAACAAGCTAATCAGACAAAGATAAAAAAATATTCTTTTTCAAAACAACCACTCAGGTGATAATGGTGACTGGCGACCATCCAATCACGGCAAAAGCCATTGCACAAATGGTGGGCATCATTTCTCAGGGTAACGAAACAGTGGAAGACATTGCAAAGAGAAGGGGCGTTCCAGTTGACCAAGTGAACCCAAGGTTCGATGACGGCAATGATGATTATAGTAGCGGTCATAATAATGATGATGACATAAAACTGTTAAATTTAAAAAAAAATTCAGAACTGCTAAGGCATGTGTAGTTCACGGAGGTCAATTGAAGGAAATGTCAAATGAAATGTTGGATGACATCCTCATGAACCACACGGAAATTGTCTTTGCACGCACATCCCCGCAACAGAAGTTGATAATTGTTGAAGGCTGTCAGAGGTTGGGCCACATTGTGGCTGTCACAGGGGACGGTGTCAATGATTCACCCGCTCTTAAGAAGGCAAATATCGGTTGGTACCTTTAAATATACCATTGTAGTTTCTGATGATAATAATAATGTCATTTTATATAGCGCCATGGCAAGCGACTGAGGCGCATTATCATCATTACAACAAGCACACGGTGCATAAATACACGTGAATCAACGCATCACCACTTTTGCATGTGATAAACGGGGATCTTTTTGCATTCGAACCCGGACACTGCATCAACAATGCCAGGCACCTTAGCCATTACACCATCGCGCCGCCTAATGGTTTTTATAATAAAATGAACACAGAAAAAGTAATTTGATATAAAATATTGTTTTCAACAAATCAGGAATAGCCATGGGCATAACAGGAAGTGACGTCAGCAAACAAGCAGCCAACATGGTTCTCCTTGACGACAACTTCGCTTCCATAGTAACAGGGATAGAAGAGGGAAGATTGATATTTGATAATTTAAAGAAAACAATTTCATACACGTTGACTCACATGGTTCCTGAAATGGTTCCTTTCTTGATGTACATCGTTCTAAGTATACCTTTAGGTATGTTTTATGTTCATTCAAATTGTCAATCAAATACTGGTTGCTAATAAAGAATTGTTCAAAATTTGTACATGCAAATAAACTTTAAATGTCGGTATGTGAGCAGGACTAGGAACCATCACGATCCTCTTCATCGATCTGGGCACAGACATCATCCCCGCCATCACGTTGGCCTACGAGAAACCTGAGAATGACATCATGCTGAGAGCACCGCGAAACCTCAATGACAAACTTGTCAACGATGTGTTCGTACTTTTTTCTTGGTTTGGACGGCAACCATCATTTCAATTAAACGAAATGTTCAACAAACCTCAATTTATGTTTGAAAACTATGTTGGAAAATAGTGTTAACTGGATTAATACAAAAAAAGCATACAAACTAATGAATAATAGAGAATGAAAATTTTAAAAATATTATTTGTTGGACAGATTGATAAGTGTGGCAGGACTTGAGAATGGCATCGTTGAAGCACTTGGATGCATGTTCGCCTGGTTTGTTCTCTACGCACAGAGTGGCTTCCATCCAAGTCTCGTGGTCGGAGCACGAGCTGAGTGGGAAAATCCAGCCAACAACAATTTCGTTGACTCCTATGGACAGGAATGGGTAAGTCTCCATTGAACATAATATTACTCATGATGAACAAATAATGCATGTATATACTGGCAGACGTACGCCCAGCGTTGCATCCTGCAGTACACCGGATATTCTGTCTATTTCATGTCAATCGTCATTGGCCAGATGTTCAACTTGATGGTTTGCAAAACCAGAAGAAACTCATTGTTTCAGCAGGGCATGGTGTACGTTCGCTTGTTCATTTCATTCATAAGTTCATTCATTCATTCATTCGTTAATCCATTCATTCATTTTTTGTTCATTTTAAGTAAATTGGTTGGAACTTTAGTCCATAATAAAGATGATGACGACGATGACGGTGTTGATAAACCAGCGATAACATGAAACTTGACAGTCGTTTATATCATGTGCAGTTGATGCCAATACGACTGAAAAAGTTAATACTTTCTTTCTGCAGTAACAAACAGCTGATTATCGGATTGTACTTGGAGATAGGGCTTTGCTTGTTCCTCTGTTATTGTCCCGGTCTGCAGGAGGCACTGGCTTTCTACCCAATTCAGTTAGTTTCGCTCTAAAAATTTTCTTCTGTTCTGCCACCTAATTAAATTATAATTGTAACGTCGTACATACATTCGTGTCATCATACTTTAATGTACCATATCAATCCATTTATTCATCATTCACTCATTCATTCATCATCCATCCATTCATTCGTAACAAACTCACCCATGATTAAAAGCTGGTCTTGGTGGATATGTCCGATGCCATTTGCTCTTTTCATGATGTACTATAGCGAGATCAGGAAACTCGTCGCCAAATTCGCTCCCGGAGGATTTGTCGATCAGGAGCTGATTATATGATGCTTCGAAAGCATGCACGCAGCCAACTTGTTATTTGAATCACATTTCCAACTCTGCTCGGTGCATGCACGAAACTCTACTACTTTTCGTTGCAAGACCAATTCATAAAGGAAATGTTCGTTTCATGAACAAGTGACGCTAGGACGATGTCTAATTTACTAAATTTTTTAATAGCATACACTACAAATCTTAATTTATTTTTTGTCATATTTCCGGATATACATTATTTAATCATATACGATTTTTACACACTTTCCCAAATTTTATTTACATGGTTTTTATCGATGAATGAATGATGATTAAGTATTGTGAATTTTACTGTGTGAATTTTAAACGCGAACCTATGTATTTTATTCATATATTATATAGAACATCAATTCTATTTCCTACATTTTAAAGAATAACTTTTTACTTTACAGCACTGACTGACTCCACTTGATGTATGAAAATTGATTGTAGTGGACCAATAAAAATTATCTCTATTTTATTACTGAAAAGTATGAAAGCTTAAATAATACCCAAAACAAAATAATATTAAAGAAATATCCAAAAACACGCAGGTATATTACATCATTCATGAATAACAAAGCACTTATCTACTTAAAGAAGGTGGCCAATTCAACAAGACATCTGCCACATCTAACTGCAGTATATCGCATTCGCACCCTAACAACGTACTTAAATTAGGCATGGTGCGACTAAAATCCCCATGCACAAATTCTTTAACGTATGTTCCTGCTTGAGTTGTTAAATGCAAAACAAATAAACTTATAACATCAGAATTTAAAACTGGCTTCAAATCCTCTACAGAAGTATTTACTTTAAAAACATCTGAGTCATCTAACTCTTCAAACCTATGAATATTAATGAGATCTATTTTTAACTCATGCACTGTTCTGGTCCTGGTTGCCAGTGGTCGCCTGTGTAGGACTCTTATTGGCGTCTTTTGCTGCAGTTCAATGTCCTTCAACTTGTTTATATTGATGAGTTGGTCGTCACAGATACTACCTTTCATTATGCACAGAGCTTTGTATATTTTCAATTTTTCCTGCTCGCCTTCTTTCAAATGGTGAGTCTCCTCTTTGTTTACCATCTGCATTTTGAATAAAAATTAACATTTTATATTTATTAGTAAATATTTGAAACAATAAATAATAAAATAAAAAAATATGACCAAAGCAAGCTTACTTGTACATCCCTGATAAAAACATCTCTGGACCCCCCATTGATAAACATTTCTATCTTCTGAAATTCTTCATCAGAAACACTGATCTTTCTTGGATTGATAACTTCGATTAGAAATGGCCTGCCTCTGCCTAACATTCTGACATCGACATCTTCACGACCAGATGATGAAAATTTATAATCTCTTGATCCAAATAATTGTTCAGCTATTGGCTTACAGATGATTTCCTCAACAGAGTTTTCAAACTTTTTGATGCCATCAACAAACCACGGAGTTTGACTGAGTGTTCGACTGTGATGAATATAACAATATAAATTTCAGAAATGATAATATATAAAATAAAATAAATGAAATGGTAAATAATAAAAATAATCTAAAATATTTTTGACACCGTGAATATGATAAATCGCCATATCATTTAGTAGTGATAATGAGAAAGATAATGAATTAACTGAAGAACAATTTGTTACTTGCCTGTATTTGTTGTACCTGCCAGCAACAAACACGGATTGATTGGAGCACACAACCACCTCACAATGACAACCAATCAATGGAATACTCATGGGCACTTTACAAAATTTTTTAAAATCTTTACACTTTGTGTCTTTCAATATCTTTGTTATGTTGTTTCTGTTAAAAGCTGAACCAGAATTTTTTCTTTTTTGAAAATCTTTGGGTGACAGATCTTTGAGAAATGAACATTCTCTGTTATCATTTTTATATTCAAAATGAATCTGAATTTCAAAAGGACTTTTCTGGTTAAATGGTCGGTCGAGTTGTCGAGATAATTCAGGACCATTCAGCCATTTCCACACTTCTCTGACAGCTGCAATGCTGTACCTGTCATTAACATAGTTGTTTCTGTTGCAGCTACTGCTGTTGTTAATGTTATTTGAAGCATCTGCCTGATAGACCTCAGGATACAATTCATTTAATGCAACATACACACTATGCTCTCTGATCAACAAACTGACTGGCAATGATAAAGCACAATAAAAGTCAATAAATTCAAAGTTCTGTTTATTAACCATGTCAACGACTTTGGATATAAAATTTGAATTAGAAAAACAAAATGATTTCTGAAGGATGCCCAAACAGGCTCGACAACAAACTTCTGTCCCTCTCTCAACCGGCTTATCAAAATTATCAATGGTCAAACCTTTATTATCATTGTCTACCAAATCATCCATCCATTTGTTAAGTTCGGCAGCATTAATAATTTGATAAATATTCTGATTTTTCACAAATATGAACCTCAAAATGCAGTTGGGGCATAATCCCCAATCTCTCAAACTCCTACCAATTTTTTTAAAATAAACTTCGTCTAATTCAAACTCCGAAATAATTTCTCTTAAAGCAAACATTTTGTTTGAAAGATTTTTCTAGAAACCAGATCAAACAAAAATTAGGTAGTGCTTCTTTAAGCTAAAAAACGCGAATGGCAATTTAAGTTAATGTGAACTAAACGTTAGATTGATGGAGAGCCATTAAAGAGTCGTTATATTATTATATCTTCCTTCAGTATTTATTGAGTAATATGAACTCGTGTTTTGAACACTATATTACAATTCAAATACTACACGCAAACCAAATCATTTCTTCACAAATGGGCATAATATTTTTATTAATTCAAATATAAATAGCATAGAAAATTTTTATAAAATCCGGCGATTAAAAAGCCTCTAACGCACAAAACTAGAATAATCGATCAATTCGAACAATCGGTAGGGCTATTTGTCATGCTTGGATTGTTGGCTTACGAAATAGCATTGATTTTAACGAATAAGCTATATGAAATATTTACTTGACTTAATATGCTTTAAACATTGTAGTAATTTTAATTAATTTCATTTAATAGAATTATGTATTATTAAATTATTTTTGTTAATTTGAATATAAAAATTGCGTTTGCTCCGGTGAAACCCGGTGGCTTACTGAAGCCGAAGGTTGGCTTACTAGGATTGAGCTATAGTCACTCTTTTTTTACACTATTCGATCAAGTTAAAAAATTTTTACTTATGAAATTAAATTAAAATTTTAAAAACGTCAATTTTTAAAAAATTCGTATTTTAAACAAACAAATATAACAAAATATCGACCGATAAA